GGAATCTGAAAAATACCGGTTAATTAACATCTATACTTCGGTGTTCAAATTTTTTAAAATTCAATTATTGGAGATGCTTACGGCGAGATAATAAATGTTCAACAAATACCAAGAGAATTAAAATTCGGGAAGAGTCTTGTTTCATCATTATTCGGATATGAATGGAAGATCCGCTAACTTGAACATGAAGAGCTTCGAAAATGGAAATAGAATTTTCCTATCTTCGTTTCTGTGAATTTCCATTTAGTATTCTTGAGTCGATAAATGTTTTGTAAGATTTCCAATTTAAATATTTAAAGAGTAAGCATGCTTCAGTGCTTTATGATTCGTTTTTAAAAATGTCTGCTACTAGATAGACATGATGATGTCAAAAATGTTCAAGGATCAGACTTGAGTTCGTGATAGCATTCGTCTCATATTATAAAAGTTTGGAAATGTCTTTTTACTCAAATCGACAGAATTATTCATTTATCTACTTTTTTTATTAATTTTGTTGCCTGGTTAAAGACTGATAACAGTAAGCTGCGGGGCTTCTGATAAACAAAACAAACAATTTTATTATGATGCGATGTTAGGAGATAAAAAATAATTTTGTTGGAGTCTAATTATCTTATTTGATGGGCAATGAGTTATAACTTCTGAAAATAGTCACGCAAACGTTTAATTAATCTTTTCAACTTTGACCCGATTGATAGAAAAGTATCTTTGTGTTGCTTAATAATTCATTAACTTAATCAACAGATCGTATTATATTCGCATTCATCCTTTTATTTATTCATCTCACCTGAACGAAATGTTGAACAGACTCAAGAAGCATTCCGTACATTTTCTTCTATTTCTTTTGTTACTTTAAGGAGATTAGATAATGAAAGAATTTTCCTTTATTTATATTTAAAAAAAACTTCTCTCGCTGTAACGCCTACGAAAGCTCAACATACACAAAAGGTTTAGCTCGAATCCAAGATTTTGAGCAATCTCACTTCACAATTAAAGGTTTAGGTTCAAAATTTATCAAATTTGATGAAGTTTCTGATTGACGAGGGAAAGATTATAAACTTTATGGCACAATAAATTATTCAAATTTTCTACTTCCTGTGAAAGACGAGGCTCATTAAGAGCTCACATTCGGATAACAAAGTAAAAGAATTGTTTGTACAATTAATAAATGAAAACATTTTACAAGCTTTTTGTTTACAATTAAGAATTTTAGAGACTACCCAGAAATTTTTATGAAATTAATTAGATTAATTCAAATATTTTACTTAGAATTTCTGAAATTTTCTCAAGGTTTGAAATACTTCAATATTGATTTAATTTCCAATTCTAAAAAAGCTGACTTTTTATTTCGGTAGTCGCGTGATGATATCATAAACATATTGGAAAAGTTCAAAGAACTTTTTATTTCCATCACCACAAATAAGCTCGATGTGAATTGAAAAGCTTTCGTATGTAATGCTTGAGAAGAAAAAGTCAATTTATTCATTTCAATTGAAATCACCTACAGCTGCTCTCAATTTAAATTCAATTGATTTTTTTTTGTTTCCACTTTTATTATCCCAATTATTCCAATTCACTGTTTCCAATTTGTTCCTTTTCTGCCAAACTATGCTGAAGTTGTTTATTCTTTATTGAGCTGCTTTTCTTTCTTATCACTCCGGTTTGAACACTAACAACTGACTGAAGCTTCTTCCATGCATTGCTACTCCTTTTATACCATGTTGATTGCCGGTGACCGTCATTAAATATTATTGATGAGATCGATTAAATTTGTAATTGACACGAAGTATTTGGATTACTTTGAATCATCGTCTTTATTTGAATGTCTACTAACACTTTGTCTGGTCACATGAATATTCGCGTTCAAAGTCACGATGTGATCATAAATAAACATCGTTTTTACGTTCTATTATTAGTATTTATTGAATTGAATTCAAAAGACCGCGCATGGTCTTGAGTACTTTTTGACTTCTAACCGAACAATTCAGCAACTCAAGATAAACTGATCTCAGCACGTTATGAGATGTCGAGCGAATGTGTAAAAAAATATTAAAAAAAAAATAGAAAGAGAGAAACATTTGTGCGCATGTCTGAGATGACCAATAAACGAGAGAATTTGTTTATATTTTTGTTATGACAAGAATCAGATGTTTTCTATTTTCAAACAAATGTTCTGATCTTTCATATGAATCACGTGGAGTGTGAGAAATTTTTTATTTTCTTCCTCTTACTTTCTTTATGAAGCATCATAAGAAGGTAAAAAAATTCAATTCTCAATAAAATCAAATAATTCTCTGAGTTATTCAAGTCGACAGCTAATTAACCCAATTAACATGTTAAAACCTTGACGTGACTGGAAGCTTCTTTTTTAAACGTTGTGTGCTAGCATATCATTATCACTTCCACAAAAAAGTCTTTCAAAAAGATTTTACTGTTGAATGTCGTGACAATTAGACTCTGCGTGCTTGATGCTTAATTTCGATTTGTTTTTTTTTCTGTGAAGATAAATGAAAAGTCGTAAGGGGATGTTTAGAGGGGAGAAAATTCTTTGTAGATTCAATCAATTATTTATTCAAACAAATCTTCAGCGTAAAGAAATTTAATTTCAGTCACAAAATCAAGAAATTATTTTTAATCAGGAAAATTTGCTTTATTTAAATTGACAAAAATGTATAAAAACGAAATTGAAAGCTGAATTGTAAAAAAAAAACTAATTAAATTTTAGGGATGGAAAGTTCGACGTCAGTTGGTGCTTGCGGGACTGGAGGTGCAACATTGAAACGACTGGCGATTGTAATTACACTCAGATTATAAGGATTAGCACCAGGTGGTACAGCTTCGTTTTTAAATTTCATGAAAAGAGAATCCACGATAATGAATTCGTAAACTCTGATGGCTGTCAAAATCGCAACAATGAAGAATTCAAGAATAACGCTTTTCTCTGAGTTACCAGCACCTTGATTTAATATTCCGAGGATGTTCAAGCTGTACAGAATTAATCCAATGATGCAAAGAAAGCGAAAAGGTTGAACTTTTTGGAAATTTCTCTGGAAATATTTACTTTGTTAACGAGGAGGTTTAATCAAAGGTTTAAAGTCACAAACTCACTGTTTTGATTCCTTCAATGAATCGATAAGAAAGATAAGTTAAACTTCCATAAACTGCAATCACAATGATACAACCAATCGATACAACTGCCAGTAATCCTTTCTCTGCAATTACCAAATTTTCAATTAAACTTTTCTCAATTTATTTATTATTCATCACAAACCTTTTGCAAAGTTTTCTGGAAATATCAATGGCGATACAAAAGGGCAAATTATCAGTAAGATTATGATCAACACATCGAGAACAAGATTCGTCCATCCGATAATCAAACCTCCAGTCTCGAGTGGGAAAACACAAAAGAAATTTTTAACTAAAATTGCCATTTGAATTGTCTCGAGCTTTGTCCCCAAACGTATAGTTTCTTGTAGACACTTTTCACGACTGACCTTCTGGAACTATGTTGGGAATCTTCACGCTGACTTTTCTTTTTTTTAGATAACACGCCTAAGTTTTCTCACGCAACTTTCCCATTTCATTGAAATCATAATTTTGTCGCGCACATTTAAAAGTTTTTAATGTTGAAAAAAGACACGAAACCACCTGAATTTAATGATGATGGATTAATTTGCTTTGAAAATTAATTCCTGGATCACAACGGGGTGCCTAATGTGGTTTTGTTAAATATTCGCTTTTGATACTTCTGTTGAAGTTTCTATCTAAATATTTAGTAGCAGGTAGCGACTTTCTGAATAAAACTGACAAATTTAAATGGCTCAAATAATATTAAATTATTCTTAAAGATGATTTGAAATAAATCTGCTGAATAATCTGAAGTTAATCTTGTTAAATTATATTTCATACACTCATCATCTAGAAGCGATAAATCGTAAAATGAATTCAGCTTTCAAAGAAATTCATTTTAAATTGAATTTCAATATAAATGAGCTTAAATGCTATCAAAGAAAACACCAAAACAATTGTAATAATATGCAAATTATTTTCGAATCTCAACAATCTCTTACGTAAACATCGTGAAGCTTTGATTCTATCAATAAGAAAATTTACATTTCAAATGGCGTATTAGTATGCAAAATTCTTCAATCTTGATGAAATGTGAAGAGTTTGCGAAGAGAAATGATGTGAAATATTTCGAATTGCGACCGGTCGAACCGGGTCTGGAAATATGTATAACGATTATTATCACAAATTTACGAGTAGCTAAGAAAGTTATCGAGTTCAATATTCTCAGTTTTTCAGAAGATTTTGTTTGCGAATGAAGTTCAAGATGAAAAGCTTCACAGAATTATTTTTCTTTATCGCTCTTATCAAATTCTGTCTTGGGTTTAATGGAATCACAAGTCTTTTCAACACCCACGATGAGCCGCATATTGATCTGGATGAATATAAAAGTGAACTGAAATTCACTGTGAAAGAGAAATGGATTTCACAGAAATTGGACAATTTCAACACGAAAGATTCTCGTGAGTGGATGATGAGATATTTTGAGAATGATCGTTTCTTGATTTCTGGTGAGTTTGAAATTTATTCTTTAATTAAGTCAAAAACTTAAGCAATTCTTTATCATAGGTGGCCCAATTTTCATTTACATCGGTGGAGAATGGGAAATATCTCCTGGCTGGATATCTGGTGGATTGATGTATGAAATGGCAAAAGAGTTGAATGGAACGATGTTTTATACTGAACATCGGTACTATGGTAGAAGCCATCCAACTGAAGACACGTCAACTGAAAATCTTGAATTCTTGACAGTTCAACAAGCTTTAGCTGACTTGATACATTTTATTGAAGAAGTGAAAGCAACTACAGATGACTTAAAAGACTCGAAAGTTATTCTTGTAGGTGCTTCATATGCAGCTTCTTTAGCGACATGGGCACGACTCAAATATTCACACTTAGTCAGTGGTGCGTGGGCGTCAAGTGCTCCACTTTTTGCTAAAATTGATTTCTTTGAATACAATGAAGTGTTAACTGAAAGTTTAAGAATTGTGGGTGGAAAAGCTTGTCTTGAAAAGTTTGAAGCTGCTTTTCAAAAACTCGAAGAATTTTTCAGCTTTTCAGAGCCAAAAGTTTTAGTGAAAATCATCAAAGACTTCAAATTGTGTGAGCCGCTGAACCTTTGTCGTGATGTTTCACATTTTTTCTATGAATTGGCTGATACAGTTGCTGGTCTAGTCCAAGGTCATAGTCCTGGTGATATTGAAGAAGGCTGCAAATTTATGCTCGATGAGAATCATAAAGATGAAGTTGCTGCTTTCGGTGCGTGGGTGAACTCGAGAAATAAACATAAATGTTTGAATATGAATTACGACGATACCATAAAGAAATTCAGAAATATTACTTGGGGATCTGATGCTAATAAGCAATTAAGACAATGGACTTATCAGGTAAATTTAGAATCACAAAATATTAATTTAGTTAACTACAGCAAAATTTTCTATTCAAGACTTGCAATGCGTTTGGTTGGTTTCAAACTGTAACATCACCGAAACAGATTTTCAGCTTTAAACATCCACCAATAAGATATTTTACTAAAATGTGCGCTGACATCTTTGATGATAGGTATCTAAATATTTCATAAACATTTTTCGCCTTTAAACTTTTGAAATAATTTGAAATTTAATTTCTTGAAGATTTTCTTTAGCAAGTATTGAGAAAAGCGTTAAGAAAACGAATGAAATGTATGGAGGATTCAATCTTAAAGTAACAAATGTTTACACAACACACGGAAGAGTGAATACTCAATAATATTAACATTTACTTTGCAAGATTACTTTTTTTTCTTTTCGCAGATCGATCCATGGAGACCAATGGGACTCTCAAAAGATTTAAACATTCATTCGCCTGTTGAAATACTTGAGGATTATTCACATTGTGCTGATCTTCACTCAATTGCATCAAAAGATACTCCGCAGTTAATTGCATCAAAGAAACGGATAAAGAAACTTGTAAGAAAGTGGTTGAATGTTCCATAAGATAAAAGAAAGAAAAAACAATTTTTTAACATTTAAGCGAAGTTTTTAATGTGTGAAAAAATCTCTCGAAATAGAATTTGTTTTAACATTTAAAGCAACAATTAAGAAATAAATGGCAACATCAATTATTTATAAAACTTTGCTTTGTTTATTTCGTTGATACCTCACAATACCGTAGACGAGGGCACCGATGATCACAACAGCACCGATAACAGATCCAACGACAATTGGGATCAACTGACTTGGTTTGTCTTCTGTAATTTCATTTTCGCTTTTAAGAAAATCGTACAACGGCTTGAAATATTCCATGACAGCTTCACCAGAAATTTCCTTTTCACCTGTCATTGCTTCTAATGCTACTGACCAGTGCTTACTCAATCCAAGTTTCAAACCTTCGCGAATTTTTTCGCCAGCTTCTTTCGATCCATCAATGTCGCATTTATGAAGTGGTTTTGCAGGATCATTGGGATCATACTGACCAGCAGTGATGCACAAAGCACGGTGCATTTGGAACTGCAAAATATGAGCGATGAAATAAGCGATGTATTGAGTGTCGTCTGGAATGTGGAACTTTGCACCAGGATCGAAATCATCTTCAGATCTTTCGTTTGGTGCTTTGACTTTTTGGTATTTTTCTCTCAAATCCCACCAATGTTTATTCCAATCGCTCTCTGCTACATCACCTTTAAACACATCCCAACGCCATTTATCAATCAATAATCCAAATGGCAAGAAAGCGACACGCTCAAGTGCCATCTTGAACAATGCATTGATGTTGTCTTCTTCGCTGTCCTTGTAATCATCAAGTAATCCAATCTTCTTTAAATGTCCCGGTGTTGAAACTGAAAGTGCAATTAAATCACCAACAGCTTCATGAAAACCTGGATTAGCTCCTGTTCGAAGTATTGATGGTTGATCTTTGTACAGAATATAATACTGAATGTGTCCCATCTCATGGTGAACCTTGAAAGAAAGAAAAATGATTGAATGCTGCTTTCACTTGATAGTTTAATTACTTACAGTTACAAAATCTTCTTGATTGATGCTGGTACACATCTTGATACGAAAATCATTTCCATCGCAGAAATCCCAAGCCTAAAAATAAAATAATAAACAAAGAAATTGTTATAAAAATTCTTTACAAAATTTAACGTTTTTAATTGATTATCAAAAACATTCCAGTAAACTTAATTATTGACGAAAACTTTTGCAAACAGAGACCAAAAGTAAAAATCATTAAATTAACAATTACATACCGAAGCATGACACGTAATAACACGATCTGTTGGCTTCTCTATGACAGCACCAAGTGTTTCATTGTAACTCATGTCATTATTTTCCAATCCAAGATCCATGTAAAATCGATTTGATTCCTCAAACATCTGCAACACGTTGAATTTCGTTTGGAGATTTTCAGTGACATCAATTAAACTTCCACTCGCAAAAGGCTTAACACGTTCGTAGATATTAACCCAACTCTGCGCCCACATATTACCCAGCAAATGTGCTGGTATTAAATCACTGTCTTTATCCATTTCCTTATCGTAAATCTTCTCTAACTTGCGTTTTACATAGGTGTGGAGCTCGTTGTAAAGAGGCTCCACCTCTGACCACATTTTATCGACATTATCAGTGAAATTCTCGTCCTCGTATGATTCTCGCCACATTTCTCCATTATCATTCTTTCCTATTTATGAACGAAAATAAAAGTAAAAAGAAGATTAAAGTTTAGCTTTCTCGAATTGATTTGCATGTTATTACCATTTAATACCGCAGCTTTATTAACGAGTTCAACATATTTCTTGTACTCGCTTCGCATTTTCTTTCCACTCGCATTACGCCATTCCGTCCACACCCACAACAACTCATCGTAGTCGGTGGAATTTGACATGACAAAGGTGATTTCAGGATCCAATGTCAATCCCTCTGTAGCCAGATCGCAATCTGCTTGGTTATGAGGGCAGATTTTTGCGGTATTGTAGGTGGTCATCATGCCGTTAGATATTCTCGTAAGCTAAAATGAATGAAAGATTTTATGAGTGTTGATAACATGCCAAACCCAACCCTTCTTTAATTAACAATTTATACATTTTCCAAATCATCAGTTGGAAGAATACTTCGGCCAACTTGCGTTGCGTATTTCAATTGACGTTTAACGACTTCATCAGTGTAATCATCGGGATTAACACCTTTGAAAGAACTTTCAAAGAAATCAAGTGTAAAGTTGGCATATGCAACGACAGCTTCTGATACTGCTTCTTGTTTTGTTGTATTTTCACTGTCTGTGGCAACTTCCCAGTGCGCTTTCACAAGCTCATTGCATTGAACTTGAATTTTTTCATCATAATCTTCAAGGATTTGACTCATGTCATTCTGTTTCTTTAAGAAATCTTGAAGTGGTGCAAAATATTCCATTAAAGCACTTGCACTCATGTCACTTTCTCCTGTCAACTCTTGTAAAGCTTCAGACCAATGTTTGCTGAATCCTAGACTGAGACCATCTTGAAGCTTCTTTCCAGCTTCTTTATTTTGATAGAAATCACATTTATGTAATGGTTTAACACTTGGATTTAATGGATCATATTGCTTAGCCTCGATACATAAACTTCGATAGAAACTGAACTCAAGGATGTGCGCGACGAAATAAGCAATGTATTGACTGTCAGCTGGGATGTGATATTTTGCACCAGGATCGAAGAATTCTTCGCCACGTGTCGATGGAGCTTGAACCATTTGATATCTTTCTCTTAAATCCCACCAATGTTTATTCCATTGACTTTCTGGTACATCACCACTGAACACATCCCAACGCCATTTATCAATCAATAAACCAAATGGCAAGAAAGCAACTCGTTGAAGTGCCATGTGAAAGAGAGCGTTTATGTTATCACCTTCACTATCTGCGTAGTTCTCTAGCAACCCAACTGTCTCTAAGTGCTGCGGTGTTGACACAGAGAGTGCAATCGTGTCTCCAACAGCTTCATGGAAACCCGGATTTGCCCCTGTTTTGTAAATTAATGGTTGATCTTTATACAGCAAGAAGTACATGATGTGACCCATCTCGTGATGTACAACAACAAAGTCTTCCATGTTAATTTTTGTACACATTTTAATACGAAAATCTTCACCATCACAGAAATCCCAAGCTGATGCATGACATGCGATAGTTTGTTCAGGTTTTTCAATCACTGCCTTGTCAGAGTAACTCATAGCACTACTTGGCAATCCCATGGACATGTAGAAATCGTCTGACATTTCGAACATTTTCCTTACGTTGAAGTTTTTCTCTTCCATCGTGCGTGTCACGTCAACAAGTGATGCATTCTTGAATGGTTTGATGCGATCATAAAGATGAACCCAATTTTGTGCCTGTGTGTGAAACGTTAATTTATTAATTTTATGATTTTTATGTTCTGATTGATATGTTGCACTCACCCACATATTACCGAGTAAATGTGCTGGGATTAATTCATTTTTCTTGTCAATCTTATCGCCGTAAAGATGACGCAATTGATTACGAACATAAGTATGAAGTTCATTGTACAATGGTTTGACTTCGTCCCATAATTTATCGACTTTTTCAATAAGTTGATCGTCTTCATAGCGTTCACGCCACATTTCACCAGCATTATCATGACCATTTGCGATAGCTGCTTTGTTCATCATCTCAATGTAAATTTTGTAATCGTCTCTCATGAGCTTTCCTGATTTTTCATGCCACTGCTCCCAAGTCCATTTCATTTCATCAAAATTTTCAGACGATGAAAGAAGAAGTTCGATATCGGGATCTAAAGTCAATCCTTCAGATGATGTATCGCAATTTGGTTTTCCAAACGGACAAATTCTTGCACTGTTGTAGGCTGTTGACATTCGATTACGAGCTGAATTTAAATTCGTTAAATCTGCATCACTGAGAGCTGCTGTTCCAATATCTTTTAGAATTTTAAGTTTTCGTTTGACATCGGGATCAGTATAGGAATCGATATTTGCATCTTTGAAGTATCGATCGAACCATTCTTTACGTACATTTGAGTACTCGAGAATGATAGCATTCTGTAAATTAAAACCAAATTGTTTTGTTTATATTTAATATGTCTGCATTTCAAAAAAGTCAAGAGCGAGCTTTGGTCTTATCAAGTGATAAATAAAGTTTATTGAAATTATCATCAACCATCATTGATAACTTTTGTAAGTATGGCCACGATTAATTTTTTGTATATTTTTGTTAATCTGCCACTTCACTAGATAACAAATAGATGATGTTGAGTGCGGTGTGTAAAAACATTTTATAGCCTTTTCAGAGTTGAAGGTAATGCAATTAAGTATTCAACAAATGTTATAAATAATGTTGTTGTATACAAGATCACATCCTATCAGTTAATCATTTCAATATTTAAGAAGTCTGTTTTGGAATTCAAAACCAATTGAAACAATATTTTTTTAACGTTTTCAAATGTCACCGCAAACTTATGTCACGTGTTAAAAGTTTATTCCACTCAAATTATTTATGTAAAATTAGTTCGTCAATAACTAATTATGATTTATTTTACATACTTTTGAATGGATTTCTTTCACTCACCTGCTTTTCGACAAGTGCCTCGTTTAAAACATCAGTTTGAACATCCCAATTCGCTTTCGTATTTTGATTACAAAGCGCCGAAGTATTTTTATCGTATTCAGCTAAGATATTTATCATGTCATCTTGTGTTGTTTGGGCCTTGATTGAACTCAGTGTCATCAACCCAAATATTATTGACATAAACATTTTCTGAAAGCATTAACAACACAAAAATGTTTTGTTTAAAATAACGGCATCGAGCTTGAATTTCTTTTTTATTTATATTATGCAATGTGATGCGATAAAAGTTATTTGCAAAGACCTACACTGGAACCTCAGTTTCATTGTAAAATAAAATTAAATATTTATATTCATTCACCAATTACCAGCAGCAGTGTTTACTCGATAAGCATTTGCAAAAAAAAATTTTATCTACCGTGAATGAAACTTCTTTTCAAGTGAATCGAGTTTAATTCAATTAAAAGAAAGAATATAAAATAATTCCTAATAACTTGTTTTGCTTATAACATTTCATTCATCCGTGATTTAATTAACTTTTACTATATTGTAGATTTCTCTTTGATTTCAAATTTTCATATCAATCAATTTTAATATTACATTATGTAATTTTGCAAACTGCATTGCATTGCCACTTGCCTTCATTGTGATCACGTTTTTTTTACAGAATGGAGTTTAATGTTCAACTAGATAATAAATGGTTAAGCTATTAAAGCGGATGATTTTATATCGAATATTAAACAGAAATCCATGAAATTTCCACAAGAAGATTGATTAAAAATAGTTAGCAATATTGTTCACCCACAAATGATTTTGTTAGAGAACCAAAGTTTATATTTTATTTTTCACGAGCTATTTGTTGCTTCAACAGCAACGGTTGAAGTCTGAACGCGAACTGAGCGCAAGTTTTTTTGTCAATATATTGGCTGCTTAATTTTTGAACACCTTTAACTGCTTAATGAGCGTTCTCGTTTATCTTTCTCCATTTGCTACTCCCTTTTTTCTGATCGCGCTTTTACTCTCTGTGTTGATGATACTCAAAACAGCAGAAAAAAATATAAACCGGCATGTGAAGGCATCCGAAAAACAAAGATCTTATGATAAGAGTATATTTTCGTTTTACTACTTTTCAGTTGTTCTGTTGCTTTTGGGTCTTGAAATTTGACAACAGAAATTGATTTATTAGCTTTCCAATCACATTACAATAAATATTTACACATTATTATATCAACGAAAACAATACAATGAACATGTTCAATTGGCCAATTTTTGGAATAATGTCTGATAAGATAAAACTCCGATTGCTGTTCATTTATTTCTCTTACAAGAATTTATTTTGTAATAAATATTTGACTATTGCTCGATAAATCTATATTTCATATTTCTGTTTTGCTAATTTCATAAAATATTGTGTTTTATGATTAAGTCATTTAGTGGTTTAAGAGATAAGTTAATGAAATCTCATTGAGATTCGACGTTACAGAATTTGAAAATATTTCTAGAACACCACAATTGCTTAAAAACATTTGTAAGGTTTTTTGCTTGAAAATTTTTCGAAAGGCCCGGAAATATTTGTCTGACCCGGACTTATTTTCTGGCCCCACTTTGTATGGAAGGTCTAGATCCACGCAAATCGAACCTTTGACGCCATCTAGCGGAATCTCTATTTTTCCCTTGGATTAAGCTTTTGAACAAAATAACTGTTAGGTATTTTTATTAAACAATAACAATTCGAATTTTCTATTCAGAAGATATTTCCATTGCATGCAAACGAAAAAAAAGTTAAAGACAACATATTGAAGCAATCCAGACAGGAAGGTACGGTTGGGGTGAGCAAAATGAAAGTCGGTTCATTCTTTGTTCAACATAAAAGCTTTCTTTGCGGAAGTGCATTGGAAGCTAAAAAATATTGCTCATTGATTGTATAGCATTAAAATTGAAAGTAAAGCAGAAGGAAAATGTAACCTGAAATCAGTTGCAAGAACGGAAAAGATTTTCGGAGTGCTGATTTCACAAATTTTTGCATTTTCATCTCTAACATTTGTTAGCTTCCTTCCCGGAAACAGCAAATCTTGCTCTAACTTCTTGTTTCTTTGTGAAATAATATCAACAGCATCTTAAAGTTTCTTTAAATAGAAGTCAGAATTTTCTAAACCTTACCAAAAATGGGTTGTAATGTCAATGTTTGGCTACAGCTGCAAACAATCACAACTTTTTTCTTTATTTTCCATTTCTTTCAACAATTGAATATTTATTATTTTCTTATCAAAAATAATTTTATTTTCCTATGAAATTAACATTTCTGAAATGTTTAAGTTATCAACGCTCCTTTTATTTGTTTATTTATCATGTTGAAAATTTGTTTAAATAGATTTATAACTAGCGATGCTTGGAAATGATGTTTTTCTGATTACATAACGTAAGAAAGAAAAACAATATGAGAAAACGTGATTTTCCTTCATAACACTTTGCTCAATGTGATAAATAAATAAACACAATTAACTTGAAGCTTCTCAAATATTTTAATGATAATCGTATTGAAATAGTAGAAGAGAATCTCAAGAAAAACTATTTGTTGTTACGATGATTCTGAAATAATAAATCTGATTAAAAGCATTGAAGAACGACAACAATGTTTTCCAATATTTTTCTTGGATTTCTCATTAAGATAATTGAACTCAATTATTATCCCATTTATATTCATTAGCGAAAGCTTATCATTATAATATTAATCTAATCATAAATAGCAGAAATGATGTGTTTTTCTTTTCCAATTTATTTTATTTATTTACCTACCTTGAATATTAATTTTAATCTGAAATCTCTTTTTCTGTCCATTATCAGGATTGTTAGTCACTTACTTATCCTTCATTTTTTGATGTTCATGCTCTAAATCCATCAACTTACACTCCTAAGCTCATGATTAAGACGTGCATCTTAAAATTCTTTCTTATTTTTCCAACAGATTTAATAACATTTTTGTTCGCTTTTCAATTTCGGCAAAGGTTCAAAGCGACGACCAATTTCATTGTCATCAATTTTTCCCCTTCGCTCTGAATGTAAACAAACTTCTCTTAAAGGACAAAGTTTTTGTTGTTACTGTATGTGAATGTGGAACGAACGGAAGCATCTGGTTGGAAAACTTGAATATTAAATTATGACTTTTGGGGCGAAAGTCGATGTAGCGTCTAGAACCTTTGGTTTGACGTTACACTTAAGGAAATATCGAGAGTCGAGAGGAAAATATAAATGGCAATAAAATCAAGGAAGAATGAAGACAATAAAGAACAGTTTCATTAACGAGTCTTCTTTTCTTTCCCATAAACTCTTTTTTCTTTCAGAAATAAAATGATAAATTAGTTCGCTAATTGTCGCTTCGCTTCTTCTCCGTTACAATGTGACGCCGACAGTCACATACAGTGAATCACTGGTGAACGATACTTAAAACGTTTTTAATTGCCGAAAAGTCATAAATTTTCCTTACTGATAACACTCGAGAGAGTTAAACGCCATTTCCAAGGCATCGTATGTACAGGAAGATAAAGAAAGGTTTAGATTATTAAACAATTAATTTTCTTCTGAGTGCAATTTTTTGAGCGTGATTTTCTTCTTCTCCATTGCGCAGTGAGCTCACAATTCAGAAGTTAAACCCTTTCTCCCCCTACCTCCGCGAAATATTTTTAATGAGCAAAGACATAAAATCCTTTTTTTATGATTTTAAAGCGAGAATTTTGTTGCTTTGCTTGAGGCTTGTATGGCATTGTAGAAATGCTTAGTCGTAAAAAAATTCTTTTCCGCCGCTTATCATACTCCTGCATCGAGAAAAGCAGGACTTAGAAGTCGAAGGAATAAAATTAAACCCTAGAAAAGTGTCGTAAAAAATTCAACTCTATAATTGTAATTGATGTTGGTGCTTGATAAAAATCAGGCGTGGGTGGAAAAGGCGAGAATATTTGAGCGAGTTGAGCAACAGTTTTTGTGTGAGAAAAAATTTGTTTCGAAAGGAGAAATTTAATTCATTGATGAAAGCGGAAAAAGGCTTTCATCCATTTGAAGTTGCTGGAAAAGTGAGGGAAAAAAAATCACTTGAAAGGATAGCGATCTCGATTTCTCTTAAAAATCAATGATAGAAGCTTTTATTTGCTTTTATTCCCTTTTTTTTCTTATGCTTCCATTTTCACTTAACAATTTTCTCATCCAACGATGGTTTGATCTTACGACGGCTACAACTGAAAATGACGCATCAAGAAATACTTTCAATTTGAAAGCTTTTTAAAAGCTTTTCTTATAGAAACTCAGTAAGTGGGATAATTGGATTAAAAAAAGTGAAAAAGAAAGAAGAACGAGAAAAAGAAGTGAAGAATGAATTCTATGCGTTACTTTTAATTGTAGTCTGTAATTTGGCAACAAAACACAGAAAACTTTAGTTGTTAATATGAAACCTTTTCTCGCTTTATATCGAAGTAAAAAAAACATTAATGTGCCTTAATTGATTTTTATTTGGGTCGCCAGGATCTCGTTTTTGGCAGATGAAGAAGGAAAAAATGTTAGGAAAGAGAGACAGAGAAAGAAATTGATAGTTTTTATGGAACGATGTAAACATACATGTGTAGTGCTGTCCATTATGCGAGATTACCCTTATTAACCTCGATTCCCCATCTGATACATTCGATGGAAATTAATGCGAAAATCATCAAGTTCTTCATCAGCATGAGGTGATTAATGTGAGGGCGAAGTTAGTGGTGTAGAGAATATAAGTAAGATAAACGACTTTCATTGAATCAATCAACTCCACAGTCGAGTATATTTATTTACCAACCTTATTGTTGTGACTAACAAGAATCGATGCCACAAAATTAATTGAAGTTTAATTATCACCATTGCACTTCACCTTTAATTTTCATATCCAGTTGAACACATCACAAGTTCATTCAGTCTCAGTAATCACATTTTCTGCTTTATTCACGTGATAAATTTCTACGAAACCAAAACGGACATTGTGCGACATTTTTCTTCAGAGATTTCTCTTATTTTACTCATTCTCAGATAACATGAAATTTATCGTTTTGCTGTTTCTAAGTGAATAAGATTAATTTTCCACAGAATTTCCCAGCAATTACTTTTGATTTACGAAATTTTCCACATTTTCGGTTGTATCATATTCAAAAGGATGTAACACATTAAAACTTAAAGCAATTTTCACTTCAAATGATGCCGAAACGAGAAACTTTTACGAACAAAAAAAAGCAAAATATAAAAATAAAAAAAGATCAAATATTTATGTGTGCTGAAGAATCTTGAAAAAGCTCCATTCATCTGTAAAATTTTATGTCGTTTTGTGCTTGAAATTGGTGAAATGTTCAAAAGATAGCTGAATATATGACATACACTTCACTCTTGCCACTGACATTCACCACTTTCTGTTTCGGCTCCCCTTTCGAAGTTGTCTGTTTTAGGATGTGTCGTATATATTGAAAATCTCATAAACATGAGCCGTAATCGTGGAGCTAGCAGCACCAAAGCAGAAAGTGTATTATGTATTCAATGGAGGAGAAAGAAGCTTTCGTATTTGCACAATAAAAAACAATATGGTTCATTTAATAAATTTCTTTTCAAATACTCGTTTCATATGTTTCGACAGCAAATATTGGCGACAGTGAATGAAACTTTGAATCAAGTAAGTTTGCGAGTTTAAAAATCTATTGAAAAGAATTTTCTCATCATCGGCTTTTGCTTTCATAAAATAATAAAAATGATGATTCAAATCGTTTCTTCTACTTGGTTGACCTGAATATTTACAAATTTCCTTGACAATAAATTATGAAGTTTGAAAAGCCATAGAAATGTTTTTAAAGTTTAAATTTGTTTCCAAGAAAAATCTGTCGTCAGTTTTCATCATGAAAATATTTGTCAAGAGATGTTCGAGGACACTTTCCACTGCTGCTCATTTTAATTTTGTTGAAAACGACAAAATATTCGTATTGAAATAAATAAAAAGAGATCTTTCAATAAGAAACTAATGAAGTACTTGACATCTTTCAAAAAACCCTCAAAGTCTTCTTCATGAAAAGACAAAATTTGCATATTTTTGCAAAAATAAATAATGGTTTTCTTTAATTTCGAAGCTTGTTTTGTTGTCTGAGGGAGGATCTGTTGTCTATAGAAACTGCTGAAATATTTTCATTTATTGCGTGGGTTTAATTCAAGGAAAATCCCCGAAAGCCGTTGAACTCATTCGTCCAGAAATGAAATGAATAATTCAAAAATTTTATTTATACTTTCCGATAAATATCACGCTCATAAAAGTTTATTTATTATCGTCGAAGGGATATCAGAGCCCAACACACACGTACACATACTTTTCATCCTTTAAAAACTGATGATTTCAGCTCAATCCTGGAAAATCAATACGACGAACACGAGGATATAAAAGTTGGGATTATCCAAATAATATTTCACAAAGTTATCGGTTTTTGGATCGACGAGATGTTTCATTTTCATGTGAATTCCCTGATGGTTCTTTTCAACAACAGACACCATTGCAATGATTCTATACCTGGAAAAAAGGAAGAAACAAAAAAGGTTCAAGTGAAACTTTTCCACACGCTCCCACTCGATTTTATTTGCTTAGGCATTGTGTGTTAAATGGAAAAGATAAACAAGAAGGAAGATGAAAAAATAGGAGATTGTTTAGAAATTTCTAAACATTTATCAACATCCGTCAAGGATAAAATATTTCTTATAGATCGTGAAGGATATTGTCGAGGGCATGATTTGTAATGTTCAAAGATCGTCGAAAATAGAAAAACTTTTCTAAAACTTGTGCAAGATGAATATAAATCAAACTACTCTCACTCAACAATCTACTTCTAAGTAAGCTATGCTTAAAAACAAATTTAGGCCTAAATATTACGACCCACCTCATCAGTTGTCTCCAAGTTTTAAGAGAATCTCGAATCTCTTTCGAGATCCGTTGACATAAATTAACATTTTCATTTGCATTATACACCTGGTGAAAGGAAAGAAAACATCGTGAAAGAAAATATAACCAAGTACTTTGAAGAAGAATACTAAGCGACGGCTGAAACGTTTGTTTTGATGTAGGCGTTGAAGATGGCATTGCGAAAGTAAAAGTAAGAAAACAACTCACGTAAGGTTCTTCGTCTTCAGTGAGAAAAGTTTTATCAACTATGTCAGATATCAACTGATAAACCTTGTCGGTGTCGAAAGGAGCTTTTGTATAACTTTTTTATTTTGATTTTGTTTTTTTTTTTCATAACAATCCGCGACCATGTTGGGATGAAATAGAGAAAAGATCAAAAGACAAAAAGTTGGTTAATGAGAAAAACCCTGAGGTCGGTTACCCGCACTCACTCAACCTCCTTAATTGCACCCTCGTCTTCATCTTCATCATTCTCAGGCGCCGCTTTGACCTTCCATATTCGCTTCTTTGGCTTCCTAGATAATAAGCTCAAAGTTTCAGAGGCAACAGCTTTTGTATTGCTTCGTCTGTAAATAAACGGTAAAGACCAACACGTTGATAAAAAAAGATATCATGAAATTTAAATATTAATTGAAATTGTTGTTTTGCTCAACGCCATGGTGCCATATCAATTTGCTGTGCTTGTAAAGTTTTCATTTTTTATTCTCCATGCGACACTTCTTCCATGCTTTTGCTTTATTTAACGAATTCTCCCCTATTTGCTACTCGTTTCCGCCGCAACTTTACAATTACGAGTGTGTCATGACATATAAAAATGAAAATTGTTAAAAATCGACAAGGTTACAATAACAACATAACAATAACAAAGATGTGCGAGTAAAACATAATATTTTGCTATCTGTCGATTTCGATACGAACCAATGGAGTTGGAAATCGATTAAAATTTCCAATTTGCTGGCGCGTGTCCTTGATATTTCAAGAATAAACAACAAAGTAGAAATTTTATTTTCGTTCTGCTTAATAAAAACACTTGCTGTTGAGTGGCAGAATTGGCTGAAGCATTTTTTGCTTCACTCGAGTGTCAAACAAGCATCGTTCAAATTGAATTTCGAGATCAGTAAATAATTTGAATATTTTTAAATAATTTTTTGTCCATCATTGTGGATGATTTTTAAAAGTTTTTCTTGATAGCAATGATGGCGTAATTCAGCTCAATTCCCAAGTTAATTAATTGAGTATCGTTTTCAACAAGAATTTATATCAATAGCTTTTCTAAATTTAACAAGACATAAGCTTATTATAAAAGCTAGAAGTTTAAGTTTGTTAATTGGCATAAGATGTAAATTCGGAAGGAATTTTATTTTCCTTCGTTTTCTTAAAGTGAGAAACTCTAAATTGGGAAAGTTTTCAATTATGAAAATGAACAATGACTGTAGAAACAAGTCGCATTATATGAAATAAAGCTCATGTAACAAAGTTTCCTCGATAATGAAAAGTTTTGGTCGTCCAAATCTGAAATTTCTTAATAAACTTCATGAGGTAAGTTTCTAGTAGAAACTTCTCTTCATAATTATGAACTTTTAATTTCTATTAGATACAGACACGAAATTATTTAATTTTAATCGAATGCAGGTCTCGTTTTAAAACTAAAAATATTAATTTATTGATTAATATTAAATTCTTACCCACGATAATTTGCCATTTTCAAAGAATTTCTTCTGTTTACAGCGAATTTAATTAAGTAACTTTTTTTAAGTCAATATCTTATTCGTTTTACTGCGTTTTCATCTTAAAACAATGGAATAAAATTGCAATATTTAATCCGTTTTACACAAAATACTTGAGGGTAAAGAGAAACCTTGTTTTACGAATCACCACCGACGAGTTCATTAGCGCAACTAAAGCCTTTTGCTGTGTATTTATTCTCCATGCATTTTAGAGCTTCGGTGGAAATTTAATGAACGACAGTGAAAAGCAAGACAAAGCACAGACATAAACTCTGAAAAGGTGTGTGTTAGTTTATGTTTCTTTGTTGTTTTTTCTGATTTTTATTATTGGGAAAACTATTAAAAATAAAATATATTTATTACGAGCTCATCCCTTTCATCGCTTTGATTTGCATAGGTTATGGGGAGAAAGCGAAAAAAAGGGAAAACTTTTCAACTTACATCGAGGTGGTTTCTAAAGCTTCGCCTTCATGCTCTCGCATGTTAAACGCTTGAACTAATAAAGTGATTTATGTGAAAAATTCCTTCTTATTGTGTACAAACATAAACAATTTTTCTTATTCGTTTTCGCAGAACCCATGAACGGTGGTGTAGAGGGTGAGATAAAAATGTTTGTAGGTGGTTTTTTGGAAAGCTTTGTAGCGTTCATTTTCATGTGAAGAAAGGTGCTTTTGAATAAAAAGTCGTTTATTTGCTTGTACGAGGTTTCACCTTTCATTTCTTATGATAATTAGAAAGGAACATAAACAAACAAAAAATATTCTTTCGCATACTTTTGTCGTAACCAAGGTGCTCAGAACTTAACCATTTATTTCCAGCCCATAAAATACACACATCCAACACATTTTCATACTTGTTTGAACTTATTTTTTATTGCTTTTTCGCAATGTTCCTGTTCGTTGAATAGAACTTGTTATTTTAATTTAATTTTGTTAATGGAGTATTCAATCACACAACAAGAATGAAACTATTTCTGAATTAATGGTCTGCATAGCCTGTAAGTATCATGTACCTGCAATGATAAATCCCAACATTGATATTCGACTTGTTTGAGCACAAAAATGAACTCGAAAATTTAATTAATGCAGTTGTTATTTAATATCCATTATTAAGCATTTTTTATATTTTCAATTCTACATGATGAGAATTTTATCGATCTTTGTTTTCAAAAATTCATGGTTGGATTTTGATGAGTTTTCATGCTGACGATGTTACATCATTAAATCATCGTTTATCAAATTAAAAAGAATTATGAGAAAGAAATTGAGAAGAAAAGTTTTAACAAGCTTGCAAGAGAAAAATAATTTCCAATCAAAACTCAATGAAACGTTATCAAAATAAATTGCGAGACTTCTGAAAACAAACGCACGATGTTGTTATCACGAAAAGCAATTTTTTAACTTTTATGTATCGGAAGAACAACCGAGTTTACTTTTATTACGTATTAGCTTCGATGTAAAGTTCAACTCGATCGCGAGTTCATTTTGAGAGTGTTTGGCAGATTTTCCACTCCACAAACTTTATCATGAGTTATCATAAAAACCCCGCAGTAAATAAATTCACATTTTTTTTCAATAACAATTTGAAAGCTGGATGTTAGGTTAATGAATGAATTGCAATGTTTGGTCGGGTTGTATGATGTTTTTACACGTTTCATTTGATGATTCCTGGTGGTTCATAATATTAAATGGTCAAATGTTTATTACCAACTCATTGTACAATTCTAAAAAGTTTAAAACTTCAAAGCACTTCTAAATTCAAGAAATTCTAAAAATGTTCATGAAATTTTCCACACGAAATGTTCTTCCGGAAAACCTCACCATTATGCGGCATAACAAACATAATAAAGTCTTTGTGGTGTTGGAAACTTCAATGGAAGAAAGAAATAAAAATGCAAGCAATTGAAATTTAAAACAGCGAATATATTTTCATATCTGCCAAAATATATAAGAGAGAGCAAAAAAGAAAGAAAAACAACAATGATAGCATTTACCATTGATGGAATTTCAATGTTTTATTTATTCGGTTGGTGTTCTGGGAAGCGAGACACAAGCGTATCCATTTATATATTTGGGGCTTTCGGAATGAAGTTTTTGGTATCGTAGGGAAATGAATTTCAAGCTCGAAAAATATTGAAACATGAAATTTGTTTTAACAATTTACGAAAAGCATTAGTTGTTCGCCACTCGCATAAAAATGTTGAAAAAAATTGAAACATCACCATCCTCTGAAGCAGACTGAATTCCATTGATTTCTGTCAAAAGATTCTACCAAACTGCGCATTAATTATTCAAGACAGACTCGAAACAGCGCGCGTTAGTGATTAATTGAGATTTCCCATTCATTATCCAATTTCAACGATGAATAGAAGCAAAAATGAAAGAAAGAAAATATGAAGAAAATTTGTGTCGAACGCCACGCGAAACATTTTTCCGGTTGGTAAATTTTCTTCTCTTTCTTCGTTGATATTCCATCGAAAGCTTAAAGTGTTTTTAATTTCATGCCAAAAAAGAATTTCCATGGCAGCGATGGTGGCTTTACTCGCACGAGAGTAAAGCGAATGAAAATGAAAAACATTCACGCAACCATAAATGATTATTTATTATCAGCGCAGAAAAACGAAGAAACGCCATAGAAAATTTATCATGGCATCATCAAGAGCATAGTCGTCTGAATAACGATGGGGGTAATGAAGCTGAATCGAGACGAAAACAATGAACTCGCAAGATGATTAATTATTTAATTTTGAAAAATCAATTAATCATTTAACGCTTCGGCTTTTTATTATCACAACGATGGCTTTACGCGTGACTAAAAATGAGGGAAGTAGGAAAAACCAGAGACAAATCTAAAGTGACAACTTAAGTAGACTCGAGCATGTTTTTGCTGCCTCTCATGTTTCCTCTATAACGAATCAAACAGAGATATCTAAATAGAAGTCTTAATGAAAATTGAACTTTAATTGCTTGAAAAAAGATATTCTCTTCTGAAAAGCCATAAGAAATTCTGAAAACTTTTTTTTTGCTGAAATGAAAATATTTTCACAAATTTCACCTTTTTGCATGTAAAAATTTTATCATCCGAGCAAGTTTCCAGACCCAAAGTAAACCTTTAGAATCTTGATTAAAAATTGGTGAAACCCAAAGAAATCAAGCTCTAATTAGAAACTTTCATTTGTGTTAAAAAATTTTCTAACATTTAACCAAATGACCGAAACATAAACTTTACGGTTGAGAAGAAATTTTGAGAAATGTTTTTTCTCTTCATTATTTTCCTTAAAAGTTTTTCTTCCACTTCAAAAATTTTCATGATTAACTATCTTCATCTACATGTGTTCATTGATACACTTCATCTTTTATCCCCAGCCGCAAAGTGAACATTTAAAAATAAGTAAGCAGTAAAAAAAATGTTTGTGTTTTGATTGCATCAATTAATTTTCATTTGTCAAACGAAATTTTAAACCATGACTTTCTCTTTCGCGCGATCAGATGATGTATGTGGTTTATTGCTTGTAAAACGGAGAGAAATTTTGGGAAAATTTAAGCTGTGATTTTTACAAAGATGAAACATTTACACGAGATGAAGATTTAAGAAGACGGAGATATTTTAATCTCGTCAGGTTTCATTGTGAGAAATTCCTGTGCCAGACATAAATCTTCACGCGAAACGAATTGTTTGCGTGAAAACATTTAGATGAAAATTCGATATGAAAGCTTCTTATTTTTTTTAAGGTTTGGAAATCGCTTAAAATATTTTAAGTTGCAAAATAAATCAAATCTCATGAAAAATTAACTAATTTGCTGGTAAGCAACACGTAACAAGAGAAACATGAAATCGTAAATAACGAATATGTTGAGGAAGAGAAAATTTTCATTTCTTTTATTTTGGGAAAGTTGAAAACGTTTTGGAAAATGAAACGAGAGAAAAATCATTGCAAACGATGAATTTTCCGAGAGTTCCCAACAATCTTTTCTCTTCCAGTAATTTAATTTATGTAAATTGTAGAAGAACATAAATTACAATCTCATCAGAAGACTTCAACATTTCTTTAATTTGACTCGAAGTTTATTCGATTTGTGAAAAATTTTCTCACGATTTGAGGAAATAAAACTAAATTTATTGATATAAAAAATGTAATGATAAACTTTAAGAAGGACTATCATTTATTCCTTCACAAATACGCGCTTAGAATGAGAAGCGACATAAAAGATGATATCGCAAAATATTCGCATAGAAATTTCGAAAGCAAGGCTAAATGTATAGAATAAAACTATTCACACAAACAGCATCATGAGACTTTCAAAAATGTATTCATCTGTGTATTCTTACATCATAAATTATTCAAAAAACGATGAACGAAATCTAATCTTAAAAGAAGCTTTCAGTGAATGAATCAATGATGAAGGAATGTACGCAGAATGTCAGAAAAGTTTTCTATTCATTTTTCTCACTTGAAAGCTAAAGTTATGTTAGTTCCTCTTATTTCAACATCCTTCCGTTTATTTCTACGCTTAAACTCTCATAACTTTATTGCGCGTGCAGAAAACTTTTTTAATAAGGAAAATAGAAACTGTCAAAATCGTAGTTGGATTATAAATAACGTTAGTAAAGTGTCGAAAAAGCTCTGAAAGCTATAAAAATGCCATAAACTCAATAAGATTCAATTAAGAAACTGAAGATGCTAATTACCGCCTTTCGTAAGTTTCCATCCGTAAGATAATCTTGAAAAGAATGAGTTGCATCGTAAATTTCACTGAATATGATGTGAAAACTACCCAAGTGAACAGTGAACACACTCAAGACTAAGGAAGCGATCATAAAACCTTTGCATATTCTCGCGACAATCTTTATGCTCCTTAGATGAAAATTTCATGACTACATCTTAACAACTTTCATTCTTTTTTATTTTGGCATAAGATTTCGCACACAACGAACAAGAGAAGAAGAATTCATATCGATTTTTCTATTTGTAAATAAATATCTTGTCAAGACACGGCGGAAAAGCTTGTCGACAGTTGAAATATATGGAGAGAAACTTTAGTAATTTCTTCATCTTATGGCTGAAGATTATTTAGAGCGTGTACCATAGAAACTAAGAACAACTAACCCAAGAAGGGAGAAGCAAATATTAAAGAGGCGACAAGTGTTTCCCTTTTATCTGCATAAGATAGTGGAACAACCGATAAAAAGAAGATTTAAGAGTTTATGTAGAACGAAGAACTGCACGAAATCCAAAAATCTGTTGAAACGAAAACCGGCTGTAGGAAAAGTTTTCATCTCATTTTCCAATATTTGCATAAGAAAATTGCTTATTGTTTATTCAAACAAACATTGATTGTTCGGTGAGGTTTTAACTGTAGGAGACAGAAGCCGATATATTGGATAAGTGAAGGAAAATTAATATTTGCTTTATGTGAATAAATGTTCGGTCTTTGTGATTCATCGAGATAGATGAGCATAAGAAGATTTTTCTTCGAAGTATCACTTCACACAAGCTGCCAAGAAGCTTAGATAATGAAACATCTTCAGAAAAAATAAGAGAAAAAAAACGAAGAAAGATAAAAAAATTCATCGCTCGAGGAAAATTGTCTCAAAAGTTTTTCCTTGGTTCGATCGATAGGATCACAAAATTTTTCTTTTAATTTGAGTTTTTCGTCGAAGGAAAACAAATTAAACTTTAAATTCACTCAACGTCGTTACACGAAAACCTCCATTGATTGAAACTTTGATGTATGTTGAGTTGCATGAACATGAAGCTCTTTAAAGTAAACAATGAAATTAATAACAACCTTCAATATTCGTAATCACAAACAATGTTTTGCTTCGACATGAAATCAAAAAAAATGTTTTGCTTGTTTCTCTCAACAACATGAAGAGAAAGAAGAACTTCGGAAAACTCTTTCACGATGAAAGCTTCTCCGAGAACTTTCATTTTACATTAATCAAAAGCTTCATTTATCTTTCTCGGTTTTTATCACTGATCTTAACACTTGTAAATCAAAAGTTAAATATTAAAAGAGAAAGTCTGTAAAAAATTGTTCGCCATGAATTTATGATAAGCTTGTCCACTGTCATTTTAATTTATCACGATTCAACACCGCTTTATGTGGGAAAAAGGATGAGAAAATGGAAAGCTGCCACAAAGCTAAAAGCATAATGAATTAAAATTAACCCATTCTTTCTTTTCACTCTTGATTATCGCCATGAAAATTCGGTGGGGACAAAGCGAAAAGGAAATCAAATCCGTGAAATGAAAAATTAACGTGAAGAATGAATCTTGAATTAGCCTTTTCTTAGTGAGTACTGTCGGATTGTATTTGCAAAGTTTCTCTTGGCATTGACATTAAGTTGAAAGTCAGCGGGAAAAGTGGAAAGAAAAGGGATAATGCGACATCATTAATAAGGATTTTGTGGTCGACGGCGTTGGAATAATAAAAAGTAATGAAAAGAGTTATGATTAAGGAAATGAAAAATTCGGTGATATTTAAAAACTTCAGCTTATCCTTTTTCAAATTGTAATCATTTACACAAAAAGTATCTAAAATTCTTAAACAAAGTCTTGAACAAAGTAAAACGTTTGAATAAAAAGTTGCAAATTCTTGGAATTCTTTTAAAGTTAACTCGTTCTGGATTATCAGAAAATTGTTCATATTTTAAATTAATTAACTGATCATTATGTTTGATGTCGACAAGAAACATTGCGTGAAAGATAACATTTCAACCTGTCAGTAAGATTGTTAAATCATCAGTGTAAAATAAGTTTATTAATCCTTTGAATGATGAAAAGTTATCTTAGATAAGAGTTGAAGATAAGCAGATTTAAGAACACTTTAAATTACAAATTGAAGTAGCTACTTCATAATCAATCACGCTATCAACTTCTTTGATGAAGCGAATCTCGAATAAAACTTGCTTGACATCATATAAATCGTCAGTCTACTTTAAGATTTTGTTCAATATGAAACTCTTTATCACATTTATTTTTATATTTTGTGTTTGTCATGCTCTTCCAAGTGTGGAAAATTCTCCTCTTATTGTAGGTGGTGATGATGCTGTTGAAGGTGCTGCCCCATTCATGGTTTCTGTTCAGGTAGATCGACAGGCAAATGATGAATATCGACACACATGTGGTGGATCAATTTTATCGCCTGTTTGGATTTTGTCAGCTGCACACTATTAAAACGAAAGCAATTGGAAATGATGGTATTTCTGTGTTGTTCATTAAAAAGCTTTGTCCATTCATTCTACCATTCATTACTCATATTATTAATTGTGCGATAACAAAATCTGTCTTTCCATCCCAATGGAAGATTGCTGCAATCACCCCAATTCCAAAGGAAACAACTCCTTCAAGTGTGTCAGAGTTTAGACCAATCAGTATCTTACCAAGCATGTCGAAAGTCCTTGAAAGAATATTAAAAAATCAAATAGAATTCTATATTGAAAAAAATAAAATGCTTTATGAATTTCAGTCTGGGTTTAGGAAGAGGCATAGCACGAACACTGCAATGCTTAAAGTTATTGGTGATATTACGAAAGCCACAGAAAATAACGAAATTTCAATTCTAGCGTTACTTGATTTTAAAAAAGCCTTCGATCTAGTGGATCATGGAAAACTACTAAGGAAACTGAAAGACAAATTTAAATTTTCTGATCGTGCTTGTAATCTCATTAAGTCATATTTATGTAATCGATTCCAATACGTTCGTGTAGGTACTGAAATTTCAGATCTCGCTGCAGTTACATCTGGTACTCCACAAGGAGGTATTTTATCTCCCTTGCTCTTTTCATTGCACATAAATGATCTACATGAGGTGGTTGATTGTGGCTTACATCTGTATGCAGATGATTCGCAATTTTATTGCTCTGCGTCGGATATTAATACATGTTGCTCAAAAATGAATAAAGTGCTGGAAGGTGTTAGAAAATGGACAAATGAAAACTCAATTTTCATTAATACAAAAAAGTCAGTTGCAATTGTTATAAGTCGACAAAAAATATCTAACCACCCACCGCTGTATATTGGATCTGATGTTATTTCTTTTGCCGATCAAGTCAGAAGTTTAGGGCTGATAATTGACTGCCAATTAACATGGAAAAATCATGTGGATAAAATTTATTGCAACGCTATGGCTTCAATTCAGACCTTAAGAAAATCGATTAAAATTACTCCGGAAAAGACAAGGAAATTATTAATCAATTCTCTCGTGATGCCTCAAATTCTTTACTGTAGCAACATATTCATGGGTTGCAATCGGTCTTGTTGGGCAACGATATCTTTAATTTTTAATGCCTGTTTAAGATATGCATTTGATCTAAAAAAATTTGAATCAATTTCACCATACAGAAATAAACTGCTTGAATGTTCGATTGAAAATTATGTGCAGTATCGAGCGTGTTTATTTTTGTTTCAACTATTAAAAAACAAACAACCAGAGTATTTGTATCGCGAAATAAATTTTCCTAGATTTCCTCGAAATAGGGCATTGAGTTTTCCGGATATGCGAAAAACAAAGCAATCAGACTGTTCGTTCTTTGTTTATGGTGTTCGCCTGTGGAATTCCTTAAGTTCCGAAATTAGATTACTTGAATCTGTGACAGAATTTAGGAGCCAGTGCATGGGGCATTTTTCAGACACATAATCATAATGATCACCTCCCATTTCTTTTCCTTAAACCTTTTCCTTCTAGTTTTTTGTTAAGACCAACAGGAGAGAGATTTAATGTTGTATGCAAAACTCTTTCTCTTCATGCTAAACATATTTTTAAGAATAATTTTGTTTTTTATACTGTAATACATCTATAAAATCATATGGAAAACAACGGTGTATAAGAGAAATTCGCTTCACTTGAAGAGAATTAAAAAAGAGCCCTGCTCTTAATTGTACACTTACATATTGAAATAAACAAAACAAACAAACAAACTTATAAGGAAAATGAATTAAAAGATCAGTCTTATCATTACATTTGATAAATCAAGTGGCTTTAAATATTTGGCAACATCGCATAAATTTTAATCTTTCCGGAGGACATTCGTTTTTTTCCATAAACATTAACACGACACACCTTCATCGACGTAAGAGACTCCAAAGCACGTGTATCTTAGATACGAGCCCGTTAACATTGTCCCTCATACCGAATGACGAAAATTGATGTTTTAATTTTCAAGGTCGCATATTAATTCGTCAATAAATTGTTGAATATATTTTTAGAGAGATTTCAACAATCTCATTATTAATAAATTCATTTATCATTTAAGTTTGTGAATCATAATTAAATGCATTTTAAATTGAATTCAATTGAAAAACAACGAACGAACGTTCATTCCGCAATTTTGATTGGCCCGCATTACATTTACGAAGGCGGCGAAGTGAGACGGTAAAAGTGCAATAAATTGAGTCGAAAAAGAGAAATATAAAAATTTATTTTGTGATGTTTCCACATCCCATTGCATTGCGCCCGAGACTAATATTTCAATTCTGCTTACTGGTTGTGTAATCGCAACTGAAAATACATCGTCGATGAGGTAATTCGCCTGTGCATTTGAAGCTTATGTAGAGGTTTTTTGAATGTGATAATTGTGAACATGTGAAGTCGAGTCAAATATTTTATAATAAATATCCTTGAAATTGAAAGAAACTGTTGTTATAGAGTCACATTGAAGTCGCACTTGCGTCAGAACACGAGCACTTGCATCTTTAAAAGTTATGAGAGAAACCATTGACGGTTGCTTTTCTGCCACATCATTTATAAAGTGCGCTTAAGCTGTCGTCAATTAGTTAAAATTTACGTTTCATCAACAAATAAACACAACCGAATTTTTATATATTTGTAATTTTTCAACAGCAAACTGCATTTGTATGCGTATGACATACTTTTCTATATCATTTTCGAAGCTTCTTAACATTCGCGGGCAGAGAAAAGTGAAGCACCAAGCACAGAAATATTTCCGAAATCAAATATAGGTCATCATGCATGTGTGGTTGATATTTTTCTGTTGGTTCACTCTCTATCTTCTTCCATTCATAATTCGTATCGCGAGATCACGCTTTGTGATGTTGACAATGCGCTTTAAATTTTTAGTTGTAGCTTTTGAATATGTTTTTTAGGAGTTGCATCAAATTAACCATGACTAATACATTTGTATAAGTTTATGTTGCGCTTACATTATTTCATATTGAGGTCGTTGCATAGAAAGTAAAAATAGAAACAAAATTTTTCTTCGTTTGATGTCATCACCATTAACATCATCGTTTGAGACTTGATCTCGTCCAACTTTGAAGTTTACGGCCAGTAATTTAAGTTTGAAATATTTATCAAATCTCGAAAACCGTCAACATCTTACTTTTAAGTAATTTCCGCTCTTATCAGTGAATATTTGTTGCACACCCACAGCGATCTCGATTCATAAAATTTTCACGATCGCGGGAATAAGTTTTCGCATATTTTTGCTTTGATTTTAAAAGTCATTTTTAATATTATTTTCTCTTGAAGAAGCAAATGTTTGTTCACTTAATATTTTTAGAATCTTTTCGCTGCTTTTCAGTGCTTGATATTTGTTTTGTGCAATCGCAATACCATCTCACGCTACAAGCAAAAAAATTGTGTAATCGGGACGAAGCGACTCGCTTCTGCTATGGAATTTTAAAAATAAACCAAATTGCGCATTTTTTCGCTTCGCTCTTGAGCGGGCAAATAAGCAGCAGAAAACATCAGCAGATTTTAAAAAAAAGTGTGTTAGTAGAGAAATGTAATGCAATGCATGAATAGAAGAAAACAAAATTCTATTTTTAATTTTTTTCTTTCTCAACATTTTCAATNGATGAAAAGTTATCTTAGATAAGAGTTGAAGATTTAAGAACACTTTAAATTACAAATTGAAGTAGCTACTTCATAATCAATCACGCTATCAACTTCTTTGATGAAGCGAATCTCGAATAAAACTTGCTTGACATCATATAAATCGTCAGTCTACTTTAAGATTTTGTTCAATATGAAACTCTTTATCACATTTATTTTTATATTTTGTGTTTGTCATGCTCTTCCAAGTGTGGAAAATTCTCCTCTTATTGTAGGTGGTGATGATGCTGTTGAAGGTGCTGCCCCATTCATGGTTTCTGTTCAGGTAGATCGACAGGCAAATGATGAATATCGACACACATGTGGTGGATCAATTTTATCGCCTGTTTGGATTTTGTCAGCTGCACACTGTGCGACGGAAAATATGCCTTTAGTGAGACCGCTTAGGATCGTTGCGGGAGAACATAACTTTGCTGCTGCTACAGGGCGAGAGCAGATAAGACTCACGCCCAATTTACTCATACACAGCAATTACACTGGTGGTGTAGCACCATACGATATCATGTTAATGGAAGCTGAAACACCTTTGCAATTTATATCAGGAGTCGTAGGACGAATTCTCCTTCCAGCAGCAAACTCCATCCCGACAGGTTTTGTTAGGTTATTCGGATGGGGAAGTATTTCAATGACAGAGAACGCAATTATTCCTGACATAATGCAAACTGTTGAAAAAGACGTGCTTTCATTAGACTTGTGCATAGAAGTATTAAACAATAAATTTCCTGGTGGAACTCCTATACATTTCACCAACATTTGCACCGGTCCCTTAGATTCAATTATCACTGCATGTTCCGGTGATTCTGGTGGTCCCATTGTGCAAGGTGTAGGCGAATCCGTAAATTACATTTTCTTATATTTTCCACTGCCAAAGTGTATCGTTTCTTTTAAATAAATTTCAGCGTGTGGTTGTCGGTGTCGCTTCATGGATCTCTGCATTCCCATGTGGAGCTATTAACGCTGTAACAGTTTACGTACGAACTTCAGCATTCAATGCTTGGATACTTGAGAGAACTGGACCTTTATGAACATCGTTTGTGTTCAATTTTACCACAATTTTTAATTACAACTCTTGGAAATTTGATAACGACAGCAATAAAACATAAAAATACTTATCCACTTAAATTTAAATGAACATTTTTATCATATAATGATTTTGTTATCTTTTGGTAACTTAAAGTTTTTTTTGTTAAAGAACTTTTAGTCGTCATTGTGCAATCATAATGAAAACTGTTTTAATAATTTTAACGCTTTCTGGTTTAATTTTCTGTCATCCAACGGTTGATAAAGGAAGTAAAATTGTTGGGGGCGAAAATGCAGTTGAACATGAAGCTCCATTTATGGTGACACTTCAGGTTGATCGATTTGGAGACGGAAACTTTCGTCATACTTGTGGTGGGTCGATATTGAATCCCAATTGGATTTTGTCAGCAGCTCATTGCATCACTGAGAATGGATTAGAGTTGGACTATCAGATTATCGCTGGGCAACATAATCTCAATGTTGTGAGTGGAAGAGAACAAATTCGACGTGTAGTTGATTTTAAGATTCATGAGAACTTCATCAGCGGACCTGTTGTTGGTCCATACGATGTGATGGTTTTAAGATTAGAAAGTCCATTGAACTTTTTTACTGGAATCGTTGAAAGCATAAATTTGCCGTTGTCTGGGTCAATTCCTACTGGAGATGTTCAACTTTTTGGCTGGGGAAGTACATCAATGACTAACGTTCCATCAATTCCAGATATTCTTCAAACTGTTCGGAAGGATATAATTCCATTCGATTTATGTCGTGAAGTTGTTAACCAAGTTTTTGATCACGAACCATTACATTTCACAAATGTTTGTACTGGTCCATTAGATTCAGTTATAACTGCTTGTTCTGGTGATTCTGGTGGTCCAATCGTTCAAGAAGGTCCCGATGGTTCAGTAAGTTTCTCAAATCCTCAATTAAAATTAAAGATAAAGTTTTAATGAAATTTTCCAGCTTCAAGTCATTGGAATTGCGTCATGGATTTCTGCTTTCCCTTGCGGTGCAATTAATGCTGTGAGTGTTTATGTTCGTGTTTCAGCATTCATCGATTGGATCAGTTCAAGAGTGAACTAAGTAATCAATAATAAAATAAAGCTTTGATTATTTTTTATCACATCATTCAATTTTAAGATTAATAAAGAAACAAAACTTGACATTTTAATTCATTCAGTTTGAAGTTGGACATTGAAATGAAAGCATTTGTGATATTTTCTCTGATAGTTGTTACTGTTTCAGGGTTACCGACAGTTGATAGAAACACAAGAGTTGTTGGCGGTAGACCTGCACTTGAACATGAAGCCCCATACATAATTTCACTTCAAGTTGACCCTCAGGGAAATGGAGCTTTTCGACATGTTTGTGGAGGTTCAATTATAATGCCAACTTGGATCTTATCAGCCGCTCATTGCGTTACAGAAGTTGGTTTTCAATTTCAATACCAGATTGTTGCCGGCCAACATGATTTGAGTGTTTCAAGTGGACGTGAACAAACGAGAAGGGTCATAAAATTTGAGATTCATGAGAATTTTGTTAGCGGACCTGTCGTTGGACCTTTTGACATCATGGTTTTGGAACTTGAATCTTCTTTGGAATTGGTGAATGGAGTTGTTGAATTAATCAGCTTACCACCATCAGGAAGAATATTTTCGGGTGATGCGAGACTTTTTGGTTGGGGAAGCACATCTGAAACAACTACACCATCGTTTCCCGACATCCTTCAAACAGTTTCTAAACCAATAGTTGCATTTGAACTTTGTAGAGAAATTGTGAATGCTGTTTTCGTTCACGAGCCGTTGCACTCTTCAAACTTATGTACCGGACCTTTGGATTCTGTCATATCAGCTTGCAATGGGTGAAGAAAAAGAACGAAAAAGTTTGTTGAAGGTTTTGAATTTTTGATGTTTGTTTTCATATTTTAAGAGATTCTGGTGGGCCTTTGGTACAAGCTGGCGATGATGGATCTGTAAGTGAAAATAAAAATAATGATAATTCATCACAAGTTATGAAACATTTCTAAACATTTTACTTTCAGCTTGACGTGGTTGGGATTGTCTCTTGGGGATCAGGTTTTCCATGTGGAAGTCCAAACTCAGTTACAGTCTATGTAAGAGTATCAGCGTTCATTGAATGGATAAATATGAGAGTTCGATGATAAACATGTTTTGTATGAAAGTATATGAATAAACGACTTTATTAAAGTTCAGAAATTCATTGGAGAACAAAACATCCAAAAATTAACTGTGCTAATGGATTCTTAGTAGATATTCGAATCAATTTCCACGTATAGATTGAACGTCGTGCAATGGGAAAGTCTTATGGTGAATAATTGTTTACTCGCAGGGACTTCACACAAAAGTTTTATGAACGAACAATAATTGAGATTAAGTAAGAAATATGATCCGTAAAAAACTGGCGGAGAATAACATGAAATATAAATTAAATAAATTCTGAATGTTGTATTTTCGTTTTCGCTTTTGCTCTTCCGATTTATGAATCCTTGCAATATTTTCCAGCTGGTTTTTGGAGAAAAGGATAAATACATTGAAACTTGAGTCGTTTCATTAATTAATATCAATTAGTTCCAATTCTTCGTTTTCACAGTTGAGTGAATTAAAATGAAGAGAAATTCTGTGGATAATTTTCCATTGAAATGCTGAAATAAATTTTGTTCTAAAGCTGGAAGTAAAATGAAGAATTAAACCTTCCATTTGTCTTTGATTCATGGGATTAAAATTGTAGTTATGAAAAACATTTGAGAAAGAAAATCTTTTTTATGAATCGCATTGAAATAATTTTAATTGCTTTTTATCTTCATAATCATATCTTCAATGAACAGTTTAAATGTTTTATCGACTGAAAAGATTACAAAAATAAAAAAATTAATTCAGAATTGAGAGTTCTCTGACAACATTACATAACGATTCATCCTTCAGAAGTTCATTTTTGAATAGAATGGAACATTTTTCTCTTTTTAAAATAATTGTAAACGAACATACTTCGCCTACAGCGTTTTCATAATATTTATTATAATGTTTTCACTCTCAATATTTCCATTTCAATGCAATGAAATATGTGGAATCTTGTCGTTTGAAAGTTCATTGCAATGAGAAAAAATCTCGCTTTAATCCAACACAGAATTTCTGCAATCGAAACGATTCACCTTCTCATGATATTTGATCTCAACCGTAAAATTTTCCTATGAAAATGTTATCATCTGAAAATGTGGTTCGTTTCAGGATGAGAGAAACTCTGGCTAACAAAAGGCCAAATGATGAGTTTCAATTTCATTCAACTGTATCAAAACATAACATTTGTTCCATGATGATTATCTCAAATTTAACGACTAAAGGTTTGGTTTCTGTCCTTTCTAAGTCTTTATCGAAACTATATTTCCTCATTCCGCTTCCTTTTTTTCATATAGATTCTCGAATATCACTAGAAAGGATTCTCAAAGCTTCTGCTTTTGTTTCTTCAAACAACGAATCGTGAAGACACACATCCGTTTTCAAGCAGAATATTTAATCTGATTCTAAAACGAAACTTCCTATCGATACTCTCGAACCCAAAACTACCACAAAACACTTTCCACAATAACGATTGATAGTAGAGTAAAATTCTGTCCTATCACTGTCAGTAATCTCTCGCCTCAAAAGCCACAACAGAAGAAGAGTTTTCAATAATTAAGCATTAACGAGGGAAAATCGTTTCTTATACTTTTCCACTTGAGCTACGATTATTTATCATCATTTTAGATTAATCAGAATAAAATCAAAATCAAACTTGTTTGCTTTCATCCATACCCTTAAACGTTGAACACAATGTGATAGAATAAAAAGAAAAAAGGGTAATGAAGCTCAATGTAAATAATGATCCCATACCGCCCGAGACAATAACCCGATGATTAATAGTGTTTCTTTTTGATAAATCATTTATTTATTGTTTTGAGTGCTTTTCCTTTCCCCTTTTACATGGCGACGGCTTCTTTGGGACGATGTGTTAATGGGTTGGGAAATGTTATTTGTCTGTTCTTTGAATGGTTTTGCATAAAGACATTTTGTTCGCAAACTTATGAAAACTTTCAGGTTTTAACTTGTAAAACTTTTCTTGAATTCGTCATAAAGTTTAATAGTCAAAATTTTCATAGAGAACCGATTAATTACAAGAGTTGTAGCGTTAAAGTTATTTATGCTCTTAAACTCTATTCTTAGCTTCGAAAGGCTATTAAACTTTGAACTTTAGCACTTTGAAAATTGTGAATAAATTCATTTTAACACCACATACAAAAAAATGGAAAAAAAATCTTTTTTCTGACTTAAGGCAAACCAATGAACTTGCATGTTGTTATTTTTAGTTCATCTGATCTCAACTACATTATTGAACCACTTAACTCGGAAAAATCTCATCGCCATGTTCCCATGCCATGTCTTATATCAGTTAGAAAACGATTCTCATCTGCTCTTTAAAAGTCAATCATCACTTCAGAGCCATTTTCAAGTGCCATTTCAGTTTCCCGTCGACAAGCAAATAACTTGAATGATTCATTTTTCATGACTATGTTTTCAAGTAAATTTTTCTTTTCTTTTTCTTTCGAGAATTATTGTTTAACACATTAGAAATCATTTCTTTCTTCAAGACTTCTTGAAACTTTTGATTAGCTTTGCAAATACTATTCATAATTTTATGGTACATATCACCACTTGAGACGACCGTAAAGATCTTCCGAGAATGAGGGTTAAAAATTTATAAAGAAGAAAAAAGTTTTATTTTTACAATTCAGGAATGTTAAGTTGCTGGGAAATAATCATTTATTTAAAGAATTGCCCACTCAAACATGTTTCAAAACAATGCCTACAGTAAAACATTAAAATGAATTTTTCTTGTCATTCTTACAATTTTTGTAGCAACCCTGATGGTTTCAAATCAAACACATTTAGCACGTCTATGAAATATTAAGACTGAAACATCAAACAAATCTCAGTATCTTAACGTGAACATCAATCAAAAGAAGAGGGAGGTAAAGTCATTAAAGGAAATCTTATACCAAACACACGAGTTACAATACAAATCATAAAAGGCATCCGATGACTAATGTGTAAATAAACAGCTAGTGTTGTTTGGATTCCTCAGACATTGTTTAACAAATGTTCGTCAAAGATTTCATTTCTCAAGTACAAACATCTCATGTGTACGAGCAGTAGAAACATTTTATTGCATTAAAAGTGTTAAAGCAATTTTAAGGCGCATATAAAAATCATAAAAACATTAAAATACTTCACCCTCAGCCTGCCTGCACCGGTCGGATATTTTATTTCATTTCATTATTTATGAGGCTGCATAAAAAACATCGCTTCTCACATGTTTCATGAAATCTGATACTATTTACGAACGTTTATTGCAATAAGAAATGAAAGAGTAAAACGACTTCTTGTTTGATGATTTTTCATTTTTCTTCTTTTTCTTCCTTGTTCAGAAAGGTCAATTACAAGTTGAGTGCTTGAGAATAAAAAAGTGTTGTAAAAAACCTAAATTTAGTTAAAGAATTTTCTCAAATGTGTACCATGTTAAAAACCGAAGAAGAAGAAAAAAAGATTTCAAGTGATTTGTTTTTTATTACGATGTTGATATTTATTTTTAAATCTCGTTTCAAAAATTAGTTAAGTGATGGGAGAAGAAGAGGGAGAGAGAATTTGAATATAATTTATCACGCATGGTGCACCTAGAAGTGATACAACGCATCTTGTCTGTAATCTTATTTTTTTTAAGAGTTTCTAGACTAAACAACCCAGAAATGTAGAAAAACTTGAAACATGATTTCAACGTTGATTGCAGTTTTAAAGCAACTTTCAGTTATCTGGGAAGAAAACATTTACAGTCACAGTTTGTTCAGTTGTCTCACACCCAAAATCATTTTTCGTTATTCGAGACGAGTAATAATTTTGTTTATGCGGAAAATGCTCAACCATTAATAATAAAGTTGAAACAGAAAATGTAAAAGAAAAATGCCTGAAGAAAAAATCCGTCAAATATTTTTCACCAAGAATTTTCAGAATACTTTTTGAGCCTGAAATTTTGAAGAGATAAAATAAAAATAATATAGTTTACACATCAAAAACATTCAAAAATAAATATTTAATTCAACAAACAACAATGTTTGGAAGGATAAATAATTTGAGCAATTTAAAGTGGCATCCATACATTGCTTCAGCAAAACCTTCTCGAAAAAAGGTATTGGATAGAATAAAGTCTCCCGAGAAAGTCGAAAGCACCAAGTCAAAGCTTTTTCACTCACTTTCCATGATTATCTATGAGGTTTAATCTTTGTTTTATGACTTTTAATGTTTTACCATCGTGCCTTTGCTTCGGTCATAAAACTCTCTCTTTCTGTGCTTATAACTCTTGGAAAAATATTTTACACTATTAAAATTATGACCTTTGTAAGAGCGAAAGGATTTTTATGAGCAGTGAAGATGAAAGTTGAGTTGAAAATTTTACATTAATTATGTGAAAAAAAAAAGGTTTGGAAAGAATTTTCTTCTTTTAGTTCGTTGAAGTATTTTTAGGTTCTCTTTTCAAGTTTTGTTCCTACGCTTTACCTATATAAATAAATAAACAATGGTGTTGTCAGTTAAATGACAACAATTTCTCATGACAACAATGAGAATAAATGCTATGGTATCACATTTTACAGAGTTCAAGTCCCCTTTGTATTGTTGGTTTTGTTAATAATTGTTTATCAAAAACAGATTAGTCGAGCTACCACATTTCCTAAAATCAACATCCGCTTGGTATCATATTTCATCGATTTTATATTATCTCCAGTAATGAATTTTGAAAGCGGAATAAAAGCGCCACGAACAGAAACAACAGTTTAATCCTTCCTATTTCAGGATGACTACGACGAAAATGTGAACAAGCGATTGAAGTAGACTATCTACACCTTCTAATTTCTCCTCAAAATTGAAAGCATTCATGTTGAAATCGCTAATGTCATCTTTTGCCTGATTACACGACTTAAGCTTAAGGCTCCCTTTTTTTGTTCTAATTCTAACATTCCAATTCTATTGACGTATAAGCTTCTCCACGTGTGCCAATTGTCATGGAAATAAGCTTAATTACAATCAAATGGAGACATTCATCAATTTACGTAATCAAGAAATAAGGGAGTAGAAAGAAGGAAGAAAAAAGCTTTCCCTAATTATGAAATCAATTTCTTCTTGTATCGCATTTTCATCTGACAAGCGAAAATCTTTTAGGTTCTGCACAAGATTCATTACGTGTGAGTTGTTGAAGTCGAGCGGAAGAAGAAATTATAGTAAACTGAATTAAAGCTCTGTGCTGTGTGAATTATCGCATCATCAAAGTAATTAATCACCATTTTACGGCCGTCTTATCATGCAAGCGACATCAAAGCGAATGTGCTTCCATAAGCAAATAGCCGAATGATTTTTCCAATAACAAATGTGAGAATAAAAATAAATTCGAAACAAAATGGAAAATGGAACGAAGAGAGAATTCAATGTGAAAAATTCTCTCTTTCTTTCCAGTCGCACATCGCTTTTCATTTTATCGTAAATTTTCCGTTTTTGTATGTTTTGTGCATTCAACGCCTCAGTTATTCATTTGATCTCGTTTGCTAAAGACGCAAAAGTCAAATAATCGTTATAAAGTGAAGAATAGAAAATTCATGTTAATTGATTATAGGAACTTCAACCCTTTAAGTAAATAATTGATATTTAATATAAAATAGGGGAGATATACTGAAATAAAAGTAAACATCCTTTGTTGAAACTAGTATTGAGATAAAGTGAAAGTAACATGAGATTGATTACAATAACAAGACAAAGTTAAACTAACAAAAAGAAAGAAAGAAAAACGGAATAAAGCAGAGAAGAGTGATTGAATACATTTTGATAGATTATCCCTGGTGATAATGTCAGTGAAAGAATCAAGAACAACAAACGTAAAGCTTCCGCTTTATATGCTGAGACTTGCTTAACCAAAATAACCATAAATTTATCTCTGTTGCTGTCGTTGAATGCTTTGAAAGAGATAAAAAAAAGAAAACAAGGAGAAAAATATTCTCAAGAGAACAGGAAAAAATAAAATCAAACTGTGAAGATAGTAAAAGTTTTTTTTTCACGTTTTTGTGTGCTTTGTTATGCTTGCTTCTCAATTCATTTGTTATAAAAGAATAATGAATTGAGTAAGATAAATAGTGGTACAACTGAAAAACGAAAGTGGATTTCAAGTCGTTATTTGTAAGCGAAACGGAACATCGTTAGACCACAGAGATTAAGACAATATTTGGTGAATGATTAAAGTTGGTATGAAAGCAACTCATCTTCATCTCTTCAATTAAATATTAAATGAGGATAAATGAATAATACCATGAAAAAAAGAAGCTTTTCATCAAATACCAACTAAGCCTTTTTGATGAGTGTATATGTAGAGTTTGGAAGGGTCGAAAAGTCTCAGGAACACTCAAACAAATATTTCTAAACAAATTGAGGAGAAAACTTTCCATCCCGTATCTAAAATTATTTGCATTATAAATTTTTTGATTACTTCCTTTGATAATAAATATGTAATCACTTTAACTTCGAAAAAATAATCTGAATAGATCCAAGAGAGATTTTTTTAATTATTTATTGAGATTACTTAACGCCTTTCACCACCCACGTTGAGGCATTTCCATAAAAGTTTTCCAATTTCCGCCACTTCATTAATTTTATTTTGATTTTTATGCTCGCAAACTTTCCTTTTCAAACTTTCCTACATTCATTTCTGATAACGTGAACAATCGAAGCGTCCAAGATGAAAATGAAATTTATTGTTATCGCTTTGGCTTTTATTGTTCGATTATTTATGCCATAATTAATTTAATTTCCACTCCATGACCTTTCCTTTTCCGCTACTTTCCGCCTCTCAACGCGCTACCAAAATGGTAATCGCCTATAAAACATTCATAAATTGGAGATGATGGGAAATGAGAAGAAATCATGATCCTGACCTTGTGAAAATAAATACAAAAGTTGAAGAAGAGAAAGATTGAGTCGGAGACTTAGAATTTACTCAAGCCACAGACGAAATTCCCTAACGCAAAAAGAATTTTTTTATCGAGAGTAAATTACATTTTTCCAAGCAAACGAACCTTTCCATTAAACAAAAGACTTGTTCTCGTTACTTTCACCAGTTTCCTTTGTTTTTCTTTTTCAAGCATCATTGGAAAATGAAGGGAGCACATCTTAATTTATATCTCGAGAGTTTAATCAGGCGCGGCGAAGGAAAATTTCCTTTCTTTCAATGTTGTGAATCTTTTTTTCTTGCTCCCTTTTTTATTTTCCGCCTTCGTATTTTCGCGTTGGCTATTCTCTTTCAGACGCAAAAGTCATTATTTTCATACAACGAATACGAATGAAATGATGAGAAATGCTGATGGTAATGTCCATACAATCCATCATCATTTTCAGTGAAGCCCTTCAATAGACACGATGAGGTTTCAGGGCATCTGTAAACAAAAAGAAGAAGAATATATCCTAGAAATCAATAACGATTCAATGCTTAGGAATCCATGTTGCTTTTCTCTTTTCTTTATTCCCTTCCTCGTTAAATTAAAGCAGATGAATCGTTGTTTTCATTTTCTTTTGTGCTTTAAATTTGATTTTTTTGACTTCTTTTTATTCTATTCAACAAGATTTTTCCCAAATTTCCCATGAGAAAACATGACAATAAAAAGTTAATTGCTGATCAAGCAGAATTTCTAACAGCTTGACAAATTAAATTACCATGAAAATGTTGCGTCAATTTTGCGAGTAATCACAAAGGAAGTGAATATCAAAAAGAAAGTTTAATACAAGAGAATTACATCAAAGTGAGATTTCAATCAAAATCATCAATCAAATTTTCATTTTCTGATTAGATATTTCAAGTTAAATTCGATGAAATTAAATTGCCTTTGATTTTTTTTATTTGAAATTTGAATCAAACTGTGTCGTATTAAATTATATAATTAAAATTACGTAATACTCGTATTTGAAGTTCAATTCTTCAAACATTAATATTGACAAAAAGCTTCAATTTTCAAGATGCAACTTTTCCGTCATTCCAAATTTTATATTTGTGTGTGATTTCTTTTTCATTTTTTTCACCGAAGATTTTCAAAGAAAAGAAAAATAAATGGAGAAAAACTTTTTTATTAAGACAATTTGTCATTCGATAAGTTCCTCGAAGACTTTCCTTATTCGAAAGTCGGAAAACTTCTGGCAATTTTTTTCCAGCTTTAGAATTTTCATATGCTTTATTTGATTTCCAATTTTATCCAATTACATAAATCTTCAAATAAATGCTTCTTTTAAAAAATGAAGACTGGGAAACGAGATTTTGGGAATCGAGAAACGACTGTCAATTTTCAATGACTTTTAAAGAACGAAAAGTAGAAAATATATCCGGAAAGAAGCTTAAAAATATACAAAAAACTTTGCGACATTTAAAACTTTCAACTCTTCTTTTTCCACATTTCAACACAAAGAAAACTCTTTCTGAATACGAAGCACAATAAAATTTTCCAACTGTTTGAGCCATCAAAATGTTTTTAACGTACACGACATGCACGATAGATCCCTTCGCATTATTATAATTCTTTTTCTTTAACTCAAATTCTTAGGATGTCAGGAAAATCTTTTTTTTTATTTTCCGTCTTCTGTTTTTTTCTGTCTTTTGCAAATCGGTCGACGACTCAAAAAAGGATTTTCCAGATTTTCGAGCAATGGGATTTGAATTAGACTCTCGTCGTCTTTTCTTCAAATCTCTCATTCTCATGATAACTTATGATAAAGCCTAAGAGTACAGTTTCATGCGTGCATAATGAGATTATAAAGATGAGCCTAATATGTTTAGATTCGCATTTGAAACTCCCCTCGAAAGTAACATGCTTCCTTGAAGATTTTCCTTCTAACATTCGACTGTTTTTATTCCCTTTTTTCTTCTTGATTTCTGACAGAGGTGATTATTGTCAAAGTCATTTTTAATTGACAAAAAATTTGATGTTGTCATTTGCGATGAAGAGATTCATTATGGAGAATACAAATAAATTACATTTTTTTTGATAATCCTTTTAAAAATAACCTCGTTACACGGATGCAAACATTTCTGATTTTCCTTCAATATTTATTATTTCCAAAGTAAATGTTTGTCTCTCTGGCGGATTTATCTACATAGCTATAAGTAATGCCAAAAGCTTATTAAACGATTCTCATGTTCTCTTTGGATTGTGATCATCTCTTAGGAAACGAAACGAAAGAAAAGAGACTCGTGACTTTATGTCTTGCTTTTCATCGCAAGTTCATGGTGAATCAAGCCATGCCAATCTGTAAAAATATTTGCTTTTGAATCGTTTCTTTATTTGTTTAGCTTTTGTCATGAAAAAGGATTTTTTCTCTCTCCTTTCTGATATTGGATAAGTCGTGTACATGCTTACATTCGAAGAAATAGAGTCGTATAAGAAAAATACTTCGAATGATACCTTTTCGATAAACAACTTCATAGACTTTGATTTTTATTCAAATCATTTTTTTCGCTTCATGTCAATGATTTCGAGGAAATGAAATGGTTCTCGATTTGTGTCCCGTCCCAATACCTTTCAAAACCTAATCCCATTTTGTTGTGTGTTTGTAGGTTATCAAAAGTTTTTCCAATCCATGAGAGTCCATTTTTGGTCGGTTTACAATCAAAAAAGGTTTCTGTTCACATAACGATATCGGACATTTGCAAGAAAATTGTCGAAGAAGGTGAATTATGAGGTAACAGCACACAACCAAATGGCAAAAGAAATTGTACACAAACAGTTTCCACTCTATGTGCGGCAATTGGAAGGAAAATTGCTTTTTTTTTCTATTATTCTTATTTATGTTTATCGATATTTTCCACCTTGTTTCGCAAGCGATTTTCTTTCATACTTTCATTACACAACTGGAGAACGAAATAAAATTTCTTTAAGAGAATACCTAAAAACATTGGCAATTGCTTTCACATGCTTTTTACTTTTTGTTATGTTTCACCCCAACATACATTGCTTGTGAAATTGAGCAATGTTCTATCTAAGTATCAGTTACGCAATCTTGATATGTTTCGTGATGATTTCAAAGCAATTTTCTGACATGCAAATAAGAAATCGATAAGTATTCCTTTTCTAGTCATAACTCAAAAGACGACAAGGGGAAATGTTAAGAATCAATATAAAATCTTCGAAAGTAATATTATGAAAGAGAAACCATACATAAAGCGTAACTTTCCTTTCAAATACCAATCGATTGACGAATGAAGCCAAAACAATGCAAAAATATTAAAAGATTTTCGTTTTATCTTTTAAAAAACATCAACAAGATAAAAAAGGGAATATTTTCCTTTTCAAAAGCATTAACGTCAATAATAACGAACTTTAATTCTGTTAGGGAAAAATAACACTGGTTGTGTATTTAAGAAGCTTAGTTTATTAAAAATAATAACACTGACTGGGGATTTCTTCATAAATAATCTTTAAAAGAGCTTTTCTTATGTTGCTTTTGATTTACTCAACGACGGAGCTAGTCCACAACATAATCTAAAGGGTTTACAAATTTTAAAGCTATTTTTAAACTTTACTCAACTTCCTTGTCATGATTTTGAAGCGTAATTATTTCTTGGAATTCCGGATTTCCTTTCTATATTTACAACTTGCTTTCCACATCAGAGCAAGGTTTTCAACCTAATTTTGTGCTAACTGCCGCTAGTCCTGAACAAACAAACTCCTATGCATCCTTCACATAAATTGAAACAACTTCAAAGCGGCACAATTACTCATCATTTATGAGTTTATCGAACCAGATTTTAGGTTTTTTTTCTTTTTCAACTTCAAAATTGAAGGCGCTTATAAAGTAGACCTTGTTCTTATCGAAACATGCCAAGCCCTATAAAAAATTGTAAGCTTCTAGTAAAAACTGAGATTGACGTTGTTGAAGAACACAAAAAAGAATAAAAAAAATCGAAGCAAAAAGCTTTAGCAGACATCCAATTTACAGGAAAAGAAATCCCTTTCTGTTCGACATAATCTAGCATCGAATAATAATGAAGTTTATTTATTGCCATTTTCCGCTTTCGGTTCGGAAACTCTTCTTACAAATTTGTATAGGCAGACGCATCATTATCCTTTTTTTACTCAACTCTCTTCGTTTGACGGCCGTTGGGGCCTTTTTCTTTATCTCCATGATTAATTATATTGTAATGGAGTGGATAAATGCAGAATGAGAGCTTTATTTGGCATCGCATTCTTATTTTCTTTTATTCTGTGACGCGTTTCTGAAAATAACTGATAATCAGATATGTTCATATAGGAAAACATTGAAGGGTCTGAATGGCACCATAAAGCATTGCTCATGTCATTAGAACTCTCGACGCGACAACAAAAAAATCTTATTCTCTTTCAAAGCACTCAACAATCGCGCAATACAAAAAATCTAATTAATGTGCAAATTAAAACTTAATGAAAGCTAAAGTATCATAACGAAATTTTTTTCTTTCTTGTCTAACGTTCAGATACGACTACAAAAAGTTCTCATTATGTGACTCTCATGAAAGCATTTCAAATTCAGATGAGAAACTGCAGTGCAATAAAAAAAATTCAAGTGAAAAAGCAAGAACATCATCAGTGCAGTTGGTTTAATAATAATAATAAAAACAAGACGAACTTAAAAGAGAAGAAAAAGTTTTTTGTTGAATGAAAACATTTGTTTTTGCATCTCTTTAAACGGGGAGAGGGTAACGAAGCTATATGAAAAACAAAACTGAATCTGAGTGCTACAAACATGCAGCAAATATCTTGCCACTAAAGCAAAGAATCATTCAAAACAACAGAACACCACACTTGTGCATCAACTGAGCGTATCATCATCAAGAAAATAAAAGAAAGGAAATAAAAAGAATCCGTAGACGATTGTGGTGTTTTATGTGTCGAGAAACAGAGTTTTAAATCAGCAGCAAGAATAAGAAGAAGAGTCAAATTAATTTTATGCATGACATTGTTGTGATAGGATGAAATATCATCGTTAGCGTTAGCTGTGCAGAAAAATAAACAAGAGCACTTCTTTCATCGTTTGCGAACTGCTTTGTGGACCTCGACAACCCTAAAGCGACATAACAAAAATGCAAATTTCGGATAGCATTAACATATTTATGTTTTGAACTCAAGAAACTCAAGAAGCAAAAAAAATGCATAATTAGTTCTTCTCCGAATTTAAATTAATTAATCTTTAAAATCATAAAACATAACGAACACAATTAAAAATGTATGAAAGTGAGGCGAATAATAAGATTTATAAAAGTTTTCGTATGCATCGGAAGTCGCAAAGTAAAATGGATATGATTCGTAGATTGATAAGTGTAGGCATAGTTCTTCAGTTAATATCGAATATTGGTGAGTTGATTTCATATTTAATTAATTAATCTATATTTACTTACATGTCTTATCGGATTTGTTGCCTAATGTTCAAAAACTGTTGAATTTCGTTAACATTATGCTAAGCTTGCATTTATTAACATTCATAATGCTGACTCAAAGAGCATCACAAATTTCGTAACAACATAACTTTTATCCTATCAATTATGATTATTAATTCAATTATTATTTAGTTTTTGAGTATATCTTGCTGTTTTAATTATTGCATGCAGCTGTTCGCAAATTTGAAATGTCGGAAAATATTTGCGGATAATTACAATTATGATTGTAATTTCAAAGTTTCATCATTATTTCTGAAAATATGCAACAAAGTTTGTAAATTGTAAAGCAAACATTGTAATTGTTCATTTATACATGGAATTTGAATCCATTTGAGTATTTTTATCAACTCGAAAACTAACCAGAACACAAATACCTACAACTCTGAAGAATTTCCAATTTAATCTGCTTGAATTATAAATAAAAGCAAAATGGCTTTTGAGTGGAACAAAAATATCAAAAATTTAACAAAAGCATTGTTTGAATCTCTTTTTCAATTTTAATTAAATATTTTTCAAACATCCGTAAATTATTCTAAAACATGACACAGAATTAAAATATAAATTAATTTCAAAAAATCACATTAGAAAGGATTTAAATTTCCGAGTGTCATGTAGACATTTTTTAAACATCATTAAATTAGTCGAAACATTATCTTATGTCTCATACAAACCATAACGCAATCAATTTCCCCTTCCCACTTAAAACACCAAAGCAATTCACTCAAAGTTTTCCCAAGTGATCTCAAAAAACCGTTTAAACTAATTTAAATTTAAGCTCTCGTGCCTTTTTCAATTTCGTTCGAAAAACACATTAAAAACTCTCGTTATGAGAGAAAAATTCAGTCCCAAAAAGTTTCATGCTTAAATATCTTTTCCCCTGCCTCCATCTATTCTTCAAAGTATTCAGACCCCCATTTGAAACTCTGAAGAATCAGGAACCGAAGAATATCGACGTAGGTAACTTCTGACATAATCAACAAAACAATTCTTGCCTCGACGACCCTCTCTCAATTCTAAGCTTTTCCTCAATTAGCCTGAAAATCCCCATAAGAGTAATCTATTCATAATTAGTCACATTTTGCGACGCTTTCAACCTCTTATATGCGATTTCATGTGCTATGTTTATTCATTAATTACACCACACACTCACAATGAAAGGAGCAGTAGGTAAAAGTTTACTCGCTTAGAGAAAAAAGGATTTTTCCTATGACAACGAATTTCCCCATCCAATCACTTCATGATGGCTGATAAAAAGGGCCGTTCTCACGACAACAAACATGAAAAGCAAACCTTCAGCCTTTCCATGAGTACCATATTTTGACAAGTCATGTAACATTGTTGACGGAGCGAACGACAGAAGTTTGTGTAAACATCTCCAAAAGTATTAAATCAAACGTACGACTGTTTCGTCTTCGTGATCGTGTAATCCCAAACCTTAGGCCAATTTGCGTTAACTCAACGTTAGAAAGAGAGAAGAAAAAAAAAAGTTTGGAATCCGTGGGGATTGAATCGCGCAGTGGGGTCGAAAGTGGAGCGTGTTGAAACTAATTCTTGCTAATATTATAACATTACACGAAATACAAAAAAAACCTTCACAAAGTGTCTTATATTGTTATGGTTTCGTTCTTACTTTTATTTTGCAAACGCTGTTACATTAAGCTGCTAATAAGACGGTGGTCGGTGGATGGAAAAGGTGTGGAATATCATAATTGGCATCATCATGCCATATCATTTAGGGCAATAAAAAAAATTAAATTATTAAAGTCGTCCTTTTTCTGGCATTTTTCGCTGATGTTTGTGTGTCTGTTGCAGAGTTGTTAATTGTTGATTATTTGATTTCATAACGATAAATAAAATCCTAGAAAAACATTACAAAATTTTGAAACTAAAGAAAAGCATTATGAAAGTTTTTAAAAGTAATTTTTGCAATAAATTTGACAGCACTGCATGGCAACCAATATAGAAATGAAAAGGGAAGCAGAAATTTTTCCTTACGCGCTTTTTATCACTTGTTCTGTTCACGGTTCTTTCCCCTGTTCACGCCTCGCACTTCGCAAGAAAGAAACCCTCAGAAAATGATTATAATTAGTAAATGAAAGTAATCATAATTAAGTTATCTTTCTCATCGCACGACCATCCTTAAAACACAACGACGTGAAATATTTTCACTTTTTTTCACCAAGAGCTCTTTTATGCCAGAAATTCGTTTAAAAGTCGTAAGAAATATTTCATTCTGTCGGTCACGAGTCGTTGGATAAAATTCTACTTAACATTACTCTAGTTGAGCTATTTGGAATTTAATGCAGCGTAAATTAAATAAAAGAAATAAAGTTGCAAAGAGATTGTTCACGACATTAATTCGCTGGAAAATATTTATTCATGCTTTATAAATGCGAGAAAAGCTTTTTAATTATGTGTTGCTTTTTACTTGCAGAAATTAAATTATTCATGGATGCTTTGATAATATTTTTCGGGAACTGTGCCAATAATTTCTCACATTCAAGCTTTTTTTTTGCTAACTGTTGTTGGATGAAACAAAGCGATTACGGATAGGAAAAAAAGAAGCCATTTATCAAAGAATGTGCTTTAAATTAATACATGATGATATCCAATAACCGAAAAGAGAAGAAACATCAGTAAAATTAATGTTGATGTCGATTGTTTCCTTCAACCAAAATTATTTATCATTTTTCATCCCTTCTTTCGATTTACTTCACATTTCCATCGTTAACTGTCGACATCTGGAGCTTATGACAAAAGCAAATACGTTTCTTTCTCATCAAATTTCATTCTTGTCTTGTTTCAGGTCTCAGTAATGGTGCTATTAGATCAATACGGCTCGTCATTGAACCGATTGGTGTACGACGAGGACAAAGTGCTACGCTTCGTTGTTTATATGATCTTGATGGGGCACCGCTGTTATCATTGCAATTTTATCGTGGATCTGGCGAATTTTATCGATATTCACCCACACAAAGTCCAACAAAAAAAGTTTTTCCATTGTCTGGAATCAATGTTGATGTAAGTAACGATGACAATCTTTATAATACTTTATTATTTATAAGTCACTTGATATGAAATATCTACCTTATAAGTCATAACGAACTTGATTATGGAGAAACACGTTTGTTCATAAAAATGAAAAAGCAATCGTAAACTCTATGATACTCATCCGAATACAATCTTGCATGAAGTTGTTGCCACTCTGAGTTTTCCACGTCGTTGATGTTGTCTTGAATCAAGATGAATAAAACATCTTTTGACTTGTACCTTGAAACTTTTTCTCTTTTCATGCTTTTAATGAAAACTTTTATTTGATAATAGAAATACATTTTTGTGTATCTGAGTGTTATGTTATGCTCTAATAACGTCAAGATTCTTTTGAGAATGCTCACATTTCATTGAGTAAAGGATTTTTAAAGACAATTTACAATTCATAAAGCAGCACAAAAGCACTACCTTGAGAGAGAAAGAGTTCATTTAAAATGAATAAATTAATAAAAAAGATGTCGAATAATGAATGCTTGAATTGAATACAAAAGTTCTTTGTTTTATCTTCTCACATAACTTCCAGATAACTTCATTTCTTTAATATTTAATATTGCTTCATCATATTTCAGACTGCAGCATCTAATGCAACGCAGGTGGTTATAAAAAATGTAAGCTTCGGTCTTTCGGGGAATTTCTCATGTGAAGTTACGGCAGATTCCCAATCATTTTCAACAGCATCAGCAACGGCACAAATGATGGTTGTAGGTTGGTATTTAAACAAGAATGTCATTCAAAATTTTCTTGATTAATTAAAACTAAAAACCACAGAATTTCCTGAGACCCGACCAACACTTTGGACGGAAAGAGAACGTTATGAGCCGGGCGATGTTTTAAGAGCCAACTGCAGTTCACCACCATCACGACCTCAAGCTGAGCTTACTCTTACTATAAACAACATTGTGGTAAGTTTGTCATTAAAACTATTTTTTACCTCTGCCATATTTTTTCTATTTTCTTGTTATTTGAAAAGAAAAAAATGAAGCTTTGAAAATAAATCTACAAAAAATAAATATAAACGAGATTCGGAAGAATGAACATGTTCAATACAATATTTTATGACTTAACATTTTAAACAATGCTATGAACTAAATGTGTGTCTCTGTTGCACAAACATAAGAATAATGTTTTTATAAGCATTGATACTTGAGCATATATTTTTCTTCTTAAGGCGTTTTCATGTCCTGATTTTGCTGGTTTTAGTTTTACCACAAAGCAAACAATGTGTCAGCAATCTGGAAAAGCTTTTCTTCAGACTCTTGAATAAGAAAACTTCGTCGTTCGACTACGTTTTCGGAATTCTGTGCAACCTTGTCAAAAACGAAATTCTACTTAAAACTTAGCCATTAGCTAAATTAATCTAAAATAGATGATGTGATGGGCCATCAAAAGGAAGTTAATAGATAACTTTGAATGTTATGAAGAGAAGCTTTTAATAAACGAAATGAAATAAGACAATTTTGAACAGCTGAACTTGATTATTTCAGAAAAAAAATCTTTTTATGACGTTTTCCTGGAAGACGGAAAAATTTTATAACTTTTGAATCAAAAATCAAGTTTTTTTCCTTTCGATTTATTTTTGCGGAAATGAATCAATTTTTTTAAAATATATAAAAATTTCTTGAAAGAAAATTTTCTGGGAAAAACTTCTTAAAATCAGGGACTGGGGAATAAATAGAAAATTTCTTGTACTTTCAGTATTAAATTTTCGAGAAATTCTTTTAAAACGACTTTAAATTTTATTTCACATTTTGTTAGTTCCATTCCCTGATTTGAACGATTAAAAGAATTTTCTTTTAATCTTTTTTGTCTTTGATTGCTAGGAGTTTTTTTTTCCTTGCTTTTAATTAAGAAATGAAGAATCCGAAGCTTTCAAAAGCAATACAATCTTGAAAATAAAATAACACAATGAGAATAAGTTAAAAAAAGAAACTTATTGTTCTTTCTCAATCTCGATAACAAAAACTTTCTTTTTTTCAAAATCGCAAAAGCGAAAAAGTGAAATGTATTTTCAAAGATAATTTCTCAATTGTTCCTGATTGCTTTCATCTCACTAACAAGTCGAAATTCGCTATAATGGCTTCATGTAGGGATTTCCATTGTTACTCTTTGTCAATATTTTAAACGAAAATCGACGACAGTTTGCAGAAAAGCTTTAACGACTTCAAGCTGTGCGCTTCTTTGTTTGCACATTTTACTTAAATTCAGATGCCATAAGCTAAAATGCCCACAATTATAAAATCAATAAATTTGCGAAAAGCCTCATTCGACGTTGAGGAAGGGTGGAAAAGCTTTTCAACAACGACAGAGAAAAGTTATCTGAAAATTAAACAGCTTTTGCCATCAACAAGCTAAACGACATGCTTTTCGACTTCTCCTCTGACGTTACTTCTTTTGCAAGAGAGTTTGGAATTGTGATATGACAAATATTTTCCCACCGTCCTCCACATGTAACGTGCCTATGATGTTTGTCATAAACTTAATTGCATTGTATGCCATGTTTTAGTTTCCTTTATCGTTATCACTGTAATTTTCAATATGTCGCTAGAATATAAAATAAAAGAGACGGAATAAAGGAAGTGTGACAAAGCATGGCCGCAACATTAACACAAACTTTGAAATTGCTTTTTTGATCGCTCCTTTGAGCTTCAATAAAATGTCAACTTTAAGAAAGAAAAATTTTTGGTACACGTTCCATGATGAAATTGTGAGAAAACTCGCGCTTTTTCTCATTTCTTAGGTTTCCTTCAACCATTAACGAATCTCATGAAATGCGCGCACAAGAGATTTCTTTTGATTGAAAAGTGACGACGTGACGTGAAAGGTTATGACTTTTATATGGCGTCGATCTTTCACCTTAACGATGCTGTTCGTACTGCTTTGCTTATACTTCACTGTTCAATTTTGAACGTGAAAATTGAATTTTATGTAGATTAATTGATTAAGTACTCTGACGTGAATAAAATCAAAGCACTCAACAAAAATGTCTCAATGAACAAAATAAATTTCATTTTAAATCTCTCCTTTTCCTACTTTGTAACACGATTTCGTATCTTTCGTGGCAGGTTTACTCGACTGACGTGCAATATTTCAAGACAATTGAAGGTCGTACGGCTACAAGAATCGGTATGAGACTTCAATTACAGAGCATTCACTTCGGTGGTGGTCCGGTGATGAATGGCGGTGGTCAACTTATTCTTAGATGCACCGCACAGATAGGAAATTTGTATCAAGAGTACTCAGAGAAAGAATTGGGTGTTCCACAAAAAGATCCCATTCCAGCGAGAGGTAAGAAACTTTAATAAAAAAGAAAATTAATAAAAATATTCTGTGATTTCAGTTTCTTTGAAAAAAAAATTAATTAAAAACTTTTCTTGTTTTTTCATTATTTCCACAGTTACCTCGTCAATTGCCATAGCTTCTGCAGCATCTCTTCTTTATACGCTTCTTACAGCTTTCGTCACATTGACACACCAGCATTTGAGATAGTTAATTAAAATGAAGAACTAGAATCTCGCCTTTTGCGAGACTTTCTAACAAGATGAAAAGAAAGATGTGAATCTAAGTTTCTTTCCAAGGAAATTGTTTTAGAAACGCGAAAAGTAAAATTGCGATTTTTCTGCTCCTTCGAAAATAGTTAAAAACTTTTAATTTCTTACTTTCTCATTTTAAATAAAATATCATCATAAAGAAAAATGTAAAATGAAGGAACAACTTATATGAAAATAATCAAAGATTCCTTAAATATTTTGAGTTCATCAAAAATTGACAAACATTGTTGGAATCTGTCATGTTAACGAAAATTCTGGAATCTTTTTTGTTTTACATTTTTTTAATACATAGATATTATTTGTGATAAGGGTATGGAAAATTAAATAAACGTAAAATGAACTTTCCAATGATGTAAAAGTTCTCAGAATTAGAATATGGATAAACTAAATATTGTACATAGACTTAAATTGCCGATAGTAATTTGCAAAACATTACATATCGAAGAACCGGAAAGCAATCAATTTCATGCAATAATTTGCGAATTGATACGTTTTCCGGGATACGATATAAATGCATTTGATTATTATCCACATGTATTCATACATTCTGGACTTTGATTATGTTTGTTTTCGAAATGAAAGGCTCGAGGCGAATATTTCTGTTTCAATTACTGATTCACATAACTAAAGCAATCACTTGATTTCACATTTTAAATTTTCTATCCAATTTTCACGCTCTTTCTGTAATGAATGGAACTTTAAACCATCACTGAACTTTGAACACGAGATATTTTATTTTGAAACTTTGTATAGTCAAAGTCATTATTCACTTACACGAAAAAGCAGGAAAACAAGTCCTAAAGTTTAAAGATTAAATTTGGATGCTAAAATCAGTAAGAGGGAAAATTGTAAATAAAGCAATTAAGAAACTAAAATAAGTCACTTCATTCCAGTTGCAAAAAAAATGAAATTGGGGCGATAATGAAAATCAGAATAAAGAAGTAATAAAGTTCTTTTTTTTTGTCTCGATGAGAGATTGGAAGATTTACTGCAAAATGAATTTTTCCTTGTCTGCAAGTTTTCACATAAAATAAAATTAAAAGAAAATAGTGAAAATGAAATTTAAATTGAATTAATTTTCTGTCCCTTCACTACTTAGATGTTTTCCTCTACCGTGACTTCCTTTTTTGGATTGTTTTTTTGTGGCAAATGTGGGCCAAACATTTCACAAATTATGAACAATTCAAAAACTAAGTGAGGAAGAACATAATGAATAAAAGCGAGAAAACTTTTTAAGTTTTGAAATGCACTTTGTGCTAATAAGAACTTCATTTCATTCTTATTTTTCCATTTGCCAAAGAAATGTTTACACAAAAAATGTTGAATGAATCTATGAAAAGAAAACATAAAAACCAAATTTTCGTTTTGTGAATTTTTTTTTATTTTCGCCATAAATGTTTGTATTGTTGATGTAAAGAAATATAAAAATAAAGAGAAAAATATGACAAAAAAAAAAACAGAGGATAATAAAAAAGAAAGACATTATCATAGATGTTTTGGGTGGATGGTAAAAGAAACCGCTTACTTCATAAGCGAGTATTATTTATTATTAACCCTCGTTTTCAGATTCAATTTAACAAACTGCAGGAACCATCATTTATGGAATGTATGAATGGAATGATAACCTTTATCATGGATATTCAGGATCATTATGAAGGTTCCGTAACGGTTGTGCAATCTAAAAGCTTCTTAGAATTGTTTACAACCCCACCACGAATATCGCAAGGAAGGAAAACGTAAAACAAAGCGAAATCTTTTATAAAATTTACTCGCCTCTTGCTTCTGCTTTTGTTTCACTTCAATTTCGTTATCAAAATAAATCCTACAAGCGAAATAAATTTCTTCCTTTCTCGGCATTTTTAAAAATATTTCCTTTCTTTATATTTGCGTCGTTATTCGTGGAACGAAATTTACTACAATCACGATAAAGATTGGAATTTTTGCGAACGCCCGCTACAAAAAAAAATCTCGAGGCTGCTGGAAAAAAAGAGAAAGAAACAGCAATAAATATTCCGAAGCAAATATACATCTTTGAAAGATTTATCACTTTATACTTCTCTTTCCATTTTATTTTTTTGTATTTTAATTAAAATCACCAGTGACCCTTGAGTAGCTGTTATAATGTTGTATAAAGATATTTTATCTGCTAACGAAAAAAAAGGAAAAAGGGCCTTCGATGTCGAGATCAAGAATGTGAATGAAAAGAGAAAAAAATATCCAGGAAATTACTTGAGAATTAAATTACACAACAAAAGATGACGATAAAATTTTTCCTGCCACAAAGCTCGATATCAAATTTCGTCTTCGTTTAAAGTAAATTTAATTATATACTAGGAATGAATTTATTTTTATTTTTCAATAGCTTAGCAGCAGCTCTGACTTGAATAACATTCGAGAGAATGGAAGATGACAGTAATCATTTATATTTTTTCAGCCTTGGGCGAACTTTGATTCCTTTCACTTTTCAATAAATATACAACAATGTAATTACAATTTTATTTTCCTTCCAAAATTGAGTCCTAAAATATCGAAGCTGATTTTCTTCTCTTGACTTCAAACTCAGTTACAGAAAAATTTTTGCTTCTTCATTCTTTATTCACAACACATCAAAATTTTCTTTTATATTTATTTATAGCATAACTTTTGAAGCAAATTTTGAACAAACAAATTTCAAACGGTTCCATCTTTATGATTCTTTTAAGTTCTTCTATGCTCTTTTATCCATTTTAAACATAAACATCAAAACTTCATATCGCGATCATTCCGATTTTTTCTAATATGCGAATGAAATACGAGACAAGTGGTGCAGAGCAGCACACTTTAAGTTTATGGTTTTTCGGGGAAGGCAAGCATTCCGAAACATTGCCTTCGCATATTTATGTTGATATGTCTCGATTTCACTATCTCATCGAAAGAATTCTTCGTCTGTCACCGAAACATTTGTTGTGTGTGGCGAGAATAGCATTTGGTCTATTTTTACTATGGAAAGAAATTAAAGAAGTCATCAAAGCAGTGATTGTTTACGACTTTCATTTCTTATAGGATTAATCAGCCGCCCAATGAACTGCGCTAGCATAAATTCTACTCTCATAACAATCGACTTTAAAGAGCAACTAAATCAGTGTTCTCTAATTCATTGGCTTAAAGTTGTCGTCTCTGGATGCCACTCATTACAAATGTGACAATGCACCCGCATTAATTTTCTTCGTTACATGCTTGAATGTGAACCTCATTAAAAACAAATTTATGAAGCGCGTAAAACTAGTTTTTCGTTTTTTTTTTTTCGACAGACGCGCGACTATTTTTAGTGTTAGAATAATTCCCTTTATTGACTTTCTGCGATGCGATGCCATGGAACTATCTTCGCACCCACGGCCTTTTCCTGCTTGTTCGAGCATTTTAAAACAAATGAAATTTAATACTTCCGCTTTACCTTGGTTGGAAAGTAAGCGTAGCGCGTATCTAATAAAGAAGAAAAATTATTTTCCACTTTTAGAGGAAATCTTGTTAATAAGCTGACTTTGTGGATTTCATTTTTGTGAGAATTTGGAATTTGCTCATTCACAGTCACAACTCGCTTCTGTACATAAAAATAAATTACTCATTAATTTAAATACTTCATTCCATTCTCTACAGTTATTTTTCCTTTTGATTATGATCGACTTTATCAAGAAGAGGGAAGAGTAAGAACACAAAAAAATAACAAAAAGAGTATAAACATGGAAAGAACTGGGAAAAGTTTCATTGAAATTCCAAGCGAATCTTCTTCAAAACTTTGTTTATTTAAAAGCAAGAAATTTTCTCTTTGTAGGAGAAGAATTTTTTATAGAAAATTCTTGTCTTCTGGCTATTGGATCTTTGTGAAAATAATTTTCTAACTCACTCTCTACTTTTACTCAAATTAAATGTCCAAGAGACAATAAAAGAAAAACTTTTTCATGCTACTGGGAAATATTTTGGTAGAAAAGTTTGCATGACCATATTCAGTCGTAGCAGGCATGAATATTTAATTAACTATTTTTGTGAAAATTTTCAACTTCCTTCCACAGCGATTATATCAAGTTGAATTAAATTTTTGATAGCATAAGCTTCATTTCTGACTCATGTTGTTGTTTGAGGAATCTCAGTTTTCATGTAAATGTTCAATTAAAAACCACGACAGGAGTCCGATGATGCGGAAAAATGACTTTTAAGGTTGGGTTTACTTCTCTTTATTTAATAGTAGACAACTTCTAACCTTAGGACAGTTGCTTTGCGTTTTACGTTTAGTAATTAATGAAGTTTAATTAGTACCGAGCTGAAGTTGAATCACGCATTAATCAAGCGGAAATTTTTCATTGTCTTTGCTTTTAAAGGTTGAATTAAGTAAATGGAACTCGTAAAATTCACAAGGTCACTAACTCGACATTCTTACATTAGAATTAGTTATGTAGATACTTATAAATAGACATTTTATATTTATCGACGAAAGACTTGACATAATCCCTTAAGTAAATAATTGCAAACTAATACATAAAAGCAAATGGAATCAGATCACTTTGTTCTTTATTCATGCCATAAACTTTCAAACTACTCACAGCCCCTTAAGCTATAATTTATGACAATTCAGAAACGAGTTTTAATGGTTCTAATAAGCTTCAACAATCGCAAGAATAAAGTAAGAGAAAAAAAAAGTTTTCGTCTCTTGAGCAGTTATTTTAATTGACAATTTCCCCATTATAAAATTATTTTTCCACTCAGCAGAAAAGAAAATTTCTTCGAGGTTTTTCTTTCTTAATATTTTGAGCTATAATCTTTTAATTTTACGCTTCGATGGAATTATGACAAGAGAAGGAATTTATGCACGCTTAGCATTGTTTTGGCACTTAACAAATACTGTTCGCTTGTTGGATTGGGAATTTTCTTCCGATGTCTTTAACTTTGAGCGAACATTATCAACTTGAAAAGTTAAGCTTCAATTGCAATTTTTCTGAATGACTGTGGCAGAAAATTTTGTCGTTTAATTTTCATCTTTTCCAATACTTACAAATTTTATTACAAAAATGTTGAAATATCGAAGTAAATGCTCATAAATTGACAAAGTTTTTAATGTGAAAATCTAATTTTGAGTAGAAAGAGAGACGAGGAAACAAGGGAAAAGAATAAAATCTGTTTTAATTGAATCTCACAATTGAAATCGACATTTCATGTCGTCAACAGAAGACACGACGAGAAACAAAACTTAATAAACTTTTGCTTCATTTTAATTAGTTTATGATGTTTCCGTGAGACCATTTTGAATGTTGGAAAATTTTCATTTCTACTAAAGCTTTATCATTTCCTAACATTACACGCAAACTTCGTTTGATGAAATTATTGTAAGCAGATAGAGAGAAAAATCTTTTAAAAAGAAAATATCATTAAACTCTTAACATTATCCAAAACCGCGAAATGAAAAAAGCTTAAATCGTCGAAGGAAAAAGAAGTATTCGGAACAGGAAATGTAAAACTTGTTAAACTTTCCCTCCAGTCTTCGTTTGGGACTCGTTTTTTAAAAGGCTTTCGTTGAAATTACTTCACGTTAAAGTTAAACACAAGGCGGAAACAAGAAAAAAAGTTTTCTAAGCATTTGATACTGCAAAAGTTCTAAAGAGATTTTCTTTATTTTTTGCACGCGTTTGAAATTCGAAGCTTTTCTTCTTCTTCTTTTTTCTTGGAAGAAAGTTATTAATGATTTTTAGGGGAAGTGTATTGTAATGTAATAAGAGTTCGTATGAACTGACGTTGTTTGCTAAACTTTTCAGTTAATTCAAGGATACCAATGGATTTTGAAAAATTAATTTGATTTTGTTGTACGTTTTACTAAACATATTTTTTCTTTAATCAAAGTTGGTAGATTGAAAACTTAGTCTTAAACCTTCACAATCCTCGAATACTCATAATAACATTCAGCTCATGTTTAAGCTTACATCATTTTTAAGTCACATACACAGAGATAAAGAACAGAAAGGAATCGAGGATGGAAAAGTTTCAAAAATTATATCAAGATGCTCCATACCTTTAGTCATCTTGAATAAGCAGCAATCAACGGTTATTTCATTTATAAATCAACCTCACATTTATCCACAAAAAATTGAAATAGAATAAATGTAACGAAAATAATCCCGAACATGAGGATCAGCTTATTGACAAAATTCTCGGGAGGATTTGCGATTGAGATGATTTGAGGTAAACAATTTCTTGATCAAATTCAGAATCATTTGCGAAGCATGTTCACTAATAAATATTCATATCACATATTGAGCAAACAGCAAGAGAGCGTGTATACAGACATTTCCTTTTGGAAGTAAAAGCGATACGTTTGAGGCGTGAAGCGACGGCGGAAGGTAATTTTCATACTTTATACGAATAAAGTAAAGAAAATGAAGAAAAGAAATGTTATGGTAAAAATCTTTTACTTCTCTTTGAGATTGAGTGTTTGCTTTCACTCATCGTAGCTGTTAATGTATGTCAAAAAGGATGGAATGTTGTACGGAAAGTCAACAATGGCATCTTAATTTCCTGTCATGTACATACACTTTTGTATTCAACTCCTACAACTTGTGTGCGTGTTCCTATAAAGAAAGTACAACAAAAACTGACGGCATATTGATTCACTAATGCATAAATCAGAGAAGGGAAAAGGAAGAATCTTTCTCTCACTTCACCGAGACTGCAGTTTCTTGCCAGAAAGTAGAAAACTTTCCTGCAGTACTTAAGTGAAAAGTTGAAGGACTTTCGTGTAAAATTTAATATGTTCACAAAGAAGCCGACACGTTTTTCATGTTCCCCGAACTTTTGGCCTTAACTCATAAATTATTTCTTATGCAAGGTCTCGTTTAGGACTTTTGTATCCTTAAAAAACTTTCATCATTTATTAAATTAGTTTTCTTTATACACCTACACACATATTTACTTTTAATATTTCATATGAACACGTTCGACATTGAAGTGTACAATGGGAAACTTTCAAGAGGAATAGATGGCAGTAAGAAGAAAAAAGAAATGCTTTCGATTAATTATTTACGACTTGTTCCATGGGAAAGACGACGAACTCCACGTGGCAGTGAAGCTTTTGGGTCTTTTCCTAAACGACAATTTTTCCCTAAAAATTATTTGAAACTTCAAGAGCATCTGATAAAGTTCAATTCGATATTTTGTTCTCAAACAAAGTTTGCGTTTTACAAATTTTTCTCATGCTGAAGCAATATATTATATCAACATTCTCAGCATTTGTCTGCAAGCCGAATAACAAAGAAATATTTTGCATCAAAAAAAAGAAAAACTTTTCTTTTATTTATTGTTCTACACTTCTCTCTTTTTTTTAGAAGCTTTCAAAAAGTTTCCGCGTGAAATGAAATTTTTACAGGAAAAAATATTGCAAAAGTTTCATTTGAAAGCTATAAAGCATAAGCTGAGTTGAACGTTGAAAAGAATTTCCTGATAAGCTTCTAAAGGCTTCTACTCAAAAGAACTTTAATTGTCTGCGACAAATAAATCTGCAGAGTTCAAGAGCCTTTTTATGTCACGGAACTCTTAAAGGATAGAGCTTGATATTTCAAAGAATTTTATAACTTCAAACTTTTGGCAACAACGGATTCTTTGATAATCCAACAGAAAAAAAGTTTCATTAAAAACATCTCCACTTCTGCTATTGTTAACAGGGACTTACACACAAGTATCCCTTTGCCCTAATTTGCATTATCCGTCCATAAATTGTCCTTCTTATCCAGCATCCCATTTCATTTCTATTTAATTGTCATGTTTCCTTTAATGTTAACGTAAAGATCGGCTGGCAAAAGGAAGGAAAAGAAAAGCCATTTCTCACTGCATAAGTAGGCGTTACAATTCAATAAATTAACTTTTATTGCGTAATAATTCCATTCTCATCCATTACTTGTGTTCGAATGAAAGGAAAACTTTTCCACTTGAGAAAATGTCACTTTTTGTGATAAAAATTTATTTTCTATTCCTTATTCATGTAGTAAATGGTCGCGTTGTCGTGAGTCGTGGCAGAAATTTAAAGGTAAATTCAAAAGGTGCGCTCCTCAAAAGATTCTCATTTACATGAATTTACGAAAATTATAAATTCAATGTTCATAATCAACCTACACTCTTCATGAAACTTTATCAGAATAAACAAAATGTTGAACAGTGTTTAACGTTCAATTAGAATTTACTTTCTACACAATTTAACCCGCCACCCACACACAACTTTTCATAACAAATGATACGAAAGTGGTGTATACAAAAGTTCATATTTCATTGTTAAAATAGAAGCGACTAAAGGAAAGAAGGAAAAGTTCATATTACATTTGTTTTCTCCTAATTACTGTCACAAGTTATGTCAAATGCTTATGTAATTAAACATTGGAAAATGGTTTTTAACGAGGGAGGGGACGGATGTTAATTAGAAGCGAGCGACAGTGTTTTTATGGTGCTCAAAATTGGTGTTGACATTCACACCTCAATTTGCATAGATAAATCCAAACAATCCCACTCCACGTCGTCGTTTCGCTCTTTTGCTAATTAACATCCGGCTTCCACGGTATTTTCCAACGAAAGGGAAAAATCCTGCGTGTTGAAATTATACAGAAGGCACACACGTTCCGTTGAACAATAATTCAACGAGAAGAGAAATTGCTCAAACTTTGCCAACCGCTTTTTACTGTTGAATTTCTATTCATAAGAATCGTATAAATTTCCACACGTTCATAAAAGCGTACCTAATGTACTTTCCGAAACTTTTAACCATTTTTCAATACGTCATCAAATCGAACGGAAGTATTAGAATCATGAAATAAATTTACCTCATGTAACTTCATTATAGAAGTGAAGAATGAAAATCTGAAGCCGAAAAATATTTCTCACATTTGATCATTTGAAAAGTCGAGAAACTGACACGAGAAAAAAAATTGAATTTTTAATTCAAATAAAATAAAAACGTTCCGGATTGTCTGCTTTGCTGAAAATTCAAGAAATCGCATTATTCTGACTGAATGATTTTCCCGATGATATTTCTAAGCATTTTCAACTCTTTTCTTACTTTCTTGATTGACATTTGAAAGACCTTCTTTCACATCCTTTTCAGTTTCATTTGTGAACTTTGAAAATTTCCACATAAAGGTAGATATTCATTCATACTTTAACTTCATCAGATTTCTCTAACATCAGAAAAGTATAATTTCGGACTTACAAATTCCCATTTTTATCGTATCCATTGTTTGTCCAAGATTAGCTACCGAAAAACTCATCATGAAAAATTTATTATTTAGAAATCCATAAAATTTTTGGGTATTGGATTGACTTGGAAATAAAGACAAAGATTTGACTTTGTTATTCTCCCTTTTGTTCTCTCTTTCTTTTACGTTTCAAAACCAAGTGAAGCCAATAGAAGTAAATTTTGGCCTTTTTTCTGTTCCTTGTTTCCCTTTGAATGGTTGATGACAGGCAAGCTTTCAAACCATTTGATATGTCAAGACAGAATCATAAAGTATCGACCTTCGCTTCTTAAGAAAGCTATTTGAAAACATCATAAAGAATCTCTTGAGATATCTAATAAAGTAACTTCCAGTATGCGTAGGAGGCCATAAATATTGAACCATGTCGTAAAATCGAAAAAAAGAAATTTTCTGTTCATCCTTTCAAATCCTTTTGTGGTGGAAGATAAAGAAAAGCAATAAAAGAATTGACAAGACGAGAAAGTTTGTCATTGCAATTTATTATTCAAAAATATATAAGAATCGATTTCGAAGCCGACAAAAAAGAGATAAAAAGTCAATAGAAGAAAGCTCAACCATGACTTTAATAAAGAAGGAAAAAAAAGGAAAAAGTTTGATTGTTGTGAGAAATAAGTAAAATCTACCGTAGATTCAAGTTATAGTGCATCATTAAAGTTTGAAGTGATAACAATAAGAGCTTCTTTCATTTCTTCTCATTTAAAGAACAAGTATTGAGTTCGTTACTAACTAAGTGACTTTCTTTACATAATCAACATGAAGTAAGAAGAAGAATTATAATTGAATAAAAACACTTTCCTATGAAGATTCAATCACACTATCAAAGATCAATTTAAAGGTGAGAAAGTTAATTGGAAGTTCTATTTCACCTTCTCATAATTCATAACTAAGGTGACTATTGTTGATGAGTAAATAATTAGATCAATTACTAATACGTGCTTGAACATGTGAATCTCAAATTCAACATACAATAACATGAAACAAAAGGATGATGTAAAAAAATGTTTCTTAACCAAGCACGATGCTACTTAAAATTAATATATGTGAATATGTCAAACAGTCTGACAAAGAACAAGTTGAACGGATGAAAGCAAACCAGATGGTAAATGTCAAGTTCAGAAAAGTCTCATTACAAACAGGAGATCTTTAAAAGAAAAGGAAGAATGAAAGGAAATTGTTTATTCTCGTTGAAACATTTTATGTGAGCTTTCCTTCTTCGTCTCCGGTAAATAAACATCGCTCGCTCCCATTTTTTAAAAGACGAAACACGACATGAATGACGAGAAATTTTCATCTTTAACAAGAGTTTGAGAAAAACAAACCACAAGCAAGGTCCTTGGAAACAGCGGAAGAGAAAAAGAAGATGACGAAAAATTGCCTAAGGACAAACGGAAAATTAATATCATGAACATTTCAGCAGCATAGAAATATATAATTTAATCATACGATTTTTGATGCTTCGTCGTTTATCTCATTGTGGAAGACTGATGTGTCTTTTCACAACCAGAGACAAAAGACGACAACAACAGCGACAGCGATGAATGAAACAAAATGATCTTCTGTCTTATTCGCGACATTGAGGCTTCAGTTATCTTACACAACAACGTGTGTGTTTGTCGAGTGCTTAAGTGGGCGGCGAAAACCTTTCAGAAACAAAACATGAATTTTTATTTTTGTCTCATGTGTTGTTCATACGTATTTACTTAAAATGGCACGAAGAGCTTGCTGTGAAAGCTTTTTTTGTTTTGGATGACAAAATAAAGAAAATTTAATGAAAGCTTCAAGTAAGTTGAACGAAGGGAATAAATTCAAAGCGAAAAAGTTTGTAGAAAACTTCTTAATTAATGTGAAACTGTTAATGTGCACGAGGGGGGTTTTTGAGCTTACTTGATGTTTGCGATTTATGTTTCACGGAATAAAAGAATTTGTAATAATGAGTGCAATACTTAACATGGATTAAATTCCATTTGAGAGATTCAGGAAAGAAAAATATTTAAAATATGAAAGTTCCTATCGGATTTTCATATCAAACCACAAACATCTAAGCTTGTAACTGTAAGCAGAGTGAGTGTATCGTCTCATATAAACAGAAAAAGAAAACAAACATTGTTTTATCTATGCGAGACAGTTGTAATCCTTTAAATGCTTTTCTTGAAACAAGAGATGGATTATTAGTGAATCCTTGAATCCTGAAGCTTAACATTTATCATTCATTGGATTTACATTTCTTTTAGGGGCTTCCAAACAATGTTGACAAATTAACATAATTTGCAAAATTTAAACAGAAAAATTGGGTCATTTAACTTCATACCTTTCGTGTTTCGTCATTTGATCTCAAATTGCACATAAAAACAAACCCATTTTTACTGTTTGAAAAGTATTTTTATGCTCTCATATTTTTGCAATATGTCGTGCTGAAATGTTGTTCAAAGATTGTTTGAAAACAAACATTTGTTACATAGTTTACGAACATAACCCTACGACAAACGACTAAGTTTTTTTCTGCAACAAATAAATTGTTATAAACAGGTCTAAAAATAGCAGAGATTCGCAATAGTGGTCATAACTCATAAAAATATTAGTCTCCAATGAAATCCCTTTTGTGATCCACAGTTTATATGATGAATAATTTATACGATAAGAAGAAAAAAATGAAGCTTCCTCCTTCTCCATATCAACCGAACATGATACATGTATCGCAGAATGAGAAATAAAGAAAAAAGGCTTTTTGTTTCGTCTTACTTTTCCTTGTTGTCTTCCTTCGCTCTTCCGACTTCATCTCCCGCAAACATTGATATTCCGAACGGGTAATATTGACACAATAAATTATTGCCGAAAAGATGAAAAATATCTCATCTCTGAAGATTACTCGCCATCGCTACATCTTTGGATTGTTGTTCAAAATATATTTCTCTCTGACAACCCTCGTGGAACAATGAAAACGATTCAAGGTTATTTTAGAAATTAATATCATTGACATTATCACGACCTTCCCTCACTCGTGATGCTTGTGAAATTATAAACTAAGCTTTCACTTTTCTTTCTTTCTTTCTTTGATCGAAAATGCTTTCTCCATTGTTCAAATATTTATCATCAAACCATACTTTATTCTTATATTAAAGCGGAGTACATCGAGAAGAAGCAATTTCATCTGCCAAAATCATAATCGTATGTTCATGTTTTGCTTAAGTATTCGAGGGAGAACTTCTCGATATTCTGACAGTCTCTTCTGGTTTATAGCAAGAGCAGTAAGAAGCAACGCAAGTAATTTTTTTATGATCTTTAAACAAAGTTACAAGACAATGTGCTTTGGTATTGCGTGGTAAGAATTAAAGACCATCCCAGTGATAATAAAACATGACAGAATATTTTATGATACTATTGCTTTTATGGCAGATTAGGCAAAGAGAACAAACACATATATTTCCTGGATGGCAATTAAATAGTTCTGCAGTGAGAGTTTCAGATTGCTCGTTCGGTAAAGACATTAATAACTGTTACGGTTAAATTGTGTCACAAGCATAAAAACGCATTTTGTACTCTTTTGCTAGAATTTGAAATTAAATTAACAAAATTTTTGTGAAAATTTTGAATATTTTAGATAAAATTTACACAAACTTTGTTATCAAAAATTCAAAACAAAACTTTTTATTATTATTTTGGTTGATGCTGTTCAGTTCGGGTTAGAAAATATTTAAGAGAAATATTTACTTTCAACCAACATTTATTTCAATGTTTTTCAGCTCGAAGAAAAATCGAAATGGAATTGAAATTGATAAAAACAATTTTTTTTGTTTTATTTATGAACAAATTTAGGAGTTTCGAAGGATGAGTAAGACGTAGTATAAGCAGCATTTAGATTGTAGATTCGATTTCCATTTGAGGGAGTTTTTGTTAGGGCAAATCGCATTAAATGTTAAACCAAGGATTTTCTAAATGCATGACTTTATAAATATTTATAAGCTGTGTTCTCGCATATGTACTTAGAAATCCCTAAAAATCTTTCGAAATATTGAGAAATGTTGAGAGAAAATGAAAAAGTTGCAAAATGTTCATTGAAAGTTCCACGTTTGGATTGTTTTTCGAACATGTTAAAGTTGAATTACTTTAATTGAATAAGAATCTGCTCGTCTTTAACTTTGAACTCTTTAATTATTTAAATAACAATATAAATTAGAAAAGTTTTACTAAGATCAAATTTCATGGACACAAAATTTCAACCGAATGGAAATTAAAAAAATTACTCAAACTCTGCTAGAAAATTTATATTTGATCAAAATAAAGTAAGACTTCATTTTAAACTAGATAAATATTTGTCATAGAACTTGTTGAAAGGTATGTTGTAGGTAATTTGATCCTTTGAATATGCTTCGAACCACTTATCATCCTGCCAGATTCAGCAAATGTGATAAAGTTTGTGATTTTATATGAAAACTCGCTTCGCAAAATTATTCTGAAGGAACAAGATTCATCTTGACACATCAAACAATTTTACTGATGGTTTAGAGATAGTTTGGGAACATAAATATTATCTTTAAACTAAATCAATGAACATATTTGTCGATTGCGTTATTAATTTTGAAATGTTGTGTCCATGTTATGAATAATAACATTAACATAAAGGAACTGAGGGTGATTCCTGATGCTCGGGAGTTATCATAATGTTAAAATGAAAATCATTAGAATAATAAAATCTAAACTTGTTAGTTGTCTTCTTTACATCTTTGAACATAAATTGTTCATGAACGATTTTGTTTTCGGAAAAATCTCTTAAAGATTCGAAATATCGATAAAGTTAAGAAATACTTGTTGCGTTATTAATTAATATTTGATTCAAGCCTCAATTTATTCTTATTAAGGTTATAAAAAATAAATCTCTTACATAGTATGGGATCTTCTTTTATGTTGTAACATAATTTGGAATAATAGAAAATGCTTTAATACATAGAAATACCTACTTAGAAAAAATGCTGACGAATTAGTTTCAAGTTGCTGTAACAATGCTTGCTGGGGTTCCGCTTCTTTATTTCCTCTCTGCTTACGAGCTATTATTTCTCGTTTTCCCTTTCAGTGTTTGTGGGTGTCAATCAAACCTACGAAAAAAAAAGAACTTTGAAGCTGTTGCTTTGTTTTCGGATCGTTGCATAACTTTAAGGCTTAAATTTGCCTTTGATATTGATTTTAAACGTTACGGATTTCAGCACAAATTAAAATGTCAACTTCAAAAAGAAGCTTTAATATGTCGCCATAGGAAATGAAACGCATAAAAAATTCTATTTTTCGTCCTTTTATATTCTTCATTAGCATATTTTGCCGATAAATTTTCTGCTAACTAGCTTTCCGTTACATTTCCATTTAATTTTAATGCCTTCTTTACTCTCACGAATCTTTTTTCCCTCAAGGATTTTCAAACAATTTCTCATGAGATAATAAATAGCGTTATACAATTCTCTAATAAATAAGATTTTATTGCATAATTAGTTTGTGTAAAATGGATCGTTAATGTTATCATAAAGCATGATTTTTCCCTCTACTAATAGGATAAAAAAAGTTATTTTAATATTCAAAACATTTCAAATTGTTATTGATGATAAAATGTTTTATATTTTGTTAGTAAATAAGTTTTGTGACATGCGATTAAGATAAGAAGAAGAAGGAAGAAAGAAACTTTGACATTGACTTAGAAATAAAAATTCATTGTTAATAGAAGTAAATAACTGAGCCGAGCACAGAAATATTTACTCCCACTCAAGAAAGTTAAGTTTAATTGAATTTCGATTTTATTTAGCTTACCTACAATTTATCGATATTTCTTTGCGTTTCTGATTTGATTCACTTTCCAGTTGAATACAAATAGGATCGGCTTGTGGCTTAGTTCGCAATAACATGAAGGAACAAATGCTTTCAACTCGAGTGAGAAAGAATTCAGTTGATTTGGGTAAATGGGACAAAATGTAATTTCTCGAGAATGTGGAGATTGTGTGGGTGAAGTCAAATTCTTCTTTACAACCGACACTTGAAAAATGATGATGTACAAATATGATTTGGCAGATTTAAGCTTTAATTCTTTACATTTTCACTGGAAGAAAGCGTTGTATGGAATGTGAAACGATAACACAGTAAAAGGTCTCAAGGGAAAAATTTTTCAGAACATGAATTGCTTTTTGGCGATGAAAACATTTCCCTAAACTGAACTTCGTCTACCATTCTTCATTTTATTGCGTTAAGTCGAAGCAGCCTAGCCTGCCTTCTTCGGATATTTAACGACGCTGTAAAACTCTCTTCATCAAATTTTATCGTCGTCTTGTTTTAATCATGTTCACAATTCAATAAAGAAATTAATCTTTCAGGTGTGCTTCTTGGGAAGCACAGCTTGTGCTTGCGACAAAAGATCGCAAAATTTAATTATCGACTTGAAGCGAATTTATTCAAATTGTTAACTGTGAACAATGGCAAAATAGAAAATCTTAATCAAGCATTTCTGTTAAATGTTTGCTAAATGCTGTTAAGAAAACAATGATTTACCGTTAAGGAACCCGTCAATTCAAGTTGTTCACATTCTCATATTCGTGAAATATTCCGCAACATTCATAAGAAATTAATCCAATAATAAATGAATTTACCTTTGATGTTTCTTTTTATACAACATCTCGTAAATCGCGACATTCATTTTATTTCACATGAAAATTATTTTATGTTCTTTATCTCACATTAAGAAACTTGTTTGGTCACGAAAGCATATGAAAGAGAAAGAAGCGTCTTGACGCCGGACGAGCTCGTTGATTAATTATCTTCATCATCATTTGGTTAAGTTGCAAATTTGATGAAATTAACAACATTTCTCTTTAAAAAGGGTGTACAATGCAATCAAGACAGAAAGAATTTTCACTCGCACAACAAGAATTTCAATTAAAAGTTTAATTTTTTTTACAACTTTCAATGAACAGGAAAAATCGTAAAATCTTTCGTTTTACAACCGCTCCATCGCATCGTCGTCATTTCATTCTAAAAAAAGGCTCGAAGTTCAAAGTTAATTAAGCGTCAGGACTTTAAGCATTAAAAACATTCCAGCTCCGATTTGAAAATCGAGGCAGAAGATTTTTCTGTTCTCTTCCCTTTTATTTCCTAAAATGAAACATTTCCACTTTGCCCTCAGCTTATTCCTTTTTTTATGACTTAAAAAATAAAAATAAAAATGAAAAATTAAATAAAAAAAACGAACATCAACGCGACAATATTTTAGTTGTTGAAAAAGCTTTAACAGGGTAAAAAAGAATCTTCAACAGTGTGGAAATGTTTGTCCGAGCGTGAATGAAGAACCAACACCAAGAGTCGTAAACTGCCAAAAATTTAGGAGATGGACGGAAACGATATAAAACCACATTTTTCCACTTTGGTGGCGTCAATGACGAAGACATTGTTGGACATGAAATGAAGAAATGCCAGCACGCTCTCTTGTACTTGTGCTTGTATTCCAAAAGCGATAGAATCTTAAAGACTTTTTTTCATCATCACTTGATATTCTTCAAGAATCTTCCAACGAACGACGAGAAGACAAAATAATTCTGACATTGATATGTAAAATAAGATACTGAAGAGTTGAAAAATTATTAAGGATGTATGCTGAGCGACATGATAATTTTGTAAGAAAATTTCCCTCCCGGCTACAGCTTCTTGCACTTCACAGTGATTCTGTCAAGAACCGGAAGCTTTAAATAAGAAAGTCTTGCATTTTAAGAACATTGGTGATGTCATTTTAATGCACTTCTTCTATCTTTAGCTTTTTCTTCATCTAGGACGCTGCATAATTTGGTAATGATATTCGCAAGTGCCACTTATGGAAATAATTTATAACTATGACTCTTTGGAAGGCAGCCAAGCAAACTATAATGGCATTGAAATTGTGTCGTCCTCAAGATTATCATCTCATTTCAAAGAAAACATTTCAAACACGACATGAAATGATGACAATTCTCCCCCACAAACACACTCACAAAGAATAATGTCAAATCCATAAAATTGCTATAATTTCTGCATAAAAGAGATATTCTGACTCCATTTGATGAAATGTTTTTTGGATCAGCATCAAGAAATGCTTGAGAGAGAAATAAGAAATATCAAACAATCATCATTAGATTTAATAGCAGGGTTGTGAATTGATGTTTTTACAATGTCATTGACAATAAATTTTGTTAACATAGAAAAAAAAGATTTTATGATTTGTTTGATATAAATTTCAAATTATTCTGACATAATATTTTAACAACTCTGGAAAGGAGTGTTGCTTGACATCTTCTCGCCTTTACTTTCTTTCTTTTCCTTTTCTTAGATGTATGTGATGTTCATCAAACACTTCACACAACAAACGCCATCAAACCAATTTTCTTTTTCATTGACATCAATTCCAGATGGGAATTTATTACCATTGTCGCTTACTGAAACACTTCTAGCTTCATATTAATAATTTTTTTAAGGGAAGTCATTTTGCATTCAGGGAATGTCACCAATTGAAAGTAGTGTGTTTGTGCCTCGCATAATATTGCAGCTCGAAATGAATTATTGAAAGAAATATAACAGAGAGAAATGTTTGCTTTATTTATGTGTTAAGGAGGAATTTAATTTCGAGTGGAAAGAGAATTGTAGGACAAAGTTGTGACTTTGATATAATTTCTTATGAAACGTCTCGCCATATGCCGAACATGTTTCCATGAGAAATTATCGCCTCAATTACAAAATTAGCGTAAGATAATCTGGCAATAACTCTTATCGTCACGTCGATCTCCATGATAAGTGACCAAAAGAAGTTTTGCGTTTTTAATGGACTGTTTTTTGGGAAGCATAATTTTTTTTACGATTATTGCTTTCGATCGAATCGATATAAAATGTTTCGTATGAAAAAGAAATCTTATACACGATATCAAGAAATACCTGAATGGATAAATATTACCAACGAACAAAACGTAACAGTTTAAAGCTGCGAAATGGGAAAATTGACCTCGACATTGTAGCTTGAGAATTACATAACGCAGTGAAGTCTTATTTTGTCATGACTTTAACCGTTGACGCTGATTATTCGTTGAAAGTTCAATTCCATCAAAAATCATTCAATTAAATATGTTTAAACATTTGATTCAACAAGTAAGTAAACAAGCAATCATGTCATGAACTTTATTGAATTCTATGGCGCTTTGATGGAATTCTACGGATGAATAGACAAACTCATTAAATTTTCAAAGTACAAATTTAACGAGAATTTTTTTTTAGTCGTATGAAAGTTTTTTTTTGTTTTATTTCCCTTTGAATGTTTTTTATGCAGTCCTGCTGCAATACTGCAATACTGCTGCGTCCTCAATTCCCTTCACTTGTTTGCATTTTAAAGGAAACAAACATGCAATTTTTCATTTATTATTGAATTTCTATAGCCTCGAGTGCAGCAATTACTATCTCAACTCATTCATTTTATTTCGTATTGTCAGTTACTTTGTCTCATTTCACAATTGTTCACTCATTTCATTGAAAGTGTGACTTAAGATGTTTCATACCACAAAAGGATTGGTCAACAGCAAAAGAAATTTCGGTCATTATTTGAATAATTTTTCATTTCTTTTCATTTGTAACTTTGTCATGTTAATCAGGTATTTACGCTTTGAGCAAGCAATCTTTCAACAAATTACAAAATATAGAACATCGGAGAAATGAAGAAGTTGTTTAAAGACAGTTACATTCATGATGCTCCTTCACTTTATTAAATATTCGAAGCATCATCGAGTAAATCTCAAGACGTTGAAATGTTTTATTTATTAATCCACATTTTTCAACAGCTTGCAAATCTGAAACATAATATTTTTACTGCCAAAATATAAAACATTTGGGATAAAAAATTTTTGCACAGCACAAGAAACTCGCAATTAACTTTTGATTAAGATATCATAACTTTGGGGCTTCAGTGGAAAAAAAAGTAAAAACGGTTGGCGAGAAACATTTAGGGACTTCATGCAAAAACGAAATTTAATCCAGCGTTGTTATCGGTGTCCGAGATGTTTTTATGTCTTGACTTCGTTAGATATTTATCAGAAGACAGCTTAATTTTCACGAGAAAACCAACCCATTCAATTCTCGGCAAGAACGTCTGCTGTCATGATAAAAGCGATTGCACTAAACTTGACCTTCGAATAAAGTTGAAAACCGTCAGAGTCATGCTTATTTATTAATTTGTTATGCCAGGTAAGCAAGCATAATTAATCGTCTCATTATCAGCTTCGTGCATTAAACTCAATTAAGCTGTTCATAATAAAATTATTTATTATAAGAATGAGCGATCATCGCCCGAAAAATCGCCGTGAGCGTTTCCAGAAAAGTATTTTTTCGATGTTTACAAAGTGATGTAAAACTAACTTGTGTGACAAGCTCACAATCAAGTGCATGAACTTGTTTTTTAACGACATAGAAAGAAAGAAAGAAAAAGAAGTTGTCGGTTAATAACAAAATTTTATTTGTCGAATCACGACTTCTTTCTTTTTCTCTCTCTGACCGACACAGTGTCAGTAGAATTTGTAGAAAAAGAATTTAAAAATGTCAACTCAATCTAAGTTCATTTCAGCTTGTTTATTATTTGAATGTTTCATTCAATGAAATGACTTACAGGATTTTTCCAAATCCTATAAACTTTTCCTCAAGGAATCGAAATAAATCATGTTGCAAATTAAATTATTGAAATTGTATTACGTTGTTAAAAAGTTTTAATTTTATGGCTTAAGAAGAAAATGTCTCGAAACTTTTCTTTCCTGCTTCGAAAAATAAAATAAAACATTTTCATGGATTATGAAAGAAAAATAATTTAATAATTCGACCAAATTCAGGAATTTTCTACCCAAACGACGATTCTAATTTCACTAATGGATTCTTTTTTCAAGCACATCTAAGCTAAAAAATGAGTAATGTTGTTATTTGGATTTTAATTCTTCATAATTCCTTCAAAACCATGTCATTAATGCTTTTCACAAAACCACAAAGGCAAAAATAATATAAAAAAAACATTTTCTAGCAATAAATTTATCCATTGAAAGGAAAATAAGAAATTCAACGAAAGCGTTTCAAAACGAAGTCATAAATTGAATTTGGAAAAATGTTTTTCTACTTAACTCAAGGTTTTTATTCCTTGCACAAAATGTATAAGAAAAATATAATTTGTTCTTCTTTTTCTCATTATTGGATTTGTTGGGAAGAAACTTTTTTATGAAAGCCAAGCCTCGCGTTCCGCAAACACCAAAAATGAATGATGATACACTTCAGCATGGTTTGAGAAGGGAAATTAACAAAATTAAGGAAGAATCGCATGATATCATACAATTCGTTGGGTTTGAGGCGCTTGATTTATGAACAGCGACGTGTGCTTGCTGACGTAATGATAACATTACTTGAGGTTTTGCTTATTTGAAGATGATCAAAAATGTTTGAAAAGCTGTTTAAAAGATCTCTTTTCGATGATAATTGGATATTTGCATAAATTTCAATGTGACTTTTTGTTCATTAGCATAAACCAAACCTTATTTATTAACTGCACAATGACTTGTTATGTCTAAGGAGGCATCTTGATGTTCAACAAACACTTTGTTCGGTTTGTGATTGAAATTCTGTATAATCAGAACGAACAAAGTGATTAACAAGCGTTATTTTGGGAAGTGCAATCTTAGCATCCAAAACGTTTCTATAATTCATAACACCTCATAAGTTAAATAAATGAATAATTTCGTACATGTTAATGTCAAAACTCGAAGTTTGTCAGAAGTGTTTGAAGAACAAACTCGAGTGCAGCAAATCAAGTTTACTTACATCGAATCATTTTAAAACAAACACTTAATATTTAGCGGGTCAATGAACTATTTCAGTTATGATGATATCCATGAAGTCTGGTAATGTCTTCTTGGTCACCTTTTTTCATCAGAAATTTGATTGTCAACCAACGTGATTAATATATTGTACGGTGTTATTAATATTTTTGTAAAACCCATCATAATAATGTTGTCATCATCTGTGTTCTTCTCTTAATTCTCTGTGTTCAAACTACATACGATTTAATGACGCAATGGCCAAAAACGGTTGTCGTGTAAAGTCGAGAAAGAACATGTGTAGTCATTAACTTACTCGTTGTTGGAACGAAAAACGCTTGTAAATTTAATGAAAACAATGCTAAATGAAAAAAACGTTAAGAAGGCAAAGTAGGGAGGTTCAATAAATATGTCAGTTATTAATGTCAAATCAAATTATCGTTATCAAAAGATAATTTATTGCTTCATTTATGGCAAGTCATTCACAAATTTCTCAATTCAGCAAAAAATAAACTTTTTCTTATGAGACAAGAGCATCAAAGAAAAATGATGAAAAACGTAACATGATATCGCAAACTTGCTCTCATATCATCGTTGACTGAAGGGAAGAGTTTATGTTGTTTTTCGAAGGCTTCATAAAAGCATGTGGTATCAAAAATGTTTTAATCAAGCCCTACATAAATTATAAAACTTTTTATTAAGCGTTTCTTCAAAAACACATGAATGAAGTTTTTACGACTTTTTATTGCTCAACATAAGTTTCTTATAGTTTTAAGCAAATAAGTCAGCTTTAAAGTTTCTTTCTCCTTTTACTTGCTAAATATAAAATTAAAGTTTCTTTCTCCTTTTTTATATTAAAAGCCATTTCGTAAGCTTTTGATTCCTCTCCCTGTAAGAATGGTGAGAACTTGTGAAAGTCGTTAATGCAACTATGTAAAACGAATTCAAATTTACGTAAAGTAAAACCGAGGAAAGGGAACATATTTCAATTTATTAGCGAATTATTCAGTGATTCAACAGAACTGCATAAAGTTTTCAAATATTCAACGTTTTCATTTTTCACTTACATTTAAATGAGTGCAAAAGCATCTGACTATGATAACTTCATTAGAGGGATTCTTAGAAGATTTCTCCGAATAAATTTCTTCAATTTCCATCCAATTCACAAAAGTTTTACTCAGAAGAATCTTTATTTAATTTCTTACATACCAAAACTTTGATAGGAAATAGTTGACGCGCATTTGTAAATTGCAAAATTAATTTACAATTCCAAGATAAGTTTTTCATTACAAACAAGAGATTGTTAATCACTACGCATGTATGGTTTTATTCAAACTGCTCTCATATCTGAAATTTGTAGATGAAACAATCATGGAAATTTCAAAAAGCTTTTTGACGCTCACCTCAGTCACAGGAAACTTTTAATAGGATTCAGCGAAGTGTGATTATGAAGCACAAAGTTTAGGGCGAAATTCCAAAACGAATGTATTCAAAATTCAATTACTTGCTTTAACCTGAGAAAGAGAATTGTGGTGTACGGTTTTGTGCTCTGTCCTCATACACAGCAAGTTGTCATTTGATTTCGTCATGAGTCATGACAATGTTACCAGTACAGCTTACACGCCCGTTTTCAAAGAAAATTTAATAAATTCTCTGTCAACTTTGAACTGATATCAAAACATTTCAACATGAAACAATATGTTGCCATGAAGACAAATAAAAACTCGCAAATATTTCAAAATTTCAAACGAGCTCTAGACACAGTGATTTGCACAAAACGTAAAACTCAATCATCGAAGAAAGCAAAACGAAAACCGAAAGTGCCTAATGATTCAATTAATTACTCATTTAATTATATTTGATTGTCTAATCATCTTATAATGAACATAAGCTTTTCTTGTTCGCATTGTTATATAATTTTCTTTTTTTTTCTAGCAACAAACTTGTGCTTCTCATATGAAACAAAAGCAATAAACGTCTTGAGTAAAACACACGAAAGCCGCTGCCTTGTCTGTTGAATGAGAAATTATGTTACAAAAATGAACAGAGAAATTCTTTTCCTCAACATTTCATCATTGTTGAGATAAGACCAAAGTTTTATTTTTGCAAACGTCATCGTACGCAAAGTTCCGTTGTTTAAGGTTCAAGATCTTTCCAACGTAATCAACCTTTGGCAAGGTGTGTTCTTTTACGAGGAGTGTTTAAAAGAAAATTAATAGAATTTTCAGTCTGATGTTTGTTAAACGAAAGCACATTTTTCATGTGTACATACTTCGATTCTTATTGATTAATCTTTGAGCTTTATCTAGTCAACATGAGGAAGAATATGAATTCAAAAACGAGTAGCAATGTCGCATGATTCATAAACTTGCGTTACTACTGGATAAATATGTTCAATACGTAAATATAAATCAAAAGTGGCATGATATATGCCAACCTGTTTCTACAACATTGTGAGCAAATTTCTTATCATTATTTATTAGCATAACGGCGATGTCATGTAATTAGAAGATTCGCCAGCATTTTATCTAAACTTTCCGATTACATTTCTGATTCACACTCAAAGGACATTGTGTGGTTTTTAAATGTGACTGTAATTAATTGCTTTGCGATGATAATCTGAGTTTGTTAGTAAATTTCTTTTCTTCACCTCTCATTCGTCTATTCTCCATCATCTCACCTTAATCTGTCGTAATAAAACGTTTTCGCCTAATTTAGAGTCATTAGAATTCGTCAATGGAGAGAATGTTGAGCAGTAAAAAGCTTTTTAAAGATTTTTTTTTTGAATTTAAATTTTATTTCAGCAGCTTCGTGAAATGAAGGAAACTAGAGAAATGTAGAAAATATTATTGGAATTGAGTGAATGAAAGAGATTATATAATTTAATATGATAATTTTTTATGATTGCGTTTACGAGATCTTGAATTTGATACTTCTCCTCTTTTTACGTTCAACATTTCTTCTCGAGTTTTGAAGAATTTTTTTTTACTTCTAATGTTTAACTTAGCGTAACTTGCTGACACATTTTGCGTGCCTCCCGTACACCAATCCGGCTGTAAAACGATTATCGATAGCAATATAAAAACGAAGAGAGAAGGAATATCATTTCATAAATTACCATAAAATATCAATTTACATTTTTTCGGGAAGAGAAAGAAAGAGATCGAAGAACAAAAAAGCATCAATGTAAAGAGCGCGGAAAAGCGTCCCTGAAGATGTGTTGGAATATGGATTTCACTTCGAAATCTGATTAATATCGAAATCGCAGAGAAAAAAACCAAATCAGAATTGTAACGGTAAAGCCGATGAATTTTTTGCTTTCTTCATTTCTACCATTTCCAAAGCCTTGCTTTATTAACACAAATATTTTCTTAGCAAGGGGATTTTTCGTGTTTGTCACTGCTTCTTAGACTTCTGACTAATATTCTACCTTTTTTAAGAATATCTTTCGAAGCACAGTGAAGCATATTAAAAGACATCTCCCATCTTTATGTAAATTCCTTCTCAGTGAGACAAATGTCGCCGCTGGAATCAAAACTCAAAAACAGCAAAGTTTTTATATTCTTGTTTCTTGTTTTTAAATTTGCGCTTGAAATTGAAATGACCCAGTTTCTGATGCACAGCTAATGAGTTTTTTGATCTATAGGCTTTCACATGTGTCGAAAATAATTGGATTTTGTTGTTTTTTGAAGATATTTCGATTTCAGGTTGCCTTATTGAGGACCAGTGTTGAGTATGAATCGACAAGCCATTTTTGGATTGAACTTATTTAAAACCAATTCTTGCAATCATCAGAAATAATGAAAGTTTCTTTCTTACATTTCTATCCCTTAAGTTACGTTTATTTTTTATCATTCAATTTATAGAGTTAACTAAACACTTTACAAGACAACAAATTTGTTTTGTTAATTACCATTTAAATCTTAAAGTTACTCCAAGCCTTTCATTTCCTTGTTTGATATCATTGAGAAATGTTAACGACGAAGAAAGGTTAAAAGTGCAACATTAGAACGTTTGTATTTAATGTCGCATATTGGTTATTTCTCGTTTTATTCCACACACAGCTACTGTTATGATGATCTAGCCTGTGATCAAGAACATATTTTAAGTGGGCTTTTAATAATAAAAAAAGGTAAATGTAGGAAATCCAAAAGCACATAATGTTCTTGAGAGAAGTTTTTGTGTGAAAGGTAAATCGTGATTTGAAACAGAAAACCTGGAAACAAAAGGAGAAAAACTGTCAGTAAAATGAAATTTATTAATTTTTTAAAGAAAAAATTGTAAATTCTTTTTAAAGATTTTTTATATCTTTCTATACATTTTTTTATTATTTTGTAAGAAGAATGAGAGAGTAAAATGTAAAACGAACTATCGTAATATGACTTGCAGTATAAAAACGAAGACTTTCAATAAAAAGCCAATAATTTTCCCATCAGGCGTCAAAAAGTGGAACGAAATTCTCATGATCTGATGAAGTGCAAAATCAGTTGAAAACTCTCAATGACTATGACATCATCATGAATTGAGGAAACTCCATGGACCTGAATAAGAATAAGTTGACGATAAAAGATAAAGTATTTTAATGGACATTAAATTGAGTTGCACAAGAATATAAACAGCAATCATTTGGTAGTAATTTTAGTCAATTTTATGCGTGAAATCAGTAAAAATTCAAATTTTATGTTTATGAGTTTGTGTTGTGGTTAGAATGAAGTTGACTAGATTCACTATGAATATTTCTATTTCCACTTTATTAACATGTCGTTGTCTCCGCAGTTCTGCGGTTAACTTTATGTTTTGTTATTCCCTCGACAACAATTCTGAACACATTAAACAATTCAAAATTAATTGTCATCTGATACAACGTTAATTTCTTTTGAGAATATTCCTTTGGGGATTCTGCTTCTCATATGAAAGTCGACGATGTCGCTTTTTGAGTGGAGATTTTTATAAACACTGGACATAAATTGAAATAGTTTTAATAAGATTCACCTACGCAAACAGAAGTTTTCCTTGGCGATTTTATTTGAATAAATTTAATTAAAACATCACTATGGATAACTTCTCTTGAGGATGTTTAGAACGTCCTGAAATTAATCCATTTCAAAACATTTATCAGGACAAATAAAGAGAGAAAAAACATCAAATGTTATTAAATAACTTGCCTGCTTTCCTTCAGATTGTGAAAATATTTTCTTTATAAATTTAATTTGAACCTCAAAGCGATCAAATTTGAAAGCAACTTTAATTAGAAAAAACATTCCTAAAATTATTTTATTTTTAATATACCAACGCTCTTGCCTAACACAAAACAACGGACAATAAAGCTTAAATATTGTATGTACATCAGTTGAAAAATTCCTTATCAGAATGCTGGAGATGCTACAAGCAGTCTCTTTGCATAAAAACAGAATAAATAATTTCTTTTTCCTCGACCTTCACCGCCGCTGACTCTTTTTATTATTATTATTATTCCAACCCAAGAGAAAAAGAGTCTATCAAGCGTTTATTATGTTTCTTTGCACAAACAGCATTATTTATGAATAAGAAAGCGTCGACTGAAGTTTATGCAAGATTAAATGCCAAGATAACTTCATGAGAATCTGATTTAATAGCCACTGACTTTAAGCTTAAGAATTTGTCGATAAGAATAAAAGATTAGATAAATTAAGTGGCGGTGTTGATAGAATTGAATTTATGAATCTTAAGAAGTTACCAGCAGATGATGAACGGGAAACATTCTACTTCCTAGAAACTTTGACAGATGATCAATGACAATTGCTGTCCATGACGCTTTTTCCGCTTCAAACATAACAAGCAAAAAAAAAATTACAGAGATTCATTACAACATTACTTGGTGCACTCAGAAATTCCTATAACAAATCTTTTCATTTTCTATCATATTGTTTGTTAATATGCTCTTGAAATGATATTTTTCATTCCACAAATAAAACTCTCTTAGAATAAAAATAAAGCAAACATTAAGGGATAGAGAAATGGATCGTGATACGATTTTAACAGAAGAGATGCGTTCTTTGCCCTCGGGACATGTCTGAGCTCTTTGTTAAAGAATTTCTATCGTTATCGTTTCATTGATTTTCATCGATGAACGGCATTTCGATGCAAGAATTCTTTTCAGTCTTCTTCAATGCTTTAGTTCCCATCCCAAAAAAGGTGTTAACAAATAATATATTGTGTCTGATTATGGACACCCGTTTTCGTAAAAATCTCTTTATTTCTTTTCTCTTCTTTCATCATCTCATATTTATTCTGGCGCTTACATATCTGATGAAATGTGTATCTCCATCGTTGCCGTTTTACATTATCATGGTTATTCTGACTTACTTTATAGCAATAGAGAATACCCGAACATGATAAACAACAGAACAAAGAGTTTTAAAACAAGATAAAGCAGCACACAATCAAATGCACTTAAACTATAATGCAATCAATATTCTATCCTTTCAGGCTGCTGAAATATTGCAATTAGATTGCGCAACGTGTCTTTATAATCATAAATCTTTAATTGAACATTTTGATCGGTTTCTATAAGTGTTTCTACTACGCCCCCGCTTTAAACATATTTAATAAAAATCTTCGTAAATTACTCTGAAGATAAAACAAAATTAGTTCGATATCATAAAATTGCTGAGTTAAATTTTATAGAAAACAGCAAACAGTTACAATAAAACCGAGAAATTGTTATTTAATTTGATTATAGATGTTTCTACATGTTGATTTTCTGTCATTTAATTACATGTATATGTAAGCTGTCTCGTTTTGAAAAGCAATTCAATGAACATCTTTCGCAATCGTTAGGGATTCGTAACATTTTTGTTCTTTAAAGAATTTATGAAAAGAAATGAGATAAATTGAGTGTCTTGAACTTTCGTTTCGAGGAGAAAAAAAAATATTGAAAGGAGGTAAACAAATTTGTCAACATCAAAAAAAAAATTTTGCATTAAGAATTTGTCGTTATTTTAGTGATTCGCGGAATAAATTTGTCCAGCCGAAACCAATGATTTGACGGACGAAAAGAAGCTAAATATAAAATTCGTATTAAAATATTCGAAAAGTGATAAAATAGCAAATTTATCCCGATAAAATCTTATTATTAAAAGAGAATTTCTGCAGAAGAAATTTTTGCACACAAAAACATTTTACGACGGAACGGGATTTTCGCTTTCGGAATCTTGTTTACATTTTTCATTTGACGATATCAAAAAAAGGTCGACTATGGACGACCAAAAGTGGGACTAAATATGAATGGAGTGAACGACTAAAACATTTCTTTCGCCCACAAGGCATCATCGCTGCAAACACATGGGAAAGAATGAAGTAAAAAACGAACAAAATTTAAACCTTGCACAACACAAGTTTAAGGTCGTTTAAGAAAAAAAACAGCAACCAAAGCATGAAAATGTCATTAACCTACCACGATACAATTTTTTCGGCTAAAACTTCTTTTCTTTCGATACCAATTATGCAATTTCTTATGCACTTAACATGTATGACTGCAGCATTCCATTATCATTACATGAAAATATACAAAGGAGGAGATAAAATATCATCCTCAGTCGTGAAAAAATCGCCTCACATCCTCTTAGCGCCCATAAATCTTTTAAAGACGTCAGACCGAAAAGAATATGCCGGGAAGTATAAATAAGTAAACAACAACAGCACCATGAAGAAGCGCGAAACAAGATGATAAGCGCTTCACAAGAAAGAAATGTTTATGCTCTCTTTATGTTGTTTATTTTTTTGATATAAAAATAAAGTCAAATTATTAAATTTACTTTTTTTAAAGAGAAAAAATGAAAAATTCAAATAACGCAACTGATAATAAAGTTGAATGAGTCATGAAGTTCTTAAGTGTTGCTTACGGGAAAGGTCTAGAGTTGCATGTTGCTTCGTCGTACACCGATGTTTTCAACACGATCATATTCCCATAGTATTCATCACCTCACGTCCGCATTTTGATAGTCAAACATTTGCACAAAAAACAAGAGAATAAATCTGCAAATCTCTATTGCACTTCATTTCAATTCCACTCATTTAATTGATAGTAAAATATTATTCTCTGGTTAAATGCTATTGAAAATGCTTTCACAATGTTTGATATTGAATGTTAGGAAGTTGAATGTTCTGAAGGCAAACTTCATATTTATCACACTTATAAAAAAAATCAGAAAATTCAATAGAAAAACTTTCCTTTAAGGGAAAAGAAAGTCAACAAATGTTGATAGCAAAAACCTGCCAGAACAACATTTCGATTCAACATTTATTCTACACCTGAATAACTTTAATAAATCTGAAATTGAAATAAATTGTTTAGAACACATTGTCAATTTTTCAAACTGCAGTTTCAATTCATTGCTTGCTCGAAGTATTCAACTTTTTGATTTCCCCTTTGCTTTCTTTAATACCAAAATTAAGATGAACTAAAAATATATCGCGAAAAAAAAAGTGTTCAAAGCAATATTTGTATAGGTAGAACGAAGTAAAGAAAACAAAGATATAGAAGAAGAAACGAAGAGAGATACGTTCCCGGGGAGGTATGCACAGCTCAACAGGCCAAGAGAGTAGCCCATACATGTAAACACATCGTCGTTGGAAAAGCACAGTATAAGACATCATCAAAACAAAACCAGCGAGCGGAAAAAAGTATATAAGTACCTGAATAATCAAAGATTGCACAATATTCTTAATCGAACAGTTGTCGCGCGATGTAGTAAAATAAAAGGTTTATTAAGGAAAGAAGTTGGGGAAAAAGAGAAAAAAATAAAAACAGTTAGTTTTGTTAGATGTCAAGCAGAGATTTCTTGGAATTTTAACAATTTTTTTTCCTTTATTTTTCCGATGATAAAAATAAAGTTGACGTATAAAATTAAAAACCTCAAGAACAAACGAAAATACCTCAAATGGATTTCATGATAAAGTTTGCAATGAAAAACTTTTAAAGTGCAAAAGAAATAAAATAAAGTTGGTGAAAACTTTCCGATCTAAAGAAAAGTCTAATGAAACATTTGCAGAATTTTAAAGTGAAAAATAATAAAATTCTTGCTGTTAAGTGAAAAGTAAGCTTGAAACTGAGCAGAGCAATAAGGAAGAAAGTTCTCGTGCAAAAGGTACGTGTCTTGATTGCCTAAATTTTTTTTTCCTTTCGCCTCTTTTAATGCACGCTGAATGATGAAGGATAATTTCTATTTCGATATAATATCGAAACATATAAAAATAAAATATATAAAAACTTGTATTGGTCCTTTTAACACCATAAAATAAATAAAGAAATAAAATGAGAAAATGGGAAGAAAAACAATTTTTCTTTTTGAGATGAAATTATCAGTAGCAGAAATAAACGAGAAGCGTTTCTTTGTGTTTCCACTCGAAGTGATCCAATTGAAAGAAATCTAATAAAGGGACATGGATTATGATAGAATAAAAAAAAGAAAATTGAACATCTTGAAGTGAGACTGAGAAAGTTTGAAACTCAGTTAAATTGTGTTTAAGAAAAGTTTCGTCAAGTCAAAAAAAGAAAGAAAAAATTAAATTTTAATCTAAGTGAAAGAAAAAGTTGTCTACTGATTGAAAGACATTTAGTATCTTTTTTTTTGTTTCATAATCCAAGAAGAAGTGAAAATTCTTCTATGAGTTTTCTAACCTTCGACAACATCGGAAAACTTGTCTTCAAATTTTAAAACACAAAAAAATTCTCATCAAAGAATTCTTGAATTGATGTTAAAAAATCCAATTTAAATATTTTTTGCAAATAAATTTATGGCTTCTTGCAAATTGAATCGTTTCGTTTCAAACACATAATTGTCATGAATGAAACAGAAATCGACAAAGAAATTTATCCAAACCGTGAAAACGGAGGAAGAAGAATAAACTTCAAGTGTGTTTAGTGTTGACTTTACTACTTTGATGTTTTCTGCTCAAGTGATTTTCACTTCAATGCATCGTAAATTCTCTTCATCAACTGTCAAGTTCATATATTTCATAATCGAATAAGTTTTGTGTTATTTTTCGTCTAAATATTGCTTATTTCGAAGTGCTGTGAGAAATTACCTCTGCAATCAGAAGTCGATGACAGCTTCTATCTACTTGTCACTGAACGGGCCTTAAAGTACTGAAGTTTCCTAATTATCAGTTTTAAAGATAGACAAAGAACAATGGAAATATTTTTGTAATGAGTAAATTATTGACTAATTTAATGATGGCTCGCGCGATGTGCAATCGAACATGCTTTTAGTTTGTTCTCTGTTGTTGTCCCCTCCTCAAACTTAAATATGCATTGTTTATCATAAAAAATTATCAATTTATTACTATAGTCTCGCTATGGAAAAACACAAAAAAAAAACATCCTCAACGAGTTTTAAACAGAAAAAATATAAATAATAAGCATTGCAAGTCAAGTCAAATTCAATGCCAAGGTGAAAGCCGAACTGAAAACGGTCAAACGCAAACATTCGCTTTTTGAAATTAAATAAGGAAAAAAATATGTGAAGTCAATCATGCACATCACGTAACCAATATTTTTCTGAATTCATAAGGTAGTGATTTTATTTTTAAATAATAATGGTCAAGAGTGGGATCCACATATTAATTCGTCCTGATTTGCTACTTGAATTCTACATTTCTGAATTTCTAAATCCTGAAACTAAACTTCGAAAAAATCTTTTTTCGCTCTTGAATACTTTTTGTTTCATTTATTTCACGCTACCTTGAACTTGACTCATTTTTTTCTATATTTTTGTCTGATGTTTTGTCATAATCTCATTCATCAAAACGCGTGCGAACAACAAACTTTAATTTTCGGAGGTTTAAATAGCCTAACTACCGAAAACCTGTCTAAAACCGAAGAAGAAACTTTGAAATATTTTCTCACACACTTAATTGTTTGATTATAATGTAAATTTACTTAGTGCTATTGGCATCTAACAATTGTTAAGGGGATTGATGACACTTGTTGAGAGTTGAGTCGAGTGCCAATTATTTGCTGATGAGCTTTGTCAGATCTAATTTTTTAACAAATTGAAACGAACTTAAGAGACAAATACAAGAGATTATTGATGTCCGGGTCATTGAAACGTTCGACATCGGCATCTAAAACGATTTCTCAAGAGACTATTATGACAATTTTTTATTGTCTGCTTACAGAAAAAAAACGAACTAGTCTGCTAAGACCGTCGTCAAAAAAAAAGATTAAATTTCTTTTTGTTTCCAGTCTTCACATCGAACAAAAGTAAAAAATCCGTTCGAATCTTTATTTCGCAGAGTTTATGTGTCAGAAAAAATCTCGATATTGATTCTAATCTTAAAATGTCATTGACATTGGAATGATTTCATAACGACGATGATGCAACGACAAAGTTTTTCATTTTTCTTATAAACATCTAACGTACTTCGTATGATGTTCATTGCATCAACTTGTCATTTATGAAATTATTACGTAAGTATGAATCAAGTCAGGTGATATCAGAAGATTGCATTTAAATCGCAAAGGGAATCGATTGTAGATTACGTGCAACTTCCACTTCAATTTCATGTCGTAAAAGTTCATACCCGTGATTGGATCGGTGATTGAATCTGACATACCTTGCTCACAACATACAATGCTTGCTCATGCTATACTCGCATTCATTCAATTGCCAGTTACCTCATCCGTCTATGTACATTTTCCATTCAGTTCGAACTTAGAATCTCCGAGAAGAAATGTTCAAGGCAACGAAACTTTACAGCTTAGTTAACTGTAATCTTAAGCGAAACGACGAAAATTAAATATGTAAAGAAGATAAATAGAAAGTTTATGCATTTTTGCGATCGAATAGAATGAGACTCATATTTGCATGAGACATTAGCACAAGTTAATTCTCAAGCAACGTTAATTGTTAATTTGCATACAGCAAAATCTCAAAACAAAACGTCTACTCTTGAGCTTTTCAACAGAATTAATTAAGATTGGTGAAAGCAGTTGTCGGGTATACTAAGCTAAGTAATTAGTTTCTTTCTTCTTGTTTTTCCCCTCCGTTCTCACCCACGTATTTGTTTGTGTTTCTTTTCCACTTTTTTTTCTTTTGGGTAAATCAATTTTCGTATCCCTGATTCGGAAAAAAGAGAAGAAAAGAACGAAAAAAGTCTGAGACAATTTCACATTGAATTAAGTGGAGGGACTGGACGAATGAAATAACAGCTAAAAAAAAGTAAGGCAATGGACTAAGAAAAGAATGAAAATAACACACGATGATGCCGAAAGAAAGTTTCACTCCCACATCATCAACGCTGTGGATCACATCAAAAAGATATTTAGGAGGGAAACATCAAAATGTCGTGTAGCAAAAAGCAGAGAAAAAATTTCCCACAAAAACAAAATTGAACATTTGGGTCATCATCCGAGTTCTTGTCGCTTAACATGCACACAAGAGCGGCGCATGATAGTAATCTTAATGAAACCTGTGTGTCAATTTCAGGTAGCAATAGTAATTTATTCATTGAATTAAAGACTTCTTACCATGTCTCCCAGTCGCTTTCTCTCTCGTTCTTCGAAGCTTTTTGTGCTATACTAAACAAGGTATCCACGAAAAAAAAGGGAGATCAGAAACCCTCGATAGAAGGCTTTATTTGCACAACCTTTTCGCTGTTGCTTTGAATTAGAATCCGAATAGATGTTGAGTTTCAGCTGTTTACCCGTGTGGCGACAATGTCTTGATTGGAAATTAAATATTTGCGCTTGACTCTTTTTTCCATATTTCTCTCTGTTTTGCTTCTCGCCTGTACAATTAACTAAATTAATTCTCTTAAATTTGGTGAAGATTGAAATTTTTAACGGGATTTTTTGATACGTTTCAAATAATGTGAATACCAAAGAACATTTCGCCGGCTTTGGTTGTAAATTAGAGTCATTAAAAGAATTTTTACTCTTTCTCGTAAGCATTCTTGGTTTTTATTTATTTACAAAACATGTACAAAGAAAAAAGCTTCCCGTCTTCAACTCCTTTTAGTGGTCAATTAAAATTTCTTCCTAATTTATTTATTTTTTTTTATTAAGACTTGCAACACTCAAAAGTTTGTTTGTTTTGTGCCACTCAATTTAACACGAAGGCTCGTTAAAACTTTTCAATGAGAACCTTTCTCGAGGGCATCGCTTTTGTTGTGCTAAAACAAATTAAAAGCGAATTTTTATTCAGCTTTTTTCTGTGAAGTTTTCCTGCACATTTCATTTTTTATGTACATTTTAAAGCTTGCATCATGTTTGTGTGATTTTATTTGCATAATTGATTGTGGATTATTGTTGGATTTAAGTGATGTTGTGTATTTGTAGAGCTTATCGCAAATATTTAGTTTGACGTTAATGATATGAGATTTGAAACCAGATGTGGGGAGAAATATTATTGAAATTTGTTATGCTTTTCAATGAATCAAACCTGCTTTTCTGTTTATTTTCATGAACTGACTTTGTCAACGAACAGAAATGCCTGCAAGTAATGACGCGTATTTAATCACTTTTTGTTCATTGATCCCAGAGATATTTTTAGCTTTTACTGCTCTAACATTATTCTCGAAATAGGTAGAATTATTTATAATTTCTGATATTTGTGATTTAAATTTTCACATAATTAATGTTTATAGCATGAATATTTGAAATTTAAATTTATATGCAAAAATTACAACCTTAATTTGTTTATTTTCTAGGAATTGTTGAAATTGGATGAAATACAAAAATGAACTCTCCCCATATTTGATTATATCAAGCAGATATTTATTTGACATAAATAAATGTATACAAGTTAAATAAGTCTGGGATTTTGAAATATTTTCAACATTGGGATGGGATGAATAATTCAGATAATTGCATGTTGCTTCACATTATACTGATTTTGTGATGGGAAATAAATTATCAATGGTGATTTACCCATCAACACAATAAAGAGTGTTTAGCACGAGAACATTTCCAATCAGATTTCTGCAATTTTTCCCTATGAAAATTCGTTCTCTATGAATGGAATGAAAAGCTGAACAATTTATTATGCTAATGACATTATCAATCCCAATTCGGTTGACGTTAAATACAAAGTTAGTAACTCCATTGTTAGAAAAACCGCATATCATCTCTTCGTTTAACCGAAGTGAAGAAAAACGTTTAGCGACTGCTTTGCATTTCGTCCGAATATTCTTCTTATATTCATAATCTGACAATTGCTGTTCTCTTTTTTTTGTGAACGTCATGGCAGGATTAAAATTCACCGATGCTCGAAATATGGTGACAAAAATACTAAATGAGAGAACAGCAAGCGCGCTCATGACAAGCTCCCATAGCCAATTTACAACAATGACAGTTTAATTGTGAGCGATGACTTTACCAACTCACTGTCGCTATGTTTGTGCTAAAATTCCCATTAGCGACAAAAATTTCATTTGTTTACATTCAATTGCTGGTTTGCATGCGGAAAAAAAATGTTTCAATTACAGAAATTAATTAAGCGAATCCTTTGAGACATTAGTTACGCACATTAAAGTAGAATTACCCAGTTTTCGTTCTCCCGTGGCGAGACATCCGGCTCATTAGATAGAGAATACTGTATCGATAATTTGCTTAGTCGACCCTACAATTACACCCGTTTGGCACCATGGGAAGAAGATTTTTACAATTAAGTATTAATTATAATGTGTTCTTCGACATTCTTCTCAGCAGAAGGCAAATAAAAAAGCAAAAGTTATGAGATCATTTTCGTTGTTTATTCATGTAAGGTAAAGACGTAACGAAATTACGCGTCGCAAAAGGAAACTTGGGTCAGCGACTTAAAATGTTTATGGATCTTTAATTACGAATCTTGAAATATAATTAACTTGCAGGTTTCATTGGTTCTGAGGAAAGTTGAGAGGAGAAATTTTAAAGCTTATTCTTTGTTACGAAGCTTTAAATTGTTTAAAAATTTAAACTCTGATGATAAAAAAAACTTTATTTTAACGTGTGTGGTTTTAAAAATGTTGACCATTCTATTCCTATGTTAAATGTTTCGCTTAATGTAATATTGCCGCTTAAGCTTAGAAAGAAGAAAAAAAGACTGTTGTTGCTTACAAACGATGCCATTTTAAGTTCTTTAGTTAAAAAAAGCACAAGGCAATAAAAGTAAATTGTCCATATCAATCCTTGGGGGTAGAACAGGAAGAGAACAGAAAAAAAGAAACATTCATCTCGTCGTTACGAAACAAAGTAAATATGTATATATCTCTTACCCCTGTGTAATGACTATTTGATGTGAAAACAATGTTATGAAGGCATGTGAGAAGAAGGAAAATGAAAACATAGAATAAGAGAATGATATCGAGCATGAAGTCATGAAATGGCGAGTTTGAACTTCAACCTTTTTCACTCTTCCGCAATAAATCGTCTCTCGTTTTCGGCACTGAAATTAAATCAAAACAGTAAAATGACACTCGGCCAACGATAAGTGAACAGTCACAAGAGGATTGTGTAGTCGGTCAGTGCTCTTGATAAATATTGGAAAAACCAAATAGATATCCATTCGAGAGAAACCCTTAACATATCTTTTGGCAAGCTTGATATGTTGATAAATTTTGCTTCGATTCAAGATTTATTTTTCCATTTTCTTTAAACTACCCTAACCCCGATAAGATGACCGGAGACAATAAACTAACCGAAGATTCGTTCAAGAACAACGTCAGGAAGTAAATTTTAAAATTTCATCTTTAAACTTAATTTACTGTGAACAAAGAAGGTTCATTCATTGTTCTTGTTTCCCTTCGTTTTAATGCTTTTGACCGCAAAAGAAAACTTACAGAAATTTTACGAACTTATATGAATCAGTGCTGCTGTCATGTTTTAAAATAAAATTGAAAGTTTCGTCTCTCTTTCTCTCTTTTACTGGGTTAGACGGAAAACAAACCACAAAGAGTCTCGTTAGAATCAAGTCATTATTTATGTTGCTGTTTGAGGTTTTCTCCAGCTTTTCATTCGTTTTTTCTCGTTCCGTGCGGCAAATTCTCTCTGCAGATTTCAGCCCCCCAACCTTCATTCAGGAAGCAATAATGTGTGTTGAAGGATGAAATGAAAATCCCATTCCTTCTTGAAGAACAGAGAAATGCGGCTTATCAAGGGGCTACTTTTGTCTTTTTCTCAAAGTTTTTTTCTTTATCATAAATGTGGTTGAGAAAAGAACATGAGCCTTCAAATAAAATTGGGATAAAATTTCGCATGATTTCCTTTTAAAGCGTTTTCAACGTCATTGTATGAGCTTTAATAGGATTTGTTTGTGCCTTTATTCCCTTCTGTGTGTTTCTCCGCCGTTTTATGCCAATTCAACCCGAAATGAAAGAAGCAAACAACATTTACTTATATTGAGAGATTGAGAACGAAAATCTCGCACGCGCTATTTCTTTTTTCTTTTATTTTTTGATATCGTAATTGAGCCAAAGATTATAACGGTTTCATGCGCCTCCTCTCTTAATTTCTTTTTATATTTTTTGCTTTACCATTATTTACGCGCATATTGAATAACATCACTAGCAGAAGTAGTAGCAGGAGTAGAAGCAGACGAAGTTAAATAACTTTTTTCATATCCACTTGTGGAAAGAAAAAAAATACGAGAACTGAAAGTAGCACAGACTGCTCAATATTTTATACGTCCAATAATCGAAATTTCACTCGTGAATAAAAAAATTGGTTTTCCGAGAAGTTGTGGGAGCGTCTGCCACTTTGTACGAAACGAAAAACAAATTTTAAAGAATCGTGAAGTTGCTCGAGTAAGAGAATCGCCAACAAAACCGCAGATTCATTCATTCCACTAAATGATCATCCGACCATTAAATACGATGATGTTTAATTCTTAAGTCTGTGGTGTTCAAAGTTAAAATGGTTTTTGAAACAATGATTTGTTTCATGTCTTCAGAAACAAAGAAACTTAAACTTATCAGAAATTTTTTTGAAAGGAATTCACAACTTAAAAAAATATTGTTTGTTGAAAAAAGCAGCAAACATAAATTCAACTATTCAAGGAACACACTGTGAACGTAATTGGCAACAACTTTTACTTCTGATCTGAATAATAATAAATCTGAGATAATTAGATTAAGAAATAAGCTTTAGAACGAAAACTTTTTTACTCTCTTTTTTTTAAACAAGAATTGGAAAAACATTTTCAGTGAAGGTTGTCCAGGAGTTGAATCTATTTGGAAAAGCTTTTTATTATGGTTGAACCCTCGTTTGGAAAGCCGAGACTTTATTTAGCTGGTTTTAATATTTATGAGTTTAATTCCTGATAAAATGCGAGTCTAAATTGTCTGGGTTGAGTGCAAAAGTCTCCATTAGTTTAAATTCGTGTTAAATTATCATTGCAAGAACTTTTCTAGAAATTACTATCTAACAAAAGTTTTTCTGTCATCAGAAACGAAAGCATAGCTGGCTCCAAAATTTATTTTCAGTTGGCAAATTAGTACGAATTGAGTTAATTGAGATGCCAAAAATTTTCACCCACTCACTCCCACCTACGAATTTAAAGAATGCCAATTAAATTAACCGAATTAAAGCGAAAATTATGTTTTTCGTTATACTGATTCGCTACCGTGGAGTTTTTCTTGTATAATCTTGACTGAAATAGCTTCCTATATTTTGTCGCTAATTGAAAATTCTTATCGCATATAAATAGGAGGAGAAAACTTATCAACTGATTTAATTAATTCCGCTGAAATCACTTGTTTGCGAGAATTGTCTTCCTTCGAATATTAATTCGATAATTGTTGCTAATCTGATTTCGAAGATTGCTAAGTACTCGCGTTTCGTGTTTCAAAGCGATCAACACAAAGGAACAGAAAATATTTTCAATCATCATCAACAACAAATTGAAAATGCCAAAAGCAAAAATTTCAAATCGTAATCCCACAACTGTAATAATTCAATTTAAATCAATTCAAATGTATTGTTAATTGTAATTTCAAGAAGAATTGACTCTGCAAACATGTTTTGTAACATCGACATTTAATTGTTAGTCAGCAGAGCGACGATTTTCAACTTGAATCTCTCAAATGCAGAGGATCGACGAATTTTAGTACAAATAGGCAAAGCAAAATTTAAATTTCAATTCTCGTAAATGACATGAACTGTCTATCAATCAATAAAAGATGTCTCTTGGGTGAAAGTAGAAATAAGAAGAAAACATGATAGAAATCGATAAAATTCTAAAAGGAATCATTGAGGGTTGAAAATACACTTGAGAGCTTTATCTTCGTTGACTGTAGGCAGGGAAGTTGTTTATTGTCTCGACAATAGATTGTTACTCAGGTGCATGTAACGCAAGAATTCAATCAATCAACGACAACACTTTCTGTCGCACAAGGTGCCAATTCTTTTTTCCCCTTCAATAATCTTCTTTTCCAACAAAGTGAAAATGTCATCTTTGCCTTTCCGGTAGAAATTTTTCAGTTAACAGTAACGCCTGCATTATTTAATCTACGTCTTTTGAATTTAAATTACATTTTTTTATCACAAATATTGAGTTTTTCATGTTATTTATCTTTTCTGCTTGTGAATTGCATAACTCGTCGAAAAGTCATCACGAAAAGCCTCTTGAGAATAAAATAATTCATTTCGCATGTAGAACAAACTCGAAATGAAATTGCAAATTTTAATTTTATTGCTTTGCCTTTCATTCAATCTGTTTTGCATAAAACTCGTTTAAAGCATGTCAACAAAGGCCGAATGTCGATGATAATGAAATGAGACGAAAATATTTGTCATCGTCTAAAAATTGGGAAAAATTATAATTCCATGCAACTTTACATATGTTTGGAGTCTCATAAGAAGACACGAAACGAAATTTTAATGGTCAATCGGTTGTTGAAAGCAATTTGATTTCAACGTGAATTCATCGTATGAATTTCAATTTCTCTTTTTTTTTATTCGTCGATTCAATTTGCACAAATGCTTCAAATTCCAATCGAGGATAGTGAACGCGGTTAGAAAATCTCAGGATTGAAAGTTTATCGAACTTTGTCAAGGATATTTGTCTATCTTACAATGAAATGAAATTTTAAAGCCACACAAAAATGAATCCACTTGGAAATCAATATTAAAGTCCATCTGTAAATGCAAATATTCAAACAGTTCTTTTTTTACTTCTGAGTAAAAAATAAGCTGAAATAAGCAAACGATAAATATAGCACACGCACACAATCATTTGATTGATGAGTCACGATTCGAATGAAGTATGAGATAGAATGAGACGAAGTTGTGTATATGATACGAACAGCTCATTATAATTGCAATCAATTTATCGTCAGACTTAGAAAAAAGAAGTACTTTCTTGAAAGAAATGTAATCAAGAGAAAACCTCATTCTTAGTAACGTAACATGAACATGACAATGTTCCATCACAAAATCCTATTACAGAATGAATTACACAAATGCTTATTAACATGAGACAAGTTAAATGTTATGCATAGGCTTCTTGAGATAAATGTGATGAATGTACGCGAGATATTAATTTGTACATCTTCACTTGAATATCTAAGAGTTTAAATACGAAACATGATAAACCGATTGCTTAAACGAGGAGATAAGTCAGCTCAACCAGCACAAGTTAATGAAAGTCATGATAAGTTAATAAAAACATTTAAATAAATAATTTATTTCTTCTCCTTATTTCATTTTTCTCTCATTGCACTTGTCGCAGTTTTATTCGTTCTTGCCAGTAACTGAATAAGTGTCGTTAGCAATGCAATGCAGATAAATGTAATGAGTGTCATTTTACTGACAATTGTTGCTAATAAGATTTAAATTTTGGATGAAGACTAAGACGATTGTTCTTTTAACGAAAACGACATTTTTTTTTCAATTTATTTGGCTTCTTTGTTTCATGCTAAATTGTTTATTCTTCGCTTGCCACAAGCTTTAAAAAAAGATCAACGATCTCGCTGAATTAATGTGATGTTTATTCTTTTAGAATAGAAGTTGCTTTGCTAATCAAGAATCTTCTTCTTTATCGCGATTCTTCTTTATTCGTCATCTTATAATTATCATAATTTGACATCTTTTTCTCCCATTCTCATCCTTAATTATTCTCTGACATTTCGTCTTTAATTTATCACGCTCAACTTCATTCTACAGACGATTTGACTTGCCTTAGTCGACCTGACCCTTCATTCTTCTTTTCTGACAAGTTCACGACATCACGATCAAGGCCAATGAGTCCTCAAAATTCACTAAACGATTGCTTCATTTCTAATTGTTTAGACGTGAAGAGCTTTCGATTTTCTTTTGAATTCACAAATTTTTTTCACTCACATTCAATGATTACACCATCGGTAATCGTTTTGCGTTAAGTGGACAAACTTGGCAAGGAATATCAAGTGGAACTATAAAAAGAAAACGGTAAAAAATGCAATGAATTCAGAAACGTTTTTTTTATGTTTTATCTTCTTTTTCTTCCCTCAGTCTGTTCCACATGATATGAAAGATAAAAGAAGAACAAGAGCAAAGAAATGTTGCACAACATTGTTGATTTCGAACGGTGTTCTTTGTACTTCACGACTTCTGCTTGTAACTCTCGTCTTATGTAAGATTGGAAATTTCATTAAATGCATTGTTAAGATCGAAGGAAAATACTAAATAGAAAACAACAACAAAACCTAGTGCAGAAATAATTTTCACTAAGAAGATTCGTAGATAACTTTTCTCATTGTTGGTTAAACTTTAAACTGGCAGATATTGGGATGTTAAAGAATTTCAGTGCCCATCTTTTCTTACGAAACTTCTTGTTTGCTCTTTACAATGTCTTCCTGAATCAATTTTCATTTCTTTGTTGTTTCTCACCTAATCGTTGCTTGAAACAGCTCACAACAGAAACCGCTACAGAGGATTTCTCGCGAGTATAACAAAAGACTAAAGAATACTTTTTTATGTAATCTCTGCGATCACCATTTATCACAGATGCCAAGAATAAAAGAAATGGCAAGCGTGAAGGAGATAATAAATGACCATCACTTATCAATACAAATCTACGAACAATAAACTCAATCGAGAGATGATAAACTTCGCTTCATAAATTAATGATTCCGATAAATAAATCAATTAAAAAACTGTTAAGTGTGCTAAATAACTGGAATTATTAGCAGACTCAAGTGGAAAATGTTTCATTTATTTACGTGGAAAATATTCAGCTCATCTTTATTTCTATAATTAATAGAAGTATTTGCAATATTTTCACGAGAATTCTTAACGAGTTATTTTTCTTCACTCCTTCATACGAATGTCAGTTGTCACAACAAGACGAAACCTGTATTAATATTTACGATACATCAGCAAGTGGTCTTAAATCCTTGGCATTGATTATTGACGGTGTTTACGATCGTCTCTCACGCAACGACTATTACAGTTACTTATTTCATTCTTTAATCAATTCACCAGGATCATTGAAGATGTGAATTAAAATTATCGTAAATAATCGGATTAAAAACTCTTCAGCTGACATGATGAATGGAAATAAATTCCGAGCTTTCAGCGTGCGTACTAAAGCACCAGGAGCTATCATATCTCATTAAAATCAGATGTAATCATTAATTGAATAATCTCAGCGTATGCAATCATCACTTTTCTTCTTTTTTTACGTCACCGTTTATTTTATTATTCCTTTAAATATTTTTCGTTCTTTAATTTTTTTATGTGAAACTTTTATTCATGTTAATGAAGACATCGTAAAAACAACGTGCAGTCAACAGTAACTCAAAGCTGTATAAACACGATGCTCATTAAATAACACAATAATTTTCAACTAAATACTTGCAACTATTGTTGTTTTAATGCTCATTTAAAATTTAAATCGCATGAATTGCTTTCCTCTGATTCTTTTTGCATTTTTCTCTTTCTTCGCAAACAGAAGAATGTTGAAAGCATAAGAAAATGTTTATGAATAAATTTGCCTTGACATTGAATCGACTGCATAACACAAGTAACAGATGATGATTTTGCTTCTGTTTACCGCAACGCGCATTCCATTCTTGAGATAATTCAATAATGAACTGTGAAAGATCATTAAGCGAAAATTCCAACGGACATAGATATGAATAACATTCAAAGACAGTGTGATTTGAGTTCAGCGTGGGTGGCTCTAATTCATTTCTCTTATTTATAATTTTTCCTTTCAATTGCCTCCACTGAATTTAACGATTGTGAGTGTGATAAGGCGATTCTCATGTGCACACCATAAATCAATATGCTTCATTCTCTATCCAAGAGTTTATTTCTGGTATTTGGAATTTGGAGCCGAAAAGCGGATGATTATTTTCGGTCCATAAATCAAAAAGCAACAGCCTGGAATGCCAATTCACTTGCTTTATTCGCTCTTAAACTTTCGTTGTGACCCGTTCAGAATCGATCGGAAAAGTGGAAAGTCGACAATAATTTCGTAATTGAAAGTTGCATAATTAAATATTGATTTTCATCGAAGAAAGGCCTCTGATAGAATCTATTGCGAGGCTTACTGTTTTCATGTTTTGAATTCGGATTGGACTTGTCCTTGCTTGCGAAGTCAATTTTATGTTCAGTATGTCTCTCTCTCTTCCTCTTTTTATTCATTCATTCAGTGATACCGCGTTTCATGTTTTCGTTTTCGTTTTTTTTCTGTTGTATATTTTTACGCGGAGATTGGAAAAAAAAAACAGCGATGGAAAATGAATTAAGCGGAGCGACAAATAATCGTAGCACGTTCCGATGGAGCCAAATAACTTAATTTCTGAAAACGTTAAATCTGACAAAGGGCATTTTGTTTGGACAGAGGATCTCAGGCGTGTGCACAATATCAAACAATTTCTTTTATCTGCGATGTAAAGAAATGGAATTTAATTGAAAAATAACAACTCGGGATGTGGCGAGATTAGTTTTTTTTGTTGTTTCTCTCCAACAAATAAACCTAACTTCAAGGATCCTTATGAACTTGTGCTTCTAATATTAGATTTTTCATTGAAAGTCAATCAATGCACAGTTGAAACAAAACAAAAAATAAATCACACATTCATTAAAATATCATTTATGTCGAAAGCATTTACAAGTTGTGGTAATAAAAGTTTAATGATTCATAAAACGATCAGACTCATAAAATGATCATATATTAATAGTTTGTGAAATTGACAGAAGGAGTTGGCGAGTGAAAATCAATTAAAACTTTAAATTAATTTTTTTATGAGAGCAGAATATGTGTGGACTCATCTTTAGTCTCATATCATAATTCCTCTGATAGAAAATATGATAAAAATGGTTTCATGCATCGAAAATTTAATTATAATGATCTTCCTGTCTCACCAACATTCACCACTCGCTTGCACTTTGATTAAAAGCTTTTTTGATGAGAAATAACTTTTTGTGAGATAAAAAAGGCGAAAATAATGATAGTTTCATAGTTAGAGCAGGTTAAAGGGAAAAATTTGTTCCCATAGCTAACGATTGCTGTGAGAGTTCAACGAATTGCAAAATAATTATGCTGTTGGCCGAATCAGCAACATGGTGTGACAAAAGTGTCAACTGATTTTTCCACAATGCCATAATCGGATGAAAAATGCTTTTAAATGTGATTTCATTGATTGATTTTAAATCAATGACTTGGCGCTTTATAGAGATGAGATTTCGCAAGAATTTCACTATTGCACGGATGTTTTATGATGTGCCAGCAGAACGAAATGAAATGAAACGAATCGAAGCGATTTAGTTAACTTTTTTATGCTGATATTTAAAATGACTTCATTCTCTCTCTCTTTGTTTGCTTCATGAATCATGAAGCGCATTTGAATCTTCACAAGGAAAAAAAGAAGAAGAAAAAGGGATTTATCTATAAATATCTTGCTTACATATTTTATTTGAATACAAAACGATAAAGTCAAACATAAAGTTGCTTTTTGATTTAAAAATCGTTTACAATCTTCACTGACTTTTAGTTTATTTTTCTGAGCTTTCCTTAGAATTTTCCAATAACTTATCAGTTTTATTTTTATGTTCTTCTCGAGATATTTCAGATAACTACATAAATGCATTTGATGCAATAAAAATCGAAATGACTGTTGAATATATACAAGAGATTCCACTTTAATATAAAATCATATTGAGATTTTTTAACTCTGAAATTATTTAAATTGAATTTGATTCTAATGCGAATGTAAATATTGACTGACATATCTTAAATGAAGTTGTTTGATTGTACAATGTAACAATCATGTCATGTTCAAACTCAGAAAAGAAACATTAAACAGAATTATCTTGATAATCTGTTCTATGCTCATTGCTGTTGTCACAGTACATAGAAATCCCAGATAAAAGTTGCAAATTGAGATCTAGTGGAATGTCTCATAAAACGATTACTTGCTCCTTTTTTCCATGTAAACTTCTTGAACACTTTTATAACAAGAAATGTCTGCTGTCAAGCCATTTAACAGCACTTTCAATGTGTCTGTAGCGGCACTTTAAGATAAACTTTGCGTATTTATTCTAATTGGGCTCTTGAGAAAAGTTTCCGCCACTCAACTAACCTCTCCGGTTACTGGTGTTAATTGCATGAATTATGAATTTTTATTTCGCTTTTCTTTTCATTTTCCGAGCATGGAAAAACTTCTCCAAACAAATTCTTAATGCTGTTAAACTTTTATAGCCTGTCAGACATTCAAATTGGGGGATGATTCAAGTGGGAGAGATTTTGTATAAACTTTAAACATTATTCACAGTCATAAATCTCACTTCCTGTTGTTTCACAAATAGCAGAAAATTATACACAATATATATTCAATGATGATGCAAACGAATTCATGATGAAAGTTTTAATTTATTGTTTTGTTTTTTTTCTCTCTCTGATTTCAGTAAATCCATTAGGAGAGTTATAGAAAGCCTTTCCAACCTTTTTCAATTATCCCTATCATCATTTTAAGCCAACAATTGCGATCGACAAGGAACGAAATTAATCACAACATCAGAGAAGCAAGTGGCCATGTCGACCTTACGCTGCAGGTGGGCATCATTCCTCACCATTCTAGTAACATCATCAAGCATATTAATTCAAGGTAAGCTCGACCCGACCATCCATACGAATTAACTGCAATCATGATTTATAGCTTTTTAATCCATGCTTCTCGTTTTTAATACATTCACATCATGTTGAATTAAATTTGCGTTTTATTTATATCATGCTACATGATTTACAGAAGGGAAATGTTTTTGAAATAAGTTTATTCAAAAAAAGTTTGAATAACAAATACTCAATGAGCTATTGATGCATATTTTATAAATGCAAAGTTCGTAAAATTTGCTTTTTTTGTCATCGGTAACCATTGAATAATTTTGAATGAGAATAAATATTCAAAGCTTCTATTAAAATTGTAACATAACTTTAAGTCCCTTCATTCATAAGAACAAAAAATTTTATATATTTTTAAATCCTTACGTCAGTAATTAACATAAGTATCTATGTAAATAAGAGGATTTAATTTTATAATGTAAAAGTAAAAGCTTTATAGAGAGAAAGTTTAATGTGAAAAATTATTTCAATAGTAATTATTTTATAAGTTCCTTTTACGTAACTCATTATGCATAAATTAAGAGAAAATATTACAAAAGATTCTTTTTAATTCTCATAAAATGTTATAAAATCCCGTGATATAAAAAAAAGAATATAATGTAATGGAAAAGGAATTAATGCATGAAATGAAGTGTTTGTTCAAATGAAGCTACACAAACTGAACTCTCGCTTATTGAATTTATGACACAAAACAAAAGACAAGCTTTTGTGTATTTGATGATCAAATCTGAGTCATATTTATCCAGGAAAATGGACAAATAACTAAAACAAAATCGTCATAAAATACATACTCTTCACAAACCATTACTTTTAATGTCAAAAACTAAATCAGAATTATGATGTTGATCCCCAACCGAGGTCATCACAACCATGAACATGAATGGAACAATTGAAACATATCTCGTCTCGCTTTCATGTAAAATGTCATAAATTTAACAACCGCACATATGTACCGAGTGTGCGGTATGAGAAAAAAATATGTAGGGAGTTACAAGACCACAAAGTATCCACACATGTGTAGTCCGATTATTTCACTCGTTTCAATTCATTCTGAGAATTATATCACAATTGCGTAATTTTAAATGGAAGTTATTCGCACGGTAGACAAATGTCATGCTTGTGATTTAATTATCCATCATTATTGTATTTTTTTTAATGAATTACAATTTACTTTTTTTGTGATTGGAATTGACTGATTTTTCCTTGTTTAATTGCAATTGAGTCCCTTTAAAATTAATTAAACTTCTAACAATATCCTTTTCGTTTTAATCAGACTAAAAGCTGGAATCATTTTAATTGATACAAGTTACTGCATGAATGCTGATGCATGACCTCTTAACAAAGCTTTCACAAACTTTTACAATTTAATAAATCAATTTTTAGAGTTTATTGTTGTTGAAAGCAGACAAAGTTTCAGAATGCTTCGTAAAAATAGTTTCTGGTCGCCGAAACTTTTTAATTAGGGCTTTTGACGAATAAAAAAAAACAGGATAAAATCATAAATATGAAGTGAAACTTTGAAGTTTTCGTTAAAAATGAAACAAAAACAAGCAAACAATTTATGGAGCTAAATAAGATTTATCTGATAATTTCTCTTAGATACAAAATGGTCATTCATGCCTGAAAAGATTTAGGTTCACATTTTCGTTTGCCAGTTAGGCATCGGTTAAAGAATTTATTTTTCAATTTCCGTAATAGACAATGAAAATAGATTCCACCGAATGTAATTTCCCCCCGTCGTTCTTCTGTTATCTGATCAATGTTAATCTCGTTCTATATCATTCATCAGCAGTCTTTTGTGTTAACTTAATCGTCGCTTTTCATTGTGATTGTCATCACAATGATTCATTTCTTCTTTATCTCTCCTTACTTATCGGTGTTGCAGTAAAAACCCCCACAACAGCTCAGAAGATTCTGCTGAAGAAGCAAGAAAAAGATCAATACACAACAAATTGCTACATGTTTCAATTACACATTTCTTGTTATATTCTTCTTCTTGTCATTTCTTCTTCTTACTGCAGTAAATTTTTGCAATCTCAAAAGCAGTTTTTCCATCCAACATACATCGAGAAATAATTTTCTCTCTCTTCAGTCTTTTGGCTTTGGAAATTCGAAATTGAAATGAAACTTTTGAGTAAGTTTTATGTTAGTTTTTACACTCGTAAGTGCAATATCAACTTTTAAGACTTGAAATCGGAGCAAATATTGAAACAGACGTATATCATAAACCCGTAAATTATCAGATAGTAATAACTTTTATGTTCACTGAATCTCTGACTCAAACAAACATGTAGCTGTAGATGGTTAAACTGTTACCTTAAGTTCATAAATTATCTGACTTTAAATTTCCGGAATGCGACTGAAGAAGTTTTTGCATTAAATATTTTCTTTACCCTTCATCACAAATTAAACCATCCGTCGGCGTTGAAAAGCTTACATCTTAATTAACCAAAATCATCTTAAACCCAAAAACAGCCGACTAATAAATCACTCCATTAATTTACCATTAAAATCAAAATAACAGATTACCTCACACACCATTTCACATAAGTTTGCAGTTTGCAACAAATTTACAATCCGCCACAGCTATGAAAAGGCTTTTTATATGAATAACAAGCAAGAATTGAGTGGGAAGAGGAGGAGCAAGAAAAGGAACTTTAAAGCTTCTTTTTTCTGTGAGGTAATGGCAAATTGCTCGTGAAGTGCATTTCTGATGTAGCCGAGAAAATTTATAACTCTTCTTAACGCTCGTACAAGCGGCACTCTAGGAGTGGCTGAAAGAAAGAAAGAAACGAGACAATATAAGGAAGATACACATTCAACCCATAAATCTTTTTCCACTTTAGAATGTTTTCTTCGTTTCTATCGTTTGCAACAACAAATAGGACAATCCCCTGTACGGATGTGAACAAATCTAAATTGTACACGAGACATTTGCGAATTACCATAAAATGCACTTTTAAATTCTCTCGTTTGCTTTATTATTTAAAATCTAAAGCAGACTTGTTACTCAAATAATAGGAAAGAGATTATGGAAGAATCTTGTTGTGTTCTATGAAGATGCAAAGCGACATGTCTACATTAAATAGTTCTAGATTGCAAACGACTAAACGTTGCTGTTCAACATCTCTGATTCCATGTGATAATGTTTGATTCATAAATAAAGCTGAATATGTCATGTTTTTATTTTTTTTCCTTCGTGTTCATTTCGACACTAATAAATTCTCAATGGGGATGAGCATTTTTTTAAAGACTCTTGAAAGTGTGAGAGAGAAATAAACAATTCATTTTCTGAGTGAACATGTATGCTATGACTGCATTTTCCTTCCTATTTCTCCATTGCAAGAGTAACAGGACATTCACAAAAAACAGAAAAAAAATTGTTTTGTGTCATAGCCGAGTAAAAGCAAAACTGAATGAATTGTTTGTTTTACGAGTTTACATGACACAATAAATGTTCATTTAACATTGGAATTGAGGGCTCTTAAATCAATGCATAGAGCTGTTAGTTGCACCTGCATTTTTTATTCCATTGCCGTAAGTGTCAGGATGGATAAAAACCCGGTTGAGTAAACAACAAATAGTGACACGATAGTTTTTCCTGCTGCTCGAATAGCTTCCGAAATAATCCATTTTTCGGTGGTATAATTGGCGCCATTTATCTCTGGAGCCAGTTAGTGCCATTTTTAACAGATAAAACATTATTTTTTCTCAGTTAGTTATGCTGCCAATTGCAATGTATGCATACATAAAGTGCACATATAAATTAAACTTTCTTGTTCTTGTCTGTTTTCTTTTCTTGTCGTTTCGTTAGAAAGACCAGAACAATATTTGGATGTTTAAATTGGCTCTGAATTTCAAATTTATTGAAAGAAAACTATTGTGGTCGATACGAATTTGATTATTTCTTTAACTGTGTAAACATTTTAGAAATAAAAAAATAAAAGATCAGGCAAGCTGTTAATCTGCACACTTTACTTCTCACTTCATCTCGTCGTTGATAGTATGAAAATAATTTTCCAGACAATAAATATGTTTGATATGTTCATGGAATCTTTCACAATAAATTTGTTCATTGATCGAAAAACGATGTGAAAACTTTATAATATTGTTTAAGTCTCTGTTTTACCCATGAGAGAAGAGAATAAACTTGTATGATACAATTGATATGTCATTTACAATTGTCATCTTTATTTTACCAAAAGCTTTTCTTTTGCAACAGTCTCTGTTTCCTTTGTCATTTTTAACAAAAGCTTTAATCTTTAAATCGGTTTTTGCCTTGAGCTCGCGCGAGTGGAAAATAATAAATGTTTTATTTTTATTATTATTGCAATTTTATTATTATGTGCTTCGGGTTTATTTGGAGTTCTCAATGGACTTTATGTGTTTGTTCTTTAATATTATTTCAATTTATAAACATGAATAAGAAATGAGACAAACAAAAGTTTCAAGAAAATAGAATGATGCAAAGAAGTTATTTAAAAAGAAGAAGAATTATTGGTTTACACTTCCTCTCGACTTGCTGCTATTGCATTAAAATTTTTTGACGATACTTATCGATTGCGGGTACTCTTTGTGCCGACTAAAGCATTATTTATATCATGGCATTATAAAGTTCTATGGAAAGAATGTAAATAACTTTTCCCTCAATCATTGAACAATTTTCTTTTTATTCGATTGCAATTTGAAGCATTCAATTCTCACAACAATCAGCCACAAAGTAATCTGATAGAAAGCATACAAAATCTAGAATACATTTAATTGGAAAATGTGTCGAATGTTTCTTTTATGTTCTCCTTTGAAATCAAAACTTTGTCGTGTGAATGATGTGAGATTCTCTTAGTTATCAGATATCTGTTTTATAATTGCAAAGCTCGACATTGTTAACGAGCTGAAGATATTTTATATTTCTCTACAAATTGATTGGACGTGTCTATAGCAATTAGAAAAAGGAATGTTCTCTTCTTATGCTCGTTGCATAGAAAACATTCTTGTGTAAAATAGATAAGATGGAACTGACATCATGTCATTTTATACTTCAATTCCATTCTTCACTAAACACCCTTGTCGTCAAATCAGACAAAGATGGATTTCTTTTTTTACAACATTGAAAATGAATTCTTAATTATGCTTCAGAGCTTTTTTTAATTATGCTTAGTACTTTTTCCTTCTTTCGTCTCGACTTTGGAATGAAGACAGAAAGAAATTATCATTTAATAAACTTGAAACGACATTGAAATTTAAGTTATTGCTTTGTGGACTTAGACAAGAGAATTTTCAAGTGACAAAAACTTTGTTCTAAAGGTTGATGTACTGAATGACGATAGAAATAAAATTAAACAACCTTTAAAGCTTTTTCTACGAACATTAATTTATATTTATGAAAAGATATTTAAACCGTTAAGTGTCCATCCATGCTTTCTTTTTCATCAATTTTTTGTTCATGTTGTAAGCTCTCTCTGAATGTTTACATGCAGTTGAATCGAACGATGAAAAGGAACGAAAACAAGAAGTTATCATCATCTTTTCCGTTTTGCTTTTCAATGCCTCGTTCCTTCATCTCATCTCAATCACATATAAAATATAATATATACGTATGATGATTGAGAAAGGAAACGTCATTTGCCGTTTCTTTATGCTATAAGGAAATTCAAAGACAGCATACAAAATTTTATTTAAAATGATATTACATTCTATATCGCTGTGTCGAGAAAGCTTCTTCATCTTCATACATTAATTTAATGATTTTTATGACTTGGATAAAGAAAGAAAGAATTCTAATAAAATTTTGTTGTGGGTGAATAAGGCGACTGACTGCTCTGACTATGTACCTTGACTTTTTTTCTATCTTAGATCTCAGTTATGTTTCTTGCTTTCGTTACTGAAATTCCATTTCTTCAAATAACACGAAACAAAGAAGGAAAAATCATTAAACTAATCCGATCTACCAGAGAAGTTCTTTTTCTTGCTGGAGGAATGTAGCAAAACATTGTAGAAGCAACTTTGAGCCTGAAACTTTATTGTTACCCTACAGATAGCAGATTCTTCAGAATTTCTTTCTTCCTAGTAGATATTTAGTCCCAAATAAAATTCAATGATGTCAATAAACTTGTCGATAACATAACTACCACAACCTAGGTCTCCAAACGCCAATACTAAAAAAAACTATTTTAAGCTTTAAAGATTCACTAAGGATCAAGAATTTTGCACGCTATTATGATTTTAAACTGAAAATTCAACTAATGAGGTCAAGACAATCTTGTTTTTTCTGTGCAAAAAATAATATTATTACTTCGTTGATTGTACCTTCCATTTCTTCGTATAAAATTGTAAAACATTTAAACAGATAAGGACACTTAAAACTCTAAAGCATGTCGTAACATTTCGAAAAAAAGTATGGAAGCAAAGCATCTAATTCTCTAAGAATTATAAATGCTTTAAAACACAAGGGATAATGCCAAGTAATACGTACACATTTTATGAAATCTCTTCATGAAAACAAAAGAGGTTTTATCGCTGTGAAGACTCAAATTTGTTGGAAGTTGAAAGGAATAAATTTCTCCTGCTTTTCACAAACGTTATCAAAGGCTTCTCATCATTAACGTTATGAAAGAAAAGCAAGTAAGCTTTTGAAAATGCAAACGAAATATTTCTCATGTAAAGGATTAAATTATTTAATTGAATGTTAACAGCCATCCCAAGTCATTTATAACATTGCCAAATGTAGGATCATTCATCAGTAAAAGAACACAGCCAAAGCTGATAGTCCTATAACATTTTTCATATAAAGTAATGATGAGAACTTTTTTTACAGCTTTATCACTATGTGGCTTAATGTAGATATCTATGTATGTTCATGCTTTAATCACTATAGACACGTCTCATCATTACGACAAATTAATTTAAATTAATTTCTCTCTTTCACACAAAATTATCTTTCTCATTTCTCAATTTAACCATGCATTAAATTTCTCCCGTTCATTTCAATGGGATTTATGTTTAATTCGCGCTCTTTACAGTCTTGAAATTCTGCTTTAAAACTTGACGTTTCTGAAAAGAGAGAAGAATAAAGACGAAAAGCTTTGTGTACATTTTTCATTCAAAGCTCAAACTCTAATTCCATATCTTTGATCCTTTTGATTGCTTTTCTCAAGCATCTGGAATGAGAATTGTATTTGATTAATGCTTTTCGGTGCAAATGTCATTGTCAATTGTCGTGGAACGTTACATGTATTTTCCTTCATGAACTTTTCCATTTTCCTGTTTTCAAGCTATGCATTGAATAATAATATTGTCGACTGTAAGCTTGAGGACCTACATTAGCTTGTAATCCTTTGGTGCTTGTTTCTTCTTTTCTTCTTCCAGTCTTGGCACGACACACGTTTTGTTATACTGAATACAATGCGAGTTGAAAGTTGAGACAAGTATCATATTGTAAATAATAATGCATGGTAACATGACACTGAAAATATGTTAAGCTCGATAAAATTAACTGAATTAGATCATAAGGGTAGCATATTTATAAACAGACATTTCTAGACATTCCCTATGTACAACAACCAACAAAATGATTTCTTTGCTTGAATCGAGAGTGTGTCGGATTATATTTTGTTTAGTCTATTATTCAAAGGATGTTATGAATATTCTACATATTTTTGCAATTTCTATTGAATAAATAAGAAACATAAAGCTTCTTATTATTTTCATTCATGATACAAACACGAAGAATGCCGTTATATAAGAAAAAAGTAAATTAAATTCTTCAACCGGTTTATAAAGTCAATGCTACATCTTTAAATTATTCATATCTTCATGCAGAAATATTATTTACCTCATAACAAACTTAATTCTACTGTAATTGATATAAAATACTCATAAATATATTTTTAATCTCATAAACATAAAGATCAGAAGTTTTTTTTAATCTTACAAATTATTTTAAATCACTTCTGAAAGAAAAATAACAAAAAACGAAACTCAAAGCGGTTTAATAATGTTCAATATGGGATTAAAATTTGATTCATTTCAATGCATGCATTGGAAAGAATTGAAATGAGAAAAACAGAAATAATCATCAAAATGATATTTGTCAAGATTTTCAGTCAATTGGTGGTATTAGAGCAAAGAGAAGCGAATGGAAACAGACTTTGTATTAAAATGTATCAAGATAATCTTATTAGCTAACATAGCAACCTCTTTATAGGTCACGAGTGCTAATCATTTACTTTTGTCATTAACAGGTGCACACACAGCTTTTCAATGTAGAGAAGAAGGTTATTACGGCGATCCACAAAGATGTGACATATTTTACCGATGTGTTGACCAAGGTGGAAATCGTTTTCAACAATTTCAATTCGATTGTCCACCAGGAACAGCATTTTCACATGAACAGCGAATTTGCGTTCACATAGTTGATTCTGGGCGTGATGAGTGCATTAATCAGTATAATGAAATTGATAGCAATGACAACATGCACATTACTAATCTTGATGAAACTCAGCCAGCAAGTGATTCTACTACAGTAAGAACAACGACATCATCAACAACAACAATGAGAACAACGACTTTTGGGACAACAAACGAACCTATGGAGAATAATGAAATCGATTCCAACAACAATCAAATTGCAAGCTCAGATGATAACAATGCATGCTATGAAGAAGGCTTTATGAGAGATCAAAGAGATTGTAAAATATTTTATCGATGCGTTGATAATGGTAAAGGTGGATGGACGAGACATCAATTCAGATGTGGAGAGGGAACTGTTTGGGATGATTCAATAAAAACTTGTAATTATCCTGAAAATGTTCCATCTTGTCAAAACAATGGAGCGGAAGATTATGTTTACACAGAATCTTTCAATTCATCAGAATCTTCATCTAATGAAGAAAGTATGTCATCAATGTCTTCATCAACTTCCAATAACAATGGCAATATGGTCACACAATCGTCTTCTTCATCATCTTCTAGCAGTTCTAGTAGCAGCAGTTCTTATAGTAACTCGACGACTTGGACTGGAGATAACAATAATAATCAACAATCTTCTGGATCTGGTTCTTCAAATAACCAAAATTCAGGTAGTTCTTCGAACAACCAACAGTCTTCAAATAGTAATCAATCATCTAACAATCAGCAATCGAGTGGTTCTTCCAACAATCAGAATAACCAAGGATCTTCATCAAATAACAACCAATCTTCAGGAAACCAAAATAATCAGCAATCTTCATCAAATAACCAACAATCTGGAGGTTCTTCCAATAGTCAAAGTAATCAAGGTTCTTCAAGTAGTAATCAGTCGTCTGGTGGTTCATCCAATAATCAAAATTCAGGAAGTTCTTCAAACAGCAATCAATCTTCCAATAATAACAATCAAAACTCTGGAAGTTCCTCAAATAATCAAAATTCTGGAAGCTCTTCAAACAATCAAAATAATCAGGGATCTTCATCAAACAGCAACCAGTCTTCCAATAATCAAAATAATCAGCAATCCTCCAGCAATCAGCAATCATCATCAAATAATCAAAACTCTGGAAGTTCTTCTAACAATCAGAACAGTGGAAGCTCATCAAACAATCAAAATTCAGGAAGCTCTTCCAATAATAACAATCAACAGTCTTCTTCAAATAACAATCAGAACTCTGGAAGTTCCTCAAATAATCAAAACTCTGGAAGTTCTTCTAACAACCAAAATTCTGGAAGTTCTTCTAACAACCAAAATTCTGGAAGCTCTTCTAACAACCAAAATAATCAACAATCTTCAAACAATAATCAACAGTCTTCATCAAACAATCAGAACAGTGGAAGCTCATCAAATAATCAAAATTCAGGAAGCTCTTCCAATAATAACAATCAACAGTCTTCTTCAAATAACAATCAGAACTCTGGAAGTTCCTCAAATAATCAAAACTCTGGAAGTTCTTCTAACAACCAAAATTCTGGAAGTTCTTCTAACAATCAGAACAGTGGAAGCTCATCAAACAATCAAAATTCAGGAAGCTCTTCCAATAATAACAATCAAAACTCTGGAAGTTCCTCAAATAATCAAAATTCTGGAAGCTCTTCAAACAATCAAAATAATCAGGGATCTTCATCAAACAGCAACCAGTCTTCCAATAATCAAAATAATCAGCAATCCTCCAGCAATCAGCAATCATCATCAAATAATCAAAACTCTGGAAGTTCTTCTAACAATCAGAACAGTGGAAGCTCATCAAACAATCAAAATTCAGGAAGCTCTTCCAATAATAACAATCAACAGTCTTCTTCAAATAACAATCAGAACTCTGGAAGTTCCTCAAATAATCAAAACTCTGGAAGTTCTTCTAACAACCAAAATTCAGGAGGTTCTTCAAACAATCAAAATAATCAACAATCCTCCAACAATAATCAACAGTCTTCATCAAACAATCAGAATAATCAGGGATCATCATCAAATAATCAAAATTCAGGAGGTTCTTCAAACAATCAGAATAATCAAGGATCGTCGTCAAATAACCAAAATAATCAGCAATCTTCATCAAATAATCAAAATTCTGGAAGCTCATCAAATAATCAAAATTCAGGAAGTTCTTCAAACAATCAGAATAATCAAGGATCTTCATCAAATAATCAAAATTCTGGAAGCTCCTCAGGCTATCAAAATAATCAAGGTTCATCATCGAACAATAATCAATCTTCTAATAACCAACAGTCATCAGGGTCTGATAATCAGAACTCTGGAAGTTCTTCAAACAACCAACCAGCAAGTTCTTCAAACAATCAGAATAATCAAGGAACTTCTTCAAATAATAATAATCAACCTTCTAGCAGCTCATCCAATAATCAACAATCTTCAAATAATAACCAATATCCCAGCAACCAGAGTTCAGGAAGCTCTTCAAATAATCAAGGATCTTCTCCAAATAATAATCAACCTTCTAATAATCAGCCTGTCAATTCTTCAAATAATCAACAGGCTCCTGACAATAATCAACCTGGAGGTTCATCAAACAACCAAGAGCCAAATAATCAAAACGGTAGTCCTTCTGACAATAATCAGAATAATCAACCAGGAAGTGCGAGTAATCAAAATCCATCATCAAGTAACAACCAATCACCTGATGGATCTTCAAATACCAACAATCCTGACTCTGGGAATAATAATTCACCTTCTAGTAGTTCAAATAATAATCCAACCTCAGGAAATCCTAGCAATCAACAGCCTTCAAATAATCAGTCTAATAATCAAAATAAACCGTCGTCAGAAAATAATCAACAAAGTTCAAGTAGTGAAACATCTAATCAGCCATCACAAAACCCTTCTGGTTCACCTGACTCTTCAAATACAAACAATGGTCCCACGGATCAGAAACCAAATGAAAATAAGGAGACCACAACTGAAGAAAGCTCATCCGCCTTTGTGTCTTCAACAGATGAGGACTGTACAGAAGAAGGATTTTTCGGAAATTATGATGATTGTCAGAAGTTTTATCGGTGCGTTTCTCAAGGCGGAAGTTTCCAACGATTTGATTTTAGTTGCCCTAACGACACGGTTTGGGATGAAGATTATCAAACCTGCAATCATCCTTGGGCTGTCAGCAATCAGAATTGTCAGAAAAGCAAGCCATCAAATAATCAAGGTGGAAATAATCCTGATCAACAATCAAATAACAATGGACAAACTGAGAGACCTAAACCACCGGAATGTACTGAAGATGGATTCATGGGAGATCCCAACAATTGCAAAAAGTTTTATAGATGTGTCAACAATGGTAATGACAATGGTAGTTTTAGGCGTTTTGACTTCATATGCGGAGAAGGAACAATTTGGGATGATGAAAATGAAACTTGTAACTATGAATATGCAACTGTAAATACAGCATGTATGGGAACAGCTCCAAACAAAACCAATTCAAATAATAATTCAAATCAATCATCAACAAGTTCTCCTAATAGTTCAGGAGGTTCAAATAATGGTCCCAATGAATCAACAACAAATTCTCCAAATAGTTCAAATGGCTCACAATCTCAAGAGTCTAATAACTCTCAGACTACAACCACCACCTCTCAATCTAGTTCCACTAATTCCCAATCCAACACTTCCTCTTCTCAATCTAGCACCACTTCATCTGGTAACTCTCAATCGTCATCGACCAGCTCTCAATCAAGTTCAAGTAGTACACAATCAAGTAGTTCAAACACTACTAGCATTTCAAGCAGTTCTAGTTCTCAATCAGCTGGAACAACAAGCTCTTCAGAAAATCAAGCTACTACCGAATCTAATAATTCAGGAACAGAACAGCCAACGACTCAATCTCCATGTGATAAAACTACTACAGAGCAAGTATTTCCAGCTGGAAGCAATGGAATATGTGAGAGTGAAGGATTTATGGGACATGAAACAAGTTGTAGGAAGTTTTATCGATGCGAAGCTAGCGGAAAAAATGGTTTCACCAGATATGAATTTACTTGTGCCGAAGGAACTCTTTGGGATGATGAAGAACTTATCTGTAACCATCCTCGCGATATTGATAATAGCAGGTGTGGGTCAGGAACTTCAAATAACAATCAACCCAATCAATCAACAACGAGCAACCAGAACAATCAATCAACTACAAGTAGTCAATCATCTTCAAATTCCCAAAATGGTCAATCGACTGCAAGTTTTCAAAATAATCAACCGACTACAGCTTCTCCAGATACTCAACCATCTTCAAGTAGCCCGGATAATGAACCAAACATGACTACATCATCTCCATCCGATAATAATAATCCGCCTGTAGAGANGACTACTTGTAGTTGATTGATTGTTCTGGTTACTCGTTGTTGATGATGACAATGGAGGTTACATAAAATATGATTTCACTTGTGCCGAGGGAACATTGTGGGATGATGACACACAATCATGTAATCATCCTCGTGATATTAAAAACAATCGTTGTGGTTCTGGAAACTCAAATAACAATCAACCCAATCAATCAACAACGAGCAACCAGAACAATCAATCAACTACAAGTAGTCAATCATCTTCAAATTCCCAAAATGGCCAATCGACTACAAGCTCTCAAAATAATCAACCTACTACAGCTTCTCCAGACACTCAACCATCTTCAAGTAGCCCGGATAATGAACCAAACATGACTACATCATCTCCATCCGATAATAATAATAATCCGCCTGTAGAGAATCAAAACCAAGGTCCAACTACTCAGAATCCATCATCTGAATCGACTACTTCTACTTCGTCATCAGGAAGTAGTGGAGAATGTGATCAAGAAGGATTCTACGGAAACCCTGATGATTGTATGAAATTCTATCGATGTGTTGATGATGACAATGGAGGTTACACAAAATATGATTTCACTTGTGCCGAAGGAACAATGTGGGATGATGACACACAATCATGTAATCATCCCGGAGACATAAAAAGCTCTAAATGTCGAGGTCAAAATTCATCTGCTCAAGAAAGTGGATCTACTAATTATCAGACACCATCGACTACATCAAGAACTACGACTTTAGAACCGGAAGGCACTTCAAATCCCGATACTTCTAAACCAAGTGAAACAACGCTTGCAACATCTAACCAAGGTTCTCAAACTACAACCAATATTCCTGATTCAACAACGAATGAGCCAAGTGAGACAACGACTTCAAGATCTGAAACTACAACGCAAGAGTCAGAGACTACTACTACTGACAGGGGTGAATCAACCACTAATAATAATCAAGGTACTTCGTCACCTTCAAATGGGAAATGCGAAAGTGAAGGATTTTTCGGTAATCCGGATGATTGTTCCAAGTTCTATAGATGTGTTGATGATGGAAAAGGAGGATTTAATAAATATGATTTCGATTGTGGCGAAGGAACTCATTGGGATCAAGATTTACAAACATGCAATCATCCTAATGATGTTAAAAATCCACAGTGCAATGGTTTTGGAACACAAGCAACTTCAACTCCGGCTAGTGAAACCACAACTAATCAAATGACAACAACAGACTCTTCATCTCCAGATGTCTCCACAACTGGCAGCTCCGAAACTACAACACAAGCTTTAGTAACTGGCGGAGGCTCCCAAACTACAACTAATATTCCTGATTCAACAACGAATGAGCCAAGTGAGACAACGACTTCAAGATCTGAAACTACAACGCAAGAGTCAGAGACTACTACTGCTGAAAGAGGTGAATCTACCACTAATAATAATCAAGGTACTTCGCCACCTTCAAATGGGGAATGCGAAAGTGAAGGATTTTTCGGAAATCCGGATGATTGTTCCAAGTTCTATAGATGTGTTGATGATGGAAAAGGAGGATTTAATAAATATGATTTCGATTGTGGCGAAGGAACTCATTGGGATCAAGATTTACAAACATGCAATCATCCTAATGATGTTAAAAATCCGCAATGTAAAAACTCTGGAACACAAGCAACTTCAACTCCGGCTGGTGAAACCACAACAAATCAAGTGACAACAACAGACTCTTCATCCACGGATGTTACCACAACAGATTCATCAATAGACGCTTCCACAACAGACTCATCTACAGACGCTACCACAACAGATTCATCAATAGACGCTTCCACAACAGACTCATCTACAGACGCTACCACAGCAGATTCATCAATAGACGCTTCCACAACAGACTCATATACAGACGCTACCACAACAGATTCATCCACAGATGTTACCACAACAGACTCAGTTACCGAGGCTTCCACAACAGACTCTCCATCTACAGATTTAACGACAACAGGAAATTCAGAAACAACAGCACAAGTGACTGACTCTACAACCCAGGCTGTAACTGATCAGACAACTACAGAAAGCGGAGCAGAGACAACCACAATGAATCAGCCATCTGGTACTAATGGACAGTGTGAAAGAGAAGGCTACATGGCTCATGAAGAAGATTGTAGAAAATTCTATCGTTGTGTAAGTGATGGTAACAATGGTTATGACAGAGTTGAATTTACGTGTGCTGATGGAACTGCTTGGGACAATAATCAGCTTGCATGCGTTCATGAAAACGAAGTTTCCGATTGTCCTTCGCGTACGACGACAGAAATTTCTGGTGAGACTACCACAGAAAGTATGGAGACAACCACAGGTTCGACTGGATATCCCGAAGCATCGACTCCTACAAACTCTTGGAGTACTGATAAGGAGACAACAGATTTGACAACAACCGAGGAAACTGCTGAATCCACAACAGAATCTCAAAAAGAAACTACATCAATAGATATGAATACAACTGAAGCAGAAACAATGTCAACTACTGATGCTCAGACGGAAACGACTACAAATTCTATGACAACAGATAGCCCCACAACAAGAGCTCCGTCTAATGGCAATTGTGAGTCAGAAGGATTCTTTGGTAATCCAGATGATTGCATGAAATTCTATCGATGTGTTGACGATGGAAAGGGAGGTTACACTAAATATGACTTCGATTGTGGAGATGGAACTGCTTGGGATGATGACTTACAAACATGTAATCATGAAAATATGGTTCAAAATTGTGAAGGAAAACAAAGTAAGATATTAAATTTCTTTTTTCAAAAACATAGTAACATATATAGTTTCAGGCACAACCACAGAAGGAAGCGTCACCACAACAGAAAATCCTGATTCAACGACTACTCTAGGTGTAGACAGTACTACAGAGCAGCCAGACACTTCAACACAACCAACCGAGTTAACGACAACTCAACCTGATGATACCACAACTCAGGCTGTCGAGACAACAACTGCAAATAATGGAGAAGACAATTCAACGACACAAACTACCGATGCAAATGAACAAACAACTACTCAACCTTATGAAACAACAACTGATGAGAAAACAACTCCATATGGTGAAACTACAACTGATGGAAATCAAGAGCAAACGACAACTGTCAGTCCTGATGGGGAAACTACTACTGAACCTGGAAATACTCAATCAACATCAAATGGTAACAGCAGTTGTCCACCATTAGGTGAAGGCCAGGCTCATTTTGTATGCCCTACGGGATTCCGAAGACATCCCAAAGATTGTCAAATGTTCTATCAATGTACAGAAAGTCCTGAAACTTCACATTTAAGTATTGTATCATTTAACTGTCCGAATGGAACGGTTTACGATGAAGATGCAATTCAATGTAGAAATAGACGTGAAGATGATAATTGTCCATCTAAAGAAGAAGCAACTGCGTTACTACGTGGTACAATATTCGACATAGAATCAGAAAACTCGCCAACTGTAAGTTATTCTACAGTTTAATTTATTAATAATTAACTTTCTTTCTTTCTAGATTCAAATAAAAACGAAACGAGAATTATGTCCTTCAAGTGGACATTTCCCATTGGAAGAAAACGATTTGTGTTCGCCAACTTTCTTAAAATGTGGAATCGAACGTAGTGGTAAGATGGAAGGAAAGATGAATAGATGTCCAAATGGATATATTTATTGGCAGAAGAGTAGACGTTGTGAGCGATCTGAAAAGATCCCTGATTGCCACAGAAAATATTATCGACAACGTCTTGGAATTCCAGTCGAATGGAATAATTTAGGACGAAAAAGAAGTTTGATACTTTAAAAATGATGTTAGACTAAGACTGGATTCTTAATTTATTGTCTTCGTATGAATGAATGTGTATGATTTTGAACATTCTATCTGAAAAAAAAAATAATTTAAGTTCATTTAACTTAGTCAAAAATTTTGATCGGGAAACAGAAATTTGATGTGATGTACTTAAAAAATCTCAATTCTGTTTCTGAGAATCGAAAACAATTTTTATTTTTAAAGGATGAATGGGTGTTGGATAAAAAACTTAGATAAGTAAAAAGCATTGTTGATATTTATGATGCTGCCAATTTTATCATGGATTCCAAAATTTTTATGCCAGATTCAAGCATTTTTTTAATTAAAGGAATAAATTATGAAATAGTTTTTAATTCTCGTTAGATAATATGTAATTCATAATAAAATCCTCTTTGAATTTGTGGAAACAAAGAAATTGAAACAAAAGATGAAGCCATAATAACTTTAAAATTGCCTGAAAAACTTCATACTAACGAGAAATTTACAAAAAAACATAAAACATTAATACAAAATTCTGTTAGGAAAGTACTTAACAGTTTGCATTCATCCCTCATACTTAACTGTTTTTTTTTGTAAATAAAATGATGATAATCATGTAGACAACACAAGATGCTTGAAAATGTTTAAAAATAACTAACAGATTAGGTCTTCCATGTGCATCATTTTTCTTTGAGAACGTGATGCTCTTTTCCTTGAGAAGAAATTTTTCACCATTAGCTGACATGTAGATAATAATGTTTTTTAAGACCTTTTACTTTAAATCAATAAAATGAATTCAAAAAATATGTATGAATTTGAGTTTTTTTCTTATTATATCAATATTTTCAGTAAACATTCTGACAATTATCGTTGGAATCAAATAAGTTCATATTTTCTCACTAGCGACATCTCTCGATGGGATTATAAAAAATTATTTTTAAAAATAGTTGGAACAGCATGAAAATGAAACATTATTATTCATGAATTCATGTATCTATGACAAAAAAGATGACATCAATGAGGGCAAAGATGATTTATTAAAATATCTATGCTTTAAACATTAAATATACTTTGTTATTTTTCTGGAACAAAAAAAATTAAAAAATTATTCTCATTATTTAAAGCATAAGATAAAAATTCATTTATTAGGTATAAATATTCAAATGGGAAACAAGCTTAAAGTTTTGAAATGGAAGATGACCTATCAAGTTTTAAAATATTTTCAGCTTGCTCAATTCCTGATAGAAAAGCACCATGAACAGTTGAAAAGTATTGTTCATGACAAGCTTCACCAGCAAGCAAAATTACATTTTTTCGGTTTTCTGGACAATCAAAAATTATCGGTTTTGATAATGTTTTCTCCCAATTTTGAAGGTGATCACATTTCGTGCTAGTAAAGCTATATGCACCTCTAATAAATTTATTTTGATTCCATCTAGAACAATAGAAATCATCTGGCTCGGGAAGATTTTCTCTTTTTATAAATTTTCTTAGAAGTTTCATGCATTCAGCGATAATGTCTTCGTCACTCAACTTCTCTATGTCAATTGCACCTTGACCACCAATCCATCCAAGCAAAGTATTTTTAGGTTCCGAATTGATGACATCGAACCCAGATATGTAATTTGTCCAATGTGAATTCTAAAAAGAAATTTAATTGAGGGAAAATTAATTTAAAAAATTAAGACTCACATTATTCGTCTTCCAAATCAACTGAAGTCCTTTCCAATCATCATTCCACCATTTCTGTTTGAAATGAAGGAATATTTTATTAATTGTTCCATAACCAATCGCTTCAATCGCTTCTTGTTGTGCTGTTGGCAACGATGGTGAAAACAACTCCAGATGACTTTCTTTCAACACACCGAGAGAAAATGTACAAATCAATCTATTTGTAACGTACTTGCTTCCATCTTTACACAAAACCACAATTCCTGGTTGTTGATCATTCTTCCAATGAATTAATTGAACATTTTGATTGAGTCTGAAATTTTTCTCAAGCAATGTTTTGAGCTTATCAACAATTTCACTCATTCCACCTTTCACATTGATATGAGTTTGACATGATTCACCATTAAACGAGTAATTTCCCCAACATTTCGCTGATATCTCATTGAATTTCATGCAGGCATTATCAATGATTTGAAACCGTTTATGCCAGTCAAGAAGTTGATAAGCAAGTTCCTTTTCTTCATTTGATTCCATATTTTCGACAAAATCTGTAAACTTTTCCGTCAAATATTCTTCAAGTGAAGCAGGAAATTTCACTCCTTCAACATTTTTCAATTCCACTAGAGCTTCACATTCTTCTAGGATTTGACCAATTTTAAAATCAATTTTCTTAACAAAATATTCGTCAAATTTCATTCCGTCTTCTCGTATGTAATCACCTTCAGCTTCTTCTGATAAAACATCATGAATTAAATTACATTTTTCAGCAAACTTAAATAATTCATTGTTTTTTCCATGGAGCCATTGAGCGCCTGAATCAACACGAATTTCTTCTCCATTCTTTGATTTTGAACACGTCACTGTATTGATTCTTCCACCAACGCGATCTTGTCCTTCGAGTATCATAAACTTAACATTAGCTTCCTTCAAAACTTTTCCAGCACCAAGACCTGCAAGTCCTCCACCCAACACAATAACATCGTAGACTTCAAATTTCTTCGTTTTATTTGTTGTTGAGCTTAAAAACGAATGAAATTTTTAAAAAAATTCTTAAATTTACATTTCTGTTATTTACCTTTGATAAAATTCTGTTAATCTTGCAGCTTCTCTCCATCCAGCTTCAACAGCGCCATGAACAGTTGAATAATAATGTTCGCTTGTTGCTTCACCTGCAAACAACAAAACTGGCTTTCCATATGGATCTTGTAATGGACGAGCCAAGGCACATGCTGATGTCTCTAAAATGTTTGTCGTCATACTTCTGAATGAATATGAACCACGAAAATGTTTGTTTGTGTACCAATTTGATCTGAGAATGTTTATTGGTGTCGTCCATGGAAGTCGAGAGCCTAAAAACATTGTAAACAATTTCATGCAGCTTCGTAGAACGGTCTCGTCATCCAAAGTCTCCATTTTTCTAGCTGACTTTCCACTTATCCATCCGCATAAAATATTAGGCTGAAAATCAACGACATAAAAGCCAAAAACATCTTCCATCCAAGCATCCGAAGTATTACGAATCTCTTCAGAATCTTTAGCTTTCCACAATAAACTAAATCCTTTCCATTCATCATTCCAAAAAGGTTTCTCAAATTCCAAAAAGATTTTGTCAACAGTTCCAAACGAAAGACCTTTGATTGCATCAATTTTCTTTTTAGGCAGTTGAGGATTGAATAAAGTTTTATAATTTTCCTTCAAGACACCAAGAGATGTTGTGACAATGACATGATCAGCATCATAAAACGATCCATCACTGCATTTAATTTTAACTTGAGGATCACGCCATTCAATGTGAGAAACTTCTTTGTTCAACAAAATTTTCTTTTCAACTTCTATTGAGTATCTTGGGTCAGGTTTCTTTTTTGTTATATAATCTATGACTGTCTTATATCCTTTATCCTTCCAGTTTAATAATGGATGTCCTTCACATTCCCAATAATGTAAATAGCCATTACCAGATGTTTCAAACCAACTGTCAGAAGCTTCAATTGAATTTTCATATTTTTGGAAATAATCCAAGACTTGTAAGCTGGTTTCATTATCAATATCACTGAATTCTGAAGTCGTCAATTCTTCTTTATATTTCTTAACTGTATAACTTCCAAGAGATCCTGTGTAGTCAGCAAGATCGTCAGAAGAGTTTTCAAGAATTGACATACATAAAGCTATAAGTCTTCCACATAAATCACTGTCAATAAGCTGCCCATTTGAATCGAGAAAATTAACACTGGGAAAGGAAATATTCGAGTAATCTAAAACTTGATGGTCTTTAACTAACTCATAGACAACATTGTTCTTCTCTCCATGGCACCTTAAAAAGTGGAAATTATTGTGAAATTATTTTTAAAACAATCATTAAAATCTTTGATGAATAACTTTTACCATTGCGCTCCAAGATCAACAACGTTATTTGCAAAAGGAGAAGTGTTGACACGACCTCCAATCCTCTTTTCAGCTTCTAATATTATCACATTTTTAAAACCATTTTCCAATAATCTTGAAGCTGCACTAATTCCACTAATGCCGGCTCCAACTACAATAATTCTTACGTTTTGCATTGAAATTAGATACTAAATTTGACTAAAAACTAGTAATGATGATTATATCATCTACGTGACTTAGAAGAACTTTGATTTAATTTTTCTTTGACCTTTCTTATCAAAAAAATAATGAAAAACATGAAATGTGTTTGTTGTATAAAATATCGTAGTTTGATGTGTACTTGATGTGTAAAATAATGAAACGATAAAAATTGACAAATTCATCATATAAACTATCTCAATATGTCATAAATGTTCATTATCAAACATAATTCAGAACCGTCTGCTCTCTTTTTATTTCTGTGATGAAACAGGTTTTTAATTAATTTCAAATTAGCTTCCAAACTTCTTCATAAATTTTTTTTATTTGCATGATATTCAACGAAAGTGAAGTTAGGAGGAAAAATCTAATCGATAACATAGAAATTTATTTTATTCAAGGTACTGCATTGCACCAAAACCAACTTCGTACAAGATATTTACATTCCCCAATATGTTGCCATGTGAAATTGCCTTAAAAAGATTCTACGCTGTCTCATGACGTAACCCAAATATGGAAATGTTTATTCATTCAATGAAATAATCAGTCCACATGCCAAATAAAGTCTAGTTTAAGTTTCGCTTTGAGTTCATTTTTTTATCCATTTATGGAAGTTGAGAAAAAAACAAGTTTTAAGACTCAGACTGCGAAGTTTCTTCTTCTCCAGTAATTTTTTCTCGTTTCTATTTTAACACAATTTTTTTCAATTGCAGGTCGTTAACCGCATTATGCTTTCGTGTCTAAAATTAAATTGCTCATATTGCTGTAAAAGAAATGTTTTAAGAGAAATTTCCAACAAATGAAACAAATCATGTTTTATGTTTTTCATGCTCTTTTCGATGTTTAAGATTTTTTATTTTTTCACCAAGAGATTTTAAATTTTAATAAAATGAAACATTTTATTACTGGCGTAGCATGAATCTTGTCATGTATTTGTTTGTGGTAGAAGTTTAATATTCTTCAGCACCTTCGCCTTCACCTTCTCCTGAGTCCATACCAACTTCTTCGTAATCCTTCTCCAAAGCTGCCAAATCTTCGCGAGCTTCAGAGAATTCTCCTTCTTCCATACCTTCACCAACGTACCAGTGAACGAAAGCACGTTTAGCGTACATAAGATCGAACTTATGATCCAAACGAGCCCATGCTTCAGCAATGGCTGTGGTGTTGGACAACATGCAGACAGCACGTTGAACCTTGGCCAAGTCACCGCCTGGGACGACTGTTGGTGGTTGGTAGTTGATACCAACTTTGAATCCAGTTGGACACCAATCGACGAATTGGATTGTACGCTTGGTCTTGATGGTAGCAATAGCAGCATTGACGTCCTTTGGAACGACATCACCACGATACAACATGCAACATGCCATGTACTTTCCATGACGTGGATCGCACTTGACCATCTGGTTGGCTGGTTCAAAGCATGCGTTGGTGATTTCAGCAACACTGAGTTGTTCATGGTAAGCTTTTTCAGCTGAGATGACTGGTGCATAAGTGACCAATGGGAAATGAATACGTGGATATGGGACCAAATTAGTTTGGAATTCAGTCAAATCAACGTTCAATGCACCATCGAAACGAAGTGAGGCAGTGATGGATGACACAATTTGTCCAATCAAACGATTCAAATTGGTGTAAGTTGGTCGTTCAATGTCCAAGTTGCGACGACAGATGTCATAAATGGCTTCGTTGTCAACCATGAAAGCACAATCGGAATGTTCCAAGGTGGTATGGGTGGTCAAGATTGAGTTGTATGGTTCAACAACAGCAGTTGAAACTTGAGGTGCTGGATAGATAGCGAATTCCAATTTTGATTTCTTGCCATAATCAACTGACAAACGTTCCATCAAAAGTGAAGTGAAACCGGAACCGGTACCACCACCGAATGAGTGGAAAATCAAGAATCCTTGCAAGCCAGTACATTGATCAGCAAGCTTACGAATACGATCCAAAACCAAATCAACGATTTCTTTTCCAATGGTATAGTGACCACGGGCGTAGTTGTTAGCTGCGTCTTCCTTACCGGTAATTAATTGTTCTGGATGGAAGAGTTGACGATAAGTTCCAGTACGGACTTCATCGACGACAGTTGGTTCCAAATCAACGAAGACAGCACGGGGAACATGCTTTCCAGCACCGGTTTCACTGAAGAAAGTGTTGAATGAGTCATCACCACCTCCGATGGTCTTGTCACTTGGCATTTGACCATCTGGCTGGATTCCATGCTCGAGACAGTACAATTCCCAGCAAGCGTTACCGATTTGGACACCAGCTTGACCAACATGAACTGAGATACATTCACGCTAAATGGGGGAAAAAAAGAGAAAATTTTTATGAGTCATCGTCGTAAAAAATATCGATCCATTATGCAAGGGTGTGGTTTTCAATGAAAACTCTTCAATTTCATTGAAATGAACTGAAATTATGATTGTTTTATTGATTCTAATCGAAATAATCATAAAAACGTTAATCTAACTGTAGTTCTTTTCGTAGCATTTGGAATGGAAATTAACAGACCGGAAAAAAAAATGGCGGACAAAATTGGTGACGCTATTTTAATTTGAAATTTCTCTCTAATGAGATGTTAAATTGTGTATGTCCCTGAACAAATTTTATGAATTATGCTATAACTTACCATTTTGATTGGTTTTTAGAATCTTTTTCCACAAACTTTAATGAAAATAATTTAATTCAGAAAATTAGCTTTGAACACGTCTTTGCAATGTGACGAACAAAACTCGAATAATTCAAAATTTTTCGTGCACGAATGAAGTTGATTTTTTCCCCCTCCAATTGTACAACATCAGAATGAGAGTATTTGTAAGGGGAAATTGTTTGGTAGATCTCAAATGAAAATTATGATCCGATAATATGATTTATTATTAGAAAAAAACTTCATTTATGTTATCAGATTTGCATAAATTTTAAGAAGAAATATTTAATAAGTTTCTGTTTCTTGAAATTTCATTATCTTTATGTAAAATAAGGAAAAACAATATTCAGGCATGAATTAGTAGATCAAATTATTTTAAGTAGATATGGGAGAGTAATTCAAGTTGAGCAAAATTGCAAAAAGATTGCGCTTAAAACGAACTTAGGACAAGACGGACAATAAAATTGGTTAACAGAACAACCGAATCGAACAAAAGAACAAACGTATCAAAACAAATATCTACCTACCTACAGTCTTAACCCGAAAGTAAGCCGCGGCTTTTATTCGAATTTTGGTTGAAAAATGCCCTGCGGCTTAAAATTCGATCGAAAAACTCGAATAAGAGCCGCACTCGAATAAAAGCCGCACCCGAATAAAAGCCTCACCCGAATAAAAGCTTTTTTGACCAAAGAAGGCTTTTATTCGAATTTTGCTTGAAAAATGCCCTGCGGCTTAAAATTCGATCGAAAAACTCGAATAAAAGCCGCACTCGAATAAAAGCCGTTTTGACCAAAGAAGGCTTGTATTCGAATAAGCAAGCCTGCGGCTTACGTTCGGGTTAAGACTGTAGTTTCTTGAAAATGAAAGAAATTATTAATTTGCCTTTAATTTCCCAAGATTTAAGGGAAGATGAAGTTTGTATACGAGCGATCAAAACTTTTGAGTTCTTGAATAATGTAATTGATGACATTTTCGACCGTATTGAATCAAGAGTTAAAGAAAACATGACAAAAATGGAGAAAATAAATAAAAGGTTTGATAACATTACTTCATGATTCATCAAAAACTAAATTACTTATCATATTTCAGACTTGAAGCAGCATCAAGCAAAATTGAAAGCTTGAAAGGGAGCAGAAAAGCCATTCGAATGTATTCTCAAGCTAAATATCCAATTCCAAATACTCCAATATTTTCGGAAACTTTTAAGAATTTTTCTGTCAATGAGATTGACTTTAGTTACAATCTTCAATCGTCATCTGACCCTAACCGCTATAAAGAATATTCAGAAAAGCTTCAATTCTTTCATATCAAACGTAATCGACAAAAAATATCCGAAAAGCCAAATTTAGTGTTCCAAACTAATTCAATTAATTCATTGATAACATTTGTGAACAACGAAAATATTGTTCTAAATGATTTATCATCAAAAACACGCGCTAAAGAAAAGACATCCACAACTGCTCAAGATATCAACGATACAGCAGATTTCAACAGATTTTCTTCGTTCATGAAGACAAAGAGAAACGATTACTTTCATTATTCTCCAAATAGAAATCAAGCTCCAGAAATAGAACTCCCATTAGATTTACCAGAACTTCCGGGAATTGCTGATGACATTTCATTCTCATTAACTGATAAAGAAATTATCGATTCGTCATTAACGAAAATGAACATTGTGAACGAACTTCCAAATGTTGCTGAACTTATGGAAGCTGATTCAAGCAAGAAATTAACGCAAACTTTATCAAGCAATCAAGACGAAGGAGATTCAAAAGTTTTATCAACGAAATCCGAGATTTCTAATGTACCAGCAGTGCCTGCTAACATCCCGCCACCTCCACCTCCACCAATTCCTCAAAACTTTATTCCTGCTGCACCACCAATACCCAAAGACATTACAAATATCAAGAATAAAACGCAAGCTGTAGCACCACAAGAAGTCTCTGAATCAGGCGACGCTCGATCTTCTCTTATGCAAGCAATTCGAAATGCTGGAGGAAAAGTGAAACTTAAAGCTGTTCCTGCAAGAGACGAAGATGTGACTAATGCTAAAAAAAATGTTCAAAAACTTCCAGCTATGGATTTGATGTCAGATTTACATGCAAAACTAGCCTTACGACGACGAGGAATTGCAGGAACAAAAGAAACTAAAAAGGAAAAATCATCAATACTTGCCAAAGTTAGCTCTTTAATTCCTGCTCCTACTGAAAGATCAGAAAGCGACAATGATTCAGAGAGTAATGATGGCAGTGATTGGGATTGATTTACATGACGATTTTATTTATTCATTGTTGTTTTATAAACGAAATAAATTATTAAGTTGTATCAAGAAATTTCTAATGGCTCAAAATTTCATTTAATTATTTGTGAATACGGCCATGACTTGATATTGTTCAAGATGACTTCAATTTTTAAGTATCTGACCTTACATGGCTGTTAAGGCTATTGCTAAGATAGTTGAAATTGCAACCATAATGTATCCGGTGGTGTAAACTTCTTTAATTGTTAAGAATCTTCCCAAGTCCCAGAACAAGTGACGAATTCCATTAACAGTGTGGAAAGCGAATGGAAAAGCAAGAGTAAATTTAAGGGCGGCTAGAGATGCTGCTCCGAGTTGAAGACCTTCGATTAAATTCACAACTGCATTTGCACCTTCAGGACAAGCAAGTGTTGCAAGACCGAAAATCGCAGCATATCCTGTTAATGCGATTCCTGTGCCTCGATGAGTAATCGATAACATGCTTGTGAGTTGAGGCTTATAAATTGTGAGATGTGGTGATTGTGGGCGCTTCAAGCGCAAATTTTTTTCGTCGTGGCTTTCAGCAAGTGAAGTTGCTTGGGGGATGACTTTGATGGATACATTACGAGAACTACTGAGGGGGGTTTTGTACAAGGCTGGATTGTTGAGAAAACTTCGAGCGCACAGTGTTCTAGAAAAAATTAACAACATCAATTTGTTTATATTTTTTCCAAATTCGGTTACATAATTTTCTAATAAAAATTGACAGGAGTTGTGGCTCTCCAGTATCACATTTTATTCAATTGCATCCTTACCTCGTTAAATTGAAAGCCATTTTTAGGTCGTTAGATGTTATTCGAATAAATCTTTTTTTATTTAGAAAGTAAATAAAATTCGTCGCGAAAATCGAAGGGAAATAGTTGATGTGTAAAATTATTTAAATTAACACATCACATAAAAAGTCGTTAAAAGTTTTCTAAGAAAATTTATTTGTTATAACAGCTACAAAACTTTGATAGAATTGAAAGAAAAATTAAACCGTCATCAAAATATTTGATCAGTTTCCTTTGTCGAGTGATTGACCTGCAAATTTCAATATGAGTCAATATACAAAATATGGTTTTGATAAAATTTCTTTCTTTTTTATTTTTATTTAATATGTATAAACTTTAATATTTAATGACAACTCAATTAATTTTTTTTATATTTTCAATTATTTACATTGCATTTCTTAATGTCTTACATTGACATTTATCTTCACAATATGTTAGAAGCATAAATCTTTTTCTCATTTTATTAAAGACATTTTATTGTTTCTTGCTTTATTGAAAATTAAATTTATCATCGGCAATGCCGCAAGTATTTATTAAACTATTAAATGTAGCTAATGAAACTTTAATATTCCAGAAGCTTTCTTCAAGTATTCGCAAGCATTCTTCTTTCTTTAATTCTGTAAGCTTTTGAAATAAAATAAGTTTCATAGTTTTCTCTTCCAATGGAGTTACTGAAATGTCTTCATGATGATTTTCTTCATTTTCATTGATAATTTTTCTTTTGTTATTCATCCATAAGTCTTTTTGAGCTGGTGCAAAAGAATGAACAAACATTTGATCATTACTTATGAAAAATTTATTTTCTGGCAGTGGATGCAAAATAAACGTTCGTGTAAAGCCAAGAAAGAGATCAAATTTATTCAAATGCAAACCATGCTCCTCGAAAATTCCAGTAACTGTAATTACGATCATCGAAGTTGGATGATACAAAGGAACGTCAATTGAAAAACTTTCAAAGTCATGTGACGTTCTATTTAATCCATTAAAAACTTTTGCAATGTTTGTAAGCCCGACATGAATGTTATCAACTGTCTTGCTGAAATTGGCAATGTATAAAAGATTTCGAGAATATTTTCCGTAGTTTTGAATCTGCGTAGCTGTTTCTGCTCTCTGAGTCATTGAAAAGTGTTCTGGGTTGAAATTTACACTCATCGTAAATATGGATTGATCCGAATAGAATTCCAGGACTCGGTGGCGTTCCATAGAGTCAAATAACTTGAAAAAATTACTAAGAAAAGCATTCACCATCACCGATGCTTTCCTTGTAATAAGAAAATTTTGGAAAGAAACCATTTGGAGCGATCTGTTGATGACTCTTCCATCAATTTTCTCCGCTCCTGGGAAATATTGCTTCACTTCTTCTATATATGATTTGGGATTCGAAAACATCTCGCAAATCGGATTTCCATCTAAGAAAATCTCTTTTAATGAACACAAGAAAGACATGCCAGACAAGCATAATATTTTGTTGTTTCGTAAATCTAATGTCACAACTTTTGAATGCGTAAAAAAAGATTTCCTTAAACAATCCAGAGAAGTTATTCCATTATTTTGAATGTAAATTTTTGTTATTTGATTATTTTGTTTTCGTGCATGATCGAAAATATAATTTAAAGTGAATTTTGTGTTGATTGGAAGAATAATCTTCGAGAATTTTGGATCATGAATGAAGCCATTGAGATCGAGTGTATCGCCGATAATTCTTTGCGATAAAACGTACGAAATTTTATGTTGCCAATTAACTTGTCCATCTTCGAATGCTGCCACGCCAAGACTCAACTGGAATGTTATTTTTTGACAGTCGGGCATTTCATGTATCAATCTTCTCTCCATGAGAAGTTTAAGAGCATCAAAGTTCTTGTAAAGATAAAATTCATCACGATTACCCAAGCGTTTGTAGTAACATGGGAAAAAAGGTACGTTGGGAAATAACTTCTGAATTTCCTCAATAATTTCCTCCTTTTCATATCTTTTATTGTGTTCAATTGTAACTTTACTCCTGTAAAAGTAAATTGAAAACTTTGCTTGATTAATTTTCATTTAAAATACTCACCACCAATTATCTCTTTTCAGATTTAAATAAGATGAAAGCAATTTTTCAAAAGTATGTGCCTTAGAAGCCGTGAAAAAAATTCCTTCAGAAAATTTCACAATTGGCTCATTTCCTTGGGCCTTGTAAGCATTGAAGTTAAATGAAATTTTTTTGTCATCTTTCATTTGAGATGTTGATGCAGTCATTTCCACTTCTATTTGATTTCCATTTAAGACTTTAACGGTTGAAATCATTGATTGAACTTTTCTAGTAATATCTGTTGTGTTTATAAATCTGTTTCCATCCAAAGATAGCTCAACGATGTTCAAGTTTCTTAAATATCTTAATTCATTCAAATCTCTAATTTGATTATTTTGAAGATTAAGGACCTTCATTTGAAATCCGTATAACTTTTCGAATGGCTCTAGAGTTTGAATGTCATTATTGGAAAAGTCGAACAATGAAAATTCCGCCTTCAGTTTTGCTATTCTGTTCATTTGAACAATTAGAATGTTCAAACATATTCTGTTACTTAACGATATTATCACATATTTACTGCTTTCACAATAATGTGACAAATCAAACACTTCTGTGTTTATATCCTTTTGTTTTGCTTGATTAATTTTCTGCGTAATGTCTGCATGCAGAAGATCAATTAATCTGGGATTATGTAATTGATTGTTGGGTGATACTGTAAGCTGAACCATCAATGGCAAAACAGTGTCTCCAATATATATTTTCAATTGGTTTTCAAAAAGTCTCTTTAAAGCATCTGACTGATCAACAATAAGAAATGTGTCAAACTCTCCATTTCTGTTTATAAAACATAAATATTATTAAATGATTTATAAACGTATTTTCAAAATTAATAAAATTTACCTTTCATAGCCCATAGGTGCAAAAAGTTTATCTTTAACAATGTTGTACAGAGCATCAATAATCTGTTTTCTACTAAACAACCCATGATGTAAAACCTTAAAAGTAAATAAAGTTAGCATTTTAATTGCATTTTACTAAATAAATCAACTTTTAAAAACTTTCAGAATTTTACATACCACAATCATGTGCCAGTCTTTTGACTCAAGCCGCATGTGGAGCTGAAGATCATCGCCACTTAAATTATTAAAGCTCGTGTATTTTGGAGCTCGTCTATTGATAATAACCGCCGATTTATTCAAGAAATTGACTTTTTCCGGAAAAGTGAATGATCTCAACTTCGTTTCATTCCGGTCTTCATTATTCGAAAACATATTTGTAAGTAATTTATGTTTTAAATTATTCTCGTACAGTTTTTACGCAGAGATTCTTTTTGAAATGTTGATTAAAATTTGTTTTCAACTTTGTTTATAATAAGGGGTAAGAAAGTAACAAAAATCTGTTTCATTATTATGGATATCTATCTACCCCCAGGTGCATTTATGCAGGGTTTTTGTTTATGATGTCTCGAGATAATTGCCTCGTGCCCCGACGGTTCGCGCGGATTTGACCTTCCATACAAAACGTACATAAGTGTCCGTGTAAACAATTTCTCCGTGTAAACTTTTCGATCGTAGCGCCGCCACTGAAACGTTCTCGGACAAAAGATCAATCAAACTTGAGTTTGATTCCGTGTTCACAAATTTGTCCGTTTACGAGATTTGCGATGGCAGCGCCGCCAATGGAAAAATTTTTCGTAATTAGATCTGGATCTAATTAGGGCGAATAGATTTGCAATGTTATGAAAATGTTTAATTGGGGATGAAACGATGTTATAAATTACAGGTTTAAACCTTTTGGATCAATTATTTTCTTCAAAAATTCTAAAAAAGATTGTTTTCCAATGAATTCTTTATTAAATGTTCATTAAATTACTTTAAATTAAAGGAAATTGTTACATACATAAAACCTTATCATCTTGAATACTATGAAAGAGATCATTTTTGACACAATTTTAGAAATGGTAGAGAAAGGATATGAAAAAGTTTGCAATAAATACGAAGCCTACAAATATCTAAATTAAATGATAATTTTGGCGCATCATTTTAAACCGTCTTAAAAGGTTTCTTAAGTTACGAGAAATTAAAATATTGACTATAATTAAAATCACGACAAACACCAAATATAATTTGAATTGTGTAAATCTATTGATGATGAAAAGCGGTGTATAGTGAAGATATCCGTTTTCAAAAATCGCTTGTCCAAATCCGATATGTTTTTCACCTAAGAATGAGAACGTCTTGAATAAAATGAGTAAATACTTATTTAATGAAATGAATTACCCATTCGATATGAGCAAGATGGAACTTGAATTTCAAGAACTTCTTGATTAGCTTCGATGGTCCTCAAGTCATAAGTCATTGTGTGCGATAAGAAGAGTGTCGTAGATGAGAAACGAAGACGATTAATTTCACTTGTGATTTGGTTTGATTTGTGGTAATGTCCGGTGAAAATTACATGAGGTTTAAACCTTTGAATGGCTTTGTAACTAAATGCACCAGGTGTCAGAACGATAGAAAAATGACTAACAAACACACGAGTGAAACCGGAATTTTCTTGTGTTTGAGATACTTCATCATCGTTCAGCAATGGCATTTCGTGAATTATTCGATTAATGTGGTAAATATTCAAGTTGTGTTTGAACTTCCATTGACTTCTGTTTTCAAAATAATTATTGAATCGTTTAACTTTTGAAGGTTTTACCATTTCGCTGCCTTCCCCGCCGATATCATTGTCACCATGGAGATAAATTGTTTGAATATTTTTCACTTGCGGGAATATCTCCATGAATCTTGTGAAATATCTTTGAAACTTAAAGTCATCAGCAAATGAACCCTCATCTAAAGAAAATTAAATTTAATTCAGTTAATTGATATCAATTAATTATACAAAAGTTCAACTTGCCAATTAAGTCTCCCAAAAATATTACAATATCTGGACGAACATGACTAAATGCTTGTCTATAATTTCTGCTTATATGTCTGTCACTATCAAATCTAGCAACCCATCTTGTTTCACGTTCTTCACCTAAGATTTGTGGATCAGCGACCAGAAGAATTCTACTGCACTCATTAGTTTCACATGATATTGATTCCCATTTGAATCGTTGTAGATAATAAATCAAACACTCATTGAATAATATTATTACGAGAATTCCGTAAAAATTTAATCGTTGTATGTGACCAAATCTAATGTTCAGCAAGAAAAAAAGAAAAGATTTTTCCGGCCATTTTCACATTAAAATATTTTACAACAAACCTTAAGGACAATAGCTTTTTTAAAAGCATTTTCGTGTCTATTTAGCTTTAAATTAATACCATTCATAAATCACATAACTTTAGTGGATAAAAATTAAATATTTTGAGAGTGAAAACTTGTTTTCTACATTTTTTTTCACTTTGCGATGAAGAAGAAAAAATTGGGAAGATTTATAAACAAACGGGCGAATTCAATTTTTTTATACTGAATTCGCCTTTAATTCGCAACAGAGTGGTACATTCACATGTGTTAGTGAGCCGGGTTAGTTGACAAAAATTGTCTAAAATTCAGAAATGTCTTTTAAATTACTCGCTTCTACAAAGGTAAATGACGAAATTCCTGTCCAAAAATATGTGTCAACAACAACTGGTATCAAAGTGTATCTAGCACAAGTAAATTCTCCTTTAACAAATGCTTATTTAGCGCTTGGTGAGTGAAAAATGTGAAACGGCAAAATTTTGTCGTGGGCAGTTGAGGAAAAATTTTAATTTTTTCTTCTGTTATTTCTTATAAAAGCTACTGAAGCTGATTCTGATGATGGAATACCTCATACATTGGAACATCTAATTTTTCTTGGCTCAGAAGATTATCCTTTCAAAGGAGTTTTGGATCTTTTAGCGAATCGATGTCTTGCCAATGGAACAAGTAAGAAAGTATTTGAAAACAAAGATCCAGTGATTAATTTATTGTTTGATTCATTCACAGATGCATGGACAGAGACAGATAACACTGTTTATACATTAAGTTGTGCTGGTTCTGAAGGATTACTTCGTCTCCTGCCTGTATACTTAAATCATGTTCTGTTTCCAACGCTTACTAAAAGTGCATTTATTACCGAAGTTTACAGCATAACTGAGAATGGCGAAGACAATGGTGCAGTTTATTGTGAAATGCAAGGAAGAGAAAATTCTGGTGAGTCTCGAGGGAATTTAGAATTGCTGAGAAATATCTTTCCCAATCACGGATATTCAATGGAAACTGGTGGAATAATGAAGAACATCCGCGACAGTTTGACGATTGAGAAAATCCGCGAATATCATGCAAAGTTTTATCAACCTGAAAATCTTGCTGTAATCATCGCTGGTCAAGTTAACATCGATGATATCGCCAAATCTATTGAATCAATCGAGAAAAAGATTTTACAGAAGAAATCGACGTTTCCTGAATATGAGAAACCCTGGCAAACACCTGTGAAGCCTTTGAAGGAAACGAAAGATATTAAAATCTTATTTCCAAGTGATGAAGAGGAATGTGGTCTAGTTTATGTCGGTTACCATGGCCCTAAAGCCACAACAGAATTTGAAACGCTCACTGCTTGCTACATTCTTATGAAATATCTTTGCGATACTTCTGTCTCTCCAATTCAACAATCGTTTATCGAAATCGACGATCCATTCGCATCTCGTGTTAGTTACAACATCACAGAGAATTCAACTTCACTTTTGTTTTTCTCATTCGAAAATGTTCCAATTGATAAAATTGATTTTATTTACGAACGTTTAATTCAATTGTTAGTTGATTTAGCTAATGGTGTTGAAAAGCTTGACGAACAACGTTTGAAAACCGTTTTTGAGAAATACATTCTCGAACGTTTAAGCAGTTTGGAAAATTCTCCACATGATGACATCACTTTTCATGTTCTTGGTGATTTTCTGTATGCAGATAAAGTTGAAGATTTTCAGAAACGTTTAAATGTTACCGACATCATAGCGAAACTTCAAGACGAGAAAATTGATTATTGGTTGAATTTATTACGAAAATATTTCATCGACAATCATTGCGTTATTGTGAGAACAATTCCAAGCATTTCCGAGAAAGAAAAGTTATCGAAGGAAGAAGCAGATCGTTTGGAAGCTCGTCGAAAGGAACTTGGAAGTGATGGTCTTGCTAAGAAAGGTCGTGAATTGGAAGAAGCCATGAGCGAAAACGATAAACCACCACCACTTGAAATGTTGACATCACTTCCAATACCATCAACTGATAGCATTGCGTTCCATCAATTTGACGTTATCAGGAAAACTGACAAGAACCAGAAAATTAATTTGTCTCAATTACCATTTTATGTCGAAGCTTATAATTTAAAATCAAATTTTGTTTACGTCACAGTCGCTTTTGACACTTCAGAATTGCCACCAGAACTTCGCAGTTATTTGTTGTTGTTTCTCGATTTGATTCTTGAGTCACCAGTTCAAATAAATGATGAACTTTTACCATATGAAGCTGTCGTTTCAGCTCTTGAACAAGATATGATCAGCTATGAAACAAGCTTAGGACTTCAATCAGCAAGTCGTTTTGGTTGCGGACCATTTTCCAACACCGTAACATTTCACATGCAAGTTGAAGTGAAAAAGTTTGAAATTGCAATTGGTTGGATGACACATTTATGGTTTCATTCAGTTTTCACTCAAGATCGCGTTCATATTGTTGCATCAAAACTTGTCAATGATATTGCAACAGCTAAAAGAAATGGATATGACATGGCACGTGAAATATCTAAAGCAATGTACTACAAGAAGAACACAAATGTTAACCGCAACTCAGTGTTAAGTCAATACACATTCTTAACAGAACTTGTTGAAGGTTTAAAAGACAAAACTCAATTGGAAAAGGTTCTTAACAACTTAAACGAACTTCGAGGATTGTTAACGCCATCACTGACAGTTCATGTAGCTGCAAACTTTGAGAAAATCACTGATTTGAAAACGCCTTTGACACCATTAATTGAGAAGATTGAAGAGATGACAAAATCAACTGTTGATCATCTTCCCGTGACATTTGACTATGAATTAATGAACAAAAATGGTAACTTAGAAAAGGAATTTACAGGAACAATCGTTGGAATTGGATGTGTTGAAAGTGGTTTCTTGTTTTGCTCATCACCTGGCATAAACAAATTTATGGATGAAGATTTATCAGCAATTTTACTTTATCTTCAATATTTGTCACAACTTGAAGGTCCAATGTGGAAGAAAATCAGAAAGAACAGTTATGGGTATAATGTGGTTCCAAAGCCTAATGAAGGTCTCATCATGTTCAGTTTATATCGGGCAACGAATATTTATGAAGCTTATAAAGATGCAAAAGTTATTATCGAATCTCAATTGGAAGATGGATCGGAGTTTGATAAAACACTTTTGGAATCAGCAAGAAGTTCGTTGATCTTTGAAATTATTGAACATGAGAAGACGGTCGGTGATTTAGTTCAACAAGCAATGTTGAATTCATTTAAATGTGCACCGAAAAATTATAATAAAATTCTTGTTGACAAAGTTGCTGGTGTGACAATTGAAGATCTTCGTCGTGTTGGCGCAACTCATTTCTCAACAATGTTCAAGCCTGGAATGTCGAAAGTTGTCATCGTTTGTCATCCAGATAAAGTTGAAACAATCAAAAAACAATTTGAAGATTTTGGACATAATTTGAAACAAAGTTCGTCACTTGAGGCAAGCATACTTAATTCGTGTTCTTAAAGTGCCTGACAAAAAAGGATTTTACAGGAAGGAAAATAAATTTCAGTCAATTTTTAAGATATTTTTATTAATCAAATAACAAACAAATTTTGTGAAAGTAATTTAAATAAAATTCATTTAATGATGGTGAGGATTTCAAACTATTTTCGGTTCTTTTACTTAAATTTACTCACTCAACATCAATTAAATTTTCTATTTTTATCTCAATATCTTCAATTTCTTTTTGATGAAGTTTGAGTTTGTGTTTTCTAAAGTTGCTATTGTTGAAGAATTTCTTTGGACACCATTCACATGAATACTGATGAACACCTGTGTGAAGTGATGATATGTGACTATTAAGTTCTTTAGATCTTTTATATTCAGCTGGACAAATCGTGCATTTGAATCTTTTCATAGGATTATGTGAAATCATATGATTGGTCAACTGATTTTGCGTTTTAAATTGACGTTTGCATGTAGGACAAGGAAGAAAGTCATCAGGATTTGTTGAATGAATTTTCTTATGAACACGAAGAATACTTTTTGTTTTCAATTTAAGTCCACAAACATCGCAGCTAAATTTACGTTCAGTTGTGTGAACGTGATTAAGATGAGAATCTAAATTGGCTTTTCTTGAGAAAGTTTTATCGCAAGAATGACATTTGAAGTTTTCATCCTAAAATGAGTAACATAGTGAAATGTTAAACTTAACACAAATTAAATTTAATTTAAATTTTACCTTGACATGAACATGTTTAATGTGTTGTTTCAGACTGAAAGTACTTGAATATTTTTTATCACAATACTCACAAGTATGAACAAACTTCAATTCATCTGGGAGATGAGAATTCATATGAACTGACAGATGACGCGCTTCTTTAAATGATTTTCCGCAAACATCACAATGAAATTTTCGCTGGTCATGTAACTCTCCATGATAAGTTTTCATATGATTCTTGAATCCCGAATACCATTGGTAAGTTTTATTGCATTCTGAACAACGGAAGAATTCTTTTTTATCCATAACGTGTTCCTCGTAATGTTGATTGAGTCCTTGTGTTGATTCGATTATTTTTCCAGAAACACAATTAACTTTTGGTTTTGTATTGTGAACACTTTTCATGTGGGAACAAAGAAAATGAATTTTCTCAAAACTTTCACCACATATATGACAGCTTAAATCGAAGAAACTTTCAAAATTTAATTTTGATGAATCGTTCAAATCATTTTCATTTGATATTTCTTCTTCCTCTGTGAAACAATCAAAAGTCTCAAACGAAACGGTTTCTGATACATGTTTTTCGACCGATAATATTTCATTTTCTTCCTTTTTTTCTTCTTCAGTATTTTGATCATCAAATTTATTTCCATCATCTATCAAATATTCAATTTCATCTTGATTGTTATCGATTAATTCAAATTGTACGATATCGATAAGATCTTCTTCAATAGTTTCAGGATGAAGATACATAACTAACTGATTTATTGGTAAATTCAGAATTTGTCGGATTTCAAAAATCGTTTCATTAGTTAGACTGCCTTCCGAATGTTTCTGATTGAGGTCTTCGAGTATTGAGCTTATAATTTTCGATTTCTTGAAAAATTCTTGAAAGTCATGAACATATGCATTGCAATCGATACAAATGTATGTGTTTCTTGACTGAATCTGAAAAATATGCGAACATTTAAAAAATATTTATTTAAAAATAAGAAAGTTATGAATGTAGGGAAAAATTACCTCGAAAATATTTTCTAAAGTGTTTCCAATATCATCCTCTACATTCTCTACGTTTTCCCATCCTCCACACAGACAACACCATTTTTTCCAATCAAACATTTTAAAATCTTCCATTTTTAAGTGTTCTTTATAAATGAAAAAGTTTTTAATTAAATTAAAGCTCGTATTTTGTTCATTCATGAGTGGGTTTGTTTACAATTTAATTACATTCGTTTACTCAGTGGGTATAAAGATTTCAATCGTAACTTTATACCCTTCAGATGCTTCAAACATAAACAAACTTAGAAATTCAATTCAATTGCTAAATTTGATTATAAAAAACTAAGCCATGGAGCATCATGAAGGAAAACTGAAATCAATAACATTACAAGAAAAGTTAAAGCTAATAGAAATAGTAGAAAGTGGAATGTCAGTTAAAGATGTGGCGGAAGAACATTCAGTTAACCGAAATACGCTTCACTATATTTTAAAGCATCGGGAAAAGATTCGTAATAGTTTAATTAATAAGCCAAGTATATCACGATTCAAACGAATCAAACAAACTAAATCTCCAGAGTTAGAAAAACGTATTCTTGAGTTCATGTATGAGTCTAGAGCTAAGAATGAGAAGTTATCTGGAAGCATAATCAAGACAATTGCGTTAACAATTGCTTCTGAATTAGGGGTAGAAAATTTTCATGCAAGCAATGGTTGGCTGTTCAGTTTCTTCAAAAGGAATAATATTTCAATGAATAGTTTCAATCAAGGAGTAGAACTAAATCCAAATCCAGTAGAACCAAAAGAAAAGTCAAAAAGTAAAACATCAGCCAAAGATTTTATCATCGAAGAAATTCCAATGAAAGAAGAAAATCAAGAAATCGACATAATAATAGAGGATCATGTCATTGATGAAATCACCTCACAAGAAAACTTAGAAGTTGACATGAATGAAATTGAATCGATCGATTACGCTTTTTCAGAGGAAGAACACAACGTAGAAGAATCTTCTGATATTACTCCAGCTAAGTTTGAAAGTGAAGCATCAGAAGATGTACCATGGCGTAGTTGGTGTCGTTTATGTGGATTTTATGAGTCTACAGAACATTTGGAAATTCATCAAATAGATTTAGTGCAACAACTTTTCCACGTAAGTGTGAAACAATTAAAATTTGTAGTTTCAACTCTATCATCAATTTTATTTTCTTTAGATTTCTGTGGATGACATTCGAGTTTGCGATGAATGTCTATCAACGATTAATAATATCTCAAAGTTATATCACAATTCTCGTGTTGTAGAAAATATGCTTTTGGAATTTGAAGAACGTAACAAAGCTTGTACATTGACTAAGAATGAGATTTCGAAAATCAGACAAGATTTCGGTTTCGATGATCAAAATTATGATGAGATTGAAAGAGATTCGGAAATTCATGAAAGTGACTCAATTGATGAAACATGTGAAGAGAACTATGAAAATGTGGAAGTTCTTTCAGTGACAGAGGAAAATTATTTCAAAAGTGACGATCAAGATGAAGAAGAGATTGGATTTGAAGAAATTGTTGATTCTGTTGAAATAAGTGAATTACCGAATGAGGAAAAAGAGAAAACAATTGAAAATGCAGTAGTAGAAGATGATTACATTTACAAATGTCATATCTGTGATGAAATATTTGAACGAATGTGCTTTTTGTCGAATCATACAAGAACAGTTCATCAGACAACTCCTAAAGTTGAATGTTCTTGCGGACGTTTCTTGTCAACATGGGATAGTTTAATGACACATCGACGTAAGCACTCATCATTCTTAAATGACTTTGCTTGTGAAATTTGCAATACTGCATTTAAATCTAAAAAAGGACTTTCCATTCACATTAAATTTAAACACGAACGACCACGAAAACAATATGTTTGTCAAACATGCGGACGATCGTTTAAGGATGCTTCAGTTTTAAAAGTTCACAATCGTGTTCATTTACCAGACGATGAAAAATATTCCTTTAAATGTGACATTTGTGATAAACGAGTCGTCAACAAATGGAGCCTTAAATATCACATTGAAACAATTCATGAAAATGCGAAGAAACATTTCTGTCATTTATGTGGCCGTGGTTTTGGCAATAAATCGAATTTAAGATCACACGTCATCAGTCACTCAACAGAAAATGTCATATGCTCGACTTGTGGTGGAAAATTCAAGAATCGAATCAGCTTGCAAAGTCACAAGAAGATTCACAAGCCAGAAAATCTAAGAAATTTTGCTTGCATGAAATGCAATAAAACTTTTCATAATCGTCATCATCTTCAACGTCACATGGTTTCACACACTGAAGAGAGATCTTTCAAATGTCCTTATTCTGATTGTAGAAATGAATACAAATGGCAGAAAGATTTAAAGAATCATTTAACGAGCGTTCATCTGAGTGAGTTTTCATAAGGAAGTTAAATCAAAATTTCATTTATGTCTTCTCTTTGGCAGGCGAACGTCCTTATAATTGTCATTTTTGTGAACGAAACTTTGTCGACAATGTGAGTGTTAGAAAACATCGACTAAAAGAACATCCAAAAGAATTGGCAGATTTTGAATTAAAGTATGGAAAAGGACGAAGGATTGACGCGATCTTTTCAGAGAATTTTGATATGACTTACGATAATGAAACTGAAATTGTTGAATGAATTAAACTGAGATTAATTGACGAATAATAAAAACTTAATTATTTATTTCTACATCCATCTAACGACATAATAATTCTTCTTTCCAACACGAAACAATGAAACTCCGTTCTTTAAAACATGAACATCACGTGAAAGAATTTCATTTGGATTTTTAGTTTTTTGCTGATTGATGTAAAATCCTCCAGCGTTGATTATTCGATAAGCATCTTGTTCGGTTGGAAAGCATTTCACTTTCATTGCTGCGTCGAGCATTGTCGTTCCAGGTTCCATATAAAGTTCCACATAAGAGGCTCCTGTGAAAAGATTGGGAACTTCTTCCGGTTTGAGTTCTCCAAGTGATTGAATGTTTCCACTGTAAAGTGCTTTGGAGATCATGAGGGCTTTTTCTAATCCTTCTTCGCCGTGAACTAATAAAGTTAAATCTTGCGCAAGTGACTTTTGTGCTTCTCTAAGATCGGGAAGTTTTTTATGATTTCTCAGTAAATCATTCATTTCGTTATCAGGCAGCAAACTTAAAAGTTTCATAAATCTTTCTGCATCGGCATCTGAAAGTCGAACGAAAAATTGATAGAAAGCAAACTCTGACGTTTTATTTGCATCAAGCCAAACGGCTTTTCCTTGTGACTTTCCAAATTTGTCACCTTCTTCGTTTGTTATTAACGGAAGTGTCAAACCAAAAACTTCTGAACTTTTCGAAACTCTGCTGATCAATTCATGGCCTGTCATTATATTTCCCATTTGATCATTTCCTCCAATTTGAAAATTACAATTGTATGTTTTTAATAAATGCACCCAATCATAAGCTTGAAAGATTTGATAAGTAAATTCTGTGAAGCTCATTCCTTGTTCACCTTGAAGACGACTTTGTACCGAAGCTCTTGACAACATTTGGCCCATACGAAAGTGTCGTCCAATTTGGGATATAAACTCAACAAAATTTATATTCTTATACCATTCGGAATTGTCAAGAATCATTGGCTTCGGAAGTGAATCTTGCTCATTCGGTCTTTTATTCCAGAAGAACTTTTCATGATTATCAAAAACTGTTTGAATTTGTTTCCTAATGTGCTGAAGATTATAATCAATAACTTCTTCATCCAATGCTACACGTTCTGAACTTCTTCCACTAGGATCACCTATTCTTGCAGTTGCACCTTTACAAATATTTCAGACTGTAAAAATCTAAATAAATTTCAGATTTTCTGTTCACTTACCACCGAGAAGAGCAATTGGTTTGTGTCCACCTCTTTGACTATGCAAAAGACTAATTAAAATTAATAGATTACCCACATGTAAGCTGTTACTTGTGGGATCAAATCCAGCATATAACGTTTGTTGTGATCTTCCCAATATACTTTGTATTTTGCTTCTAAAATGTTAAACAATTTTTATAACTCGCCGAAACATCATAAAATATTATGAAAATCTTTTTGGTTCACTTACACGCTTTCATGAGGGAACACTTCTTGAAAATACTCATTATTTCTAAGCTTAAGAATGTTTGAAACCTGTCTACAATGTTGAAAATTGACTGAATTTATGATTTTCCTTAGCCGCAGCATGATTATTGCGAGATTATTTAAAACTTTCTACCCCCGTGTTATATTTTCAGAACAGACTCCAACATTTCTTAGCTGCATAACCCTTTTGTTTACTTTCAAAGAGAAATTTTTTCATGTAAGAAGTCAAAATGACGCCAACCGGGAGTGATACGAGGTTTAAATTTAGAGATCTGATTTATATTGGAATATCAATGCCAGTCTCTCTAATCATTTATGTAGGCGGCAAAATTTATTCAAGTGCAACAAATTATAACGGTATAAGTTTGCTATTAAAAAGAACTTATAAAAATGTCACAAATTTTTGTGACACTTATTAGGTAATTTTTTCTTTCAGAGTTCACATTAACTCCATGGAGGTCATTTCTCTGTTCTCTTTTTCCATTCTTGATGTGTGTTTATGGCTACAAAAGAAATTCTATAAATCTGTCTGGAGCTGTTTCTGGAATTATCGTAGCAATTCTTTTAACAGTCGCATCACCCGTTTATCTCGTTACTTTGGCTGCTTTCTTCTTCAGTAGTTCAAAGGCCACAAAATATCGACAAGATGTCAAAAGAAAAATAGAAAAAGATTTTAAAGTCGGTGGACAGAGAAATTGGGTTCAGGTTTTATGTAACGGAGGTGTTGGCGGCTTCTTAGCTTTATGCCATCTTATTGAATGTGGAGTTGGCGAACGACCAGTTGATTTTGAAAACGAATATATTGCAAGTTGGCTTGGTAAGTCATAATTTATGATAATTGTTAACACTTATTGTGATAATTAATTAATATTTCATTAAAAACTTCTCTAAGGTGTTGCTGTGATGGCTTCATTTGCCTGTTGTAATGGTGACACTTGGGCATCTGAACTAGGAATTTTTTCAAAGGCTGATCCAGTGTTGATCACTTCATTTAAAAAAGTTCCGCGAGGAACAAATGGTGGTGTTTCATCGTGGGGATTATTTGTAAGTTTCGCTGGTGGAATTTTTATTGGGATTTTTTACTATATTGCGACAATAATTTTTGTCGATTCTGAAGTAATGCAAAGTAGTCCAAATCAATATCCAATAATATTAATTGGAGGGATTGCTGGGATTTTCGGATCAGTAGTTGATTCTTACTTGGGTGCATTATTTCAGTTTTCTGGTCTAACAAAAGAAGGTTTTGTTGTGGAAAATCCAAATGAAGCCGTGAAGAAAATAAGCGGAAGTTTCAGAATACTTAACAATCACAGTGTGAATTTTATCAGCTGCTTTATAAGTTCCATCACAATACCTGCCTTGAGCTTTGCCTTATCGGGATTTTTTACTTATTCTGCTCAATAAGAAAATTGGCGAAAATCTTTGAATCCCTGGCCAGTTTTAGATTGTAATCCGTTAACATTATTTTGTAAGAAAACAATGAGATCGAACTTATATATTCAGTACTTGTACCTAATTGAATTCTTTTACTTAATAAAATGTCTAAACATTGAAAGCGCATTTAAATTTATGTTTATGAAGAAATTATTTAGTAATTAAATTTAGATTTCAACGGTCGACAATTTTAAATTGAAAATCAATGATGATCAATGAAGGTTACCCCCAAAAAGTTCACTTGCTCACCGAATGACACAAAAAGTT